TCATAATATTTTATTATTGTTGGTTTCGTTAGTTTATTTGTGTAAAAAAAGGTATGTTTTTAGAGGCAAATAACTATTAAAAAAAAACTTTTATTTTTTTTTTTCTTTTTTTTTTTTTCTTTTTTATAATTTATAAAAAATTCCAATTATAAATGATGTTGTGTTATTTTTGTTCTTTGTTATTGTGTTGTTTTAAAACAAACAATCAAAATTGTAAATTATTTTTTAAATATTTTGTACAATTATAAAATAAAATATTTATAGTTTAGATCTTAAAAAATAATATAAAATCCTCAAAAGAAATAATATTTAATAACCCACAATTCCCTTTACCCACACCCCCCCACCAATACTACCAACAAACCCACAAATAAACTAATTAAACTTTAAAAACAATTAAACATTGGGTGTGAGTGTGGGCTAGAAAAAATATTATTTTAATGGATATAAAATTTTTTTTTTTTAAATATATATGTCATATACACCTTTCTATTATAATAAAAATATTTTCTTTTTTTTATATATATAAATACAATTTAACATATTTATATATAAATTATATATATGTGAATGTATACATGTGTGTTTGTTTAATAATAAAAAATATCTTACCCAATTAAATCATAATAATAAAAAAAAAAATTAATAAAAAGAAAAAAATTGTATTTGATAACAATAATAAGTGTATTATTTTTCTATATCATATAATCACTAATTACATTTATAATAATAATAAAAAATAAATCAATCACACCATATTAATCAATCTCTCATATAAAACATTAATATATGATAGTTTTAAAAATTATTAATAAAACACAAATATACTCTAAAGAATTAACAAAATCAAAAATAATAACAATACAATAACAATAACACAACAAGAAACACAACAACAACAACAACAATCGACAATACAATCATTCACACTCTTTTAAAAAGTAATAAGTATAAAATATTTTTTATTTCATCACAATAAAAATCAAATATTTTAAAAAAAAAAAACAAAACAATATTATCACTATTTTAATTTTTTTTTTTTTTTTTTTGTTTGTTTTTTTTGTTGTTTTATTATTATTATTTTATTATTATTAATAATTACTAATAATCATATTTTTTATTTATATTTTTAAATAAAAAAAAAAAAAAAAAAAAAGAAAAAAAAAAAGAAAAAAAAAACCCAATAGAAGAATTTTAAAAAAAAATAATCACTTTTTTTTGTTTCTCTTATTAAATATATTATATTATAAAGAGATATATTTAAAACTATTTTTTTAATTATTTTTTTGTAGTAAAAAATTTTTTCAAGTAATATTAATAAAAAAAAATAATTGAAATAATAGTAATAATAATAGAATTATAATAATACAAATGTCAACATTAGGTTCACAAGTTTCTTCTATTTTAAACCAACTTTCAAATGAATCAGTAAGTCAATTTTTTTTAATTTTTTTTTGCGCTTTTTTTTTAGTTTTTTTAATAATTTAATTTTTTTTATTTTTTGCAGATTGATAAAATTTCATTAGAAAATGCCATTAAAAGTTTTGACTTATTAATTGGAAAGCATAAAGAATCACAAATTTCATCAGCGTTTAGAGATTCTGTAACAAAATGGATAGATAATAATAATAATAAACAAGATATTTCAAGTAAAATCGTAGAGAACTATTTAAAATTTATTCATCAATCAACTTTATTTAAAAAATTAAAATTAAATGAATTTATTGGTAAGAATTTAAAACAATACTTTAGTAATTACATAACTTGATATAAATAAACTAATATTATTTCTTTAGAATATATTAAATGGTCAGAAAGTGATGATAGGTTAAGAGGCGAACTTGCAATAAATATTCTATGTTCAATGGAAGGTTATTCATATTTCAAAAATTTTGAAAATGCATTGGAATTTTTATCACAGTTTGATTATTTTAAATTATCAATAACTGTAAGAATTGATTATTATTATTACTAGTCAATATTTGTAGTATATCTTTTAACATATTTTTTATTTTAATCATTTTAGACTGTTGACAAAGTTAATAAGTTTTTAGAAATTTTATTAGAAGAAGATTCAAACTATATTAACATAGAATATATCCCAATGATAGAAAACATTGTCAGTAGAATTTACTCATCAAATATTAGTGTTTTAAAACCCTCACCAAGAATTTTTAATTTTCTATTAAACTTATCAAAAATCTCAGTAAATGAAATAGAAAATCACAAAAAGTTCATTCCAATGCTACGTTCGCTTTTGGCAATTTTAGCAATTAAATCACCAGTATTTTCAAAACTAAACAAATTTATTTATAGATTAATTCACATTATTTGTGAAATACCACTTTCAAATTATTCATTTGAAAAAAAGCAATCGATTTTTAAAAATCATTACTCTTCAATGATTCCATATATTTTTGAACACTTTTCAAACGTATGTATTAAATATATTTTATCTTAAAAACTTCCAACCAATAATCTAACAATTTTTATTTTAAATATAGTGTAAAGATGACATTTATAAATTAAAATACTTATTTGGAGAAGTTGTAGAAGCTTTTTCATATCAACATCTTTTAACTCTAATACAAAGCAATAGATTTGATAAAGTAACTTTAAATATTATTCAGTCATTATTACCTGGTCCAACTTTAGAAAAAAATATTATTTCAATTTTTAAGTATGTAAAATATATTAATTTAGTTTATTTAAATAACCTTTTTATTAATATTTTTTGTTTATAGCTCAATTGTTTGTTTTATTAATTGCGATATACTTAGAGATGATGCATATAAATTATTGGAACACCATATGCCCAACTTTACAAGATATTTACCAGAACTACATTCAATGGTTTTACCATTGATTTACAAACAACAAAAGAATTTCCCAATTACAACCTTTAAAACTTATTTCAAGAGCCATGAATTATTAACTCTATCCCAATTCCCAGTTCTATTTAAAAATTTATCAAAAACCAGAATTGATATTATTAATCATACCTTGTTGACTCATAATAAAGAAATTATTGAAACAGTAAGTTTATTTATTTATTTTTTTATTATTTTAAAACAATTATTAACAATTTATTTTTATATTTAATTTAGCATTATGAAAATTTCATTCCAATGCTTTTGGAAGTTTTACTTGACCCATCGATTGAAAGACCTTATTATGTAATTCCATCGATCGGTTCATCAATTCAAGCAGTTGGAAGAAATGAATTCTTTGATAAAGCAGTTCTCACCATTTCAAACTTTTTATTCTCAATGAGAGTAATGAAATTGGACAATTATGACTATTCTCAAATTGGTGAAATTGTTATGGGTCTCTTTAAGATATATAAAGCTTATCAAAAGGAATATGTAAACCTTTGGAATTTAGGTATTAATACTTTTATCCATTATCTTAACAATACTCAAGGAACAATGTATTTAATTCCATTTGCAAAACAAATTTTAGAAAAATATCCAATAGATTCAATGCCACATGGTAAACAAATGGAAGAAAAAATCTTAATGAATTTCGAAATTATTCTAAATGTAAATTCAAATAGTAAAAACTACAAAGAAACCGAAGAACACTATTCAAGACTATTTATTAAACTATCAACTGTTAAATTCTTTAATTTCATTATCAACTATAATTTGAAACCACCTTCAACACCACAATCCAATTCATCAGCTACAACTCTTCAAAAGAGTCAATCTATCAACTCATTTAGCAACTCTGCAAATGCCTCACTTCATAAGAGCCAGAGCATTACTTTAATTCAAAGTAGCAATCCAAGTAGCAACCTTACAAAGAGTTCTAGTTTATCATCTGCCCAATCTTTGAAATCATTCACCCAAGCTCCATATGTTCCACATAAGTTTGACTACAAAAAATTCATTAGCTACTTAAAAGAAATTAACTTAAAATTCAAAAACCATTCTATTAATGTTTCAATTTTAGAAATATTTACAAATTTACTCCGTGAATTTGGTAAAATCAAAGCAATTGAAATTTTAAGTCTTGTAGAAATCACAGAATTAATTAAATTTTACAATTTAAACAACTCAATAAACCTTCTACAACCTAAAGATAATCAACTATTCAGTATAGAAACCATTGGCAAAGATATTAAAGTTTTATTCCAACAACTTGGTTCTGAATCAAAGTCATTTATCCTCCACTATTCAAAATCCTTCATTAGGGAAATGGTAATTAATCAAAATGACCAAAGTACTGATGACCAACTTATTTCAAATACAAGATTTAGACATATCAAACAATTCTTTGACTTTGTAATTCCTTTGAACGGAGACTCAATTAACAACTATTTAATGGAATCTTTAATCATTTATGATAAATTCAAAAAAGAACCAAACACACTCTTAATGAAGTTAATAATGTATTTAATAGAAGATGAGTCAAACTTCCCACTAAGTGTTACAAATTTGGATTATTTAGTGTCATTAAAAAATATAGAAATAGTAGAAAAGATTTGGAGTGTCTATGGAATAGAAATTTTAAAGAAATCAAAATATTTTGACCAATATTATGAATTGGTAACTATTGGAGAAAAAGAAAATTTCCAATTAAATTCTAGTAATAATGGCATGAATACACCAACAAGAATAGGTCCTTTATCCCCAAGACCCTCAGATAATAGGGATTTAGCTTTAGAATCATCAGTACCAAAAATTAATGTCGTTGAAAAATTGGTTGTCTCACCACCACCCCAATCATCAACCAATGCTGCATCTTCTTCAAAACCACCATCAAAATCTCCAATTTTAATATCTTCAGCACCAGCAACAAGTTTAACTTCGGAATTAGCCCAAGATAATGGTAAAGAAGTTTATGAACGTTCAACAAAAACTATTATTACCAAGACAACAGTTACAAAAACAAGCTCAGACTCTTCAGGTGCTACATCATCATCAGTAACAACAACAACAAATGAAGAAGTAGTACACTCACCATCAACTGCTTCATTTGCCTCAAAGATGAATAAATTCATAAACGAACCACATAAAACAACTTTAACCAAAACAACTACAACTACCTCCAAAGTTAATGATGAACCAAGTAAAACTTCTAGCATCACCTCTACCCAAAGTAACACATCTAAACCATTAAATGAGCAGATTTATAAACCAACCTTAATCTCACCAAACATAAGCTCCCCAGTTCAATTAAAACCAACTCCATCTATAAGCTCTACTGCTGTTACAAGTTCAAAGGCTCCATTAACCCCACCATCGGTTGTTTCATCATCATCTATTCAAATGAATTCACCATCTCTTTTATTACCATTACCATCACCTCCCATAACAACATTAATAAGAGAAACCAACTCATCAAGTAAATCTCGTCAAATTATTAAATTAAAGAGAGCAGGTGAATTGGAAAATGAATCTATTCCAACTATTAAAATTGGTCCAACTCCAGGTACAGCAGGTCTAAGCACAAAACCTTGCCCACAACTAAATGAAAAATTCTATTCAATTATTATTGGCTACTATATGAATGACCCATTTATTTCAATTCAAAATAAAATCGAAACCCTTTCCACCGTTTCAAAAGAATTTTATGAAATATTGGCAAATGAAATATCAAATACTAAAAATATCTGTCATTTAATTAAAAGAAAACCAAATATCCATTCAGAATTTTCATTAATTAAAGGTATTCCAAATAGTTTCTTAATGGACACAATCACACACTATCCACTACACTTCCTTAATTCAAAAGAAAACTTATTCGATAAAGTACACACCCTAGAGATTAAACCAAAGTCATTATATAGCTTCGAATTAGAAAATCAAAACTCTATTAGTTATCCATCTCTAAGAAACCTTATAGTTACAACTAATGTTGGAGAAAGTGTAAACCCACAAAATGGAGAAGAGATTACAAATAATATTCTTAAATCACATATTGGTCAAATTGAAAGATTAGAATTGAACTATAACTTCTCTGGTTTATCAAGCGATGGTGCAGATTTAGAAAAAGATTTAATTGACACATCATTATTAAACATTGCTTCAAAAAGCACTTTTATTAAGAAAGCATCAATTAACATTAAATCACTCAATAGTATTTCAGCAATCGACATTCTATATTCAAACTATATAAACAGCTCATCAGTTAAAGATAAAGTTTCAGTTGAATTAAATATTGCATTTTCAAAATCTTGCAGAGAATCAGGAGAACAACTATCATTATCAACAATCCCACTAATCAAATCTATTGAAATGCATTACCCAGAAAATGATTTTATTTTCAAGCACTCAGCTGAACACTACTCAAATTTAGAGTTTTTAACTATAAACTTAACAAATTCAAATATCAGTCCATTAACCTCACCAAATGAAAATAACTTATCAAAAAATCTTACAGGAGGACCATCATCACCACAATCACCAATCTCAACATATTTAATGCTTTTATTAAAGAGTAAAAAGATTAATAATTTAAACAAATTATCTTTCAAAGCTAATAAGATTTCATTAATTAACCAATTACTTCAACAATGCTCAATCGAAAACAACAACTGTATCAAAACATTAGAAATTGAATTGGATTTGGATACAAGCACAATTTATTATGACCATATGTCAATTATCAGCGGTGACTATTTTGCAAATGATTTAAACCAACTATTATTGATCTTGGAAAAGAACCATTCAATAGAAAACCTTATCATCACCTATACAACAAATCATAACTTTAATCAAATGATATTTATGGAAAAAGATCATTGGAACAAAGTTACTCAAATAGGCAAAACTTTTAAAGCAAAGAGATTAAAATCATTAAATTTATTCGGTAGATCATTAAAAGCATAATCGCATTATGCAAATAAAAAAAAAAAATAAAGAAAAAAAAAAAGAATAAAAAAATTTTTTATTTAAAATTATAATCATAGTTATTTTAATAAATTTTTTATTTAAAATTATTATCTTTATTTATTTATTTTGTATATTCTAATTGTTTCTTTAAATAATATAAAAGATAACCTTTTGATTTCAATACATTATGTATTGTAGTACTACTAATCATTGAATCATCACATTTATACCAATTGTCATGATGTTTAACAAAACATGTATAGTGACCAGAGTCAATTTTACCTGTGTGATTTACAACTGCAAATAATTCGTAAATGAATGAGCTGTCACTCTCGTCAGTTATTAATGATGGGAAATTTTCTTCTTCATTTAAGAAATCAAATGTTGTTGTTGTAGTTGAGGTTGAGGTTGGTGTTTTAGATTCCTCTTCTAAATCAATAACCTCATCTCTATTTTTTCTTTTTTTACTATTATTTGATTCTTCATTATTGTTATTATTATTATTATCATTATCACTACTGTTATTATTTTTATTTAATTCTTCAGTCTCTTGTTTTTGAAGCTTCAATTTGTTTTTTCTAATTTTTAATGAAGAATTAATATAAAGTTTAAAATTTAAAATTTAAAATAAAAGTTTCTTACTTTCTAGCTATTGTTGTATATGGTGTCATATCGATTGTTATTGGGAATTCTATAAATGTGTCAATTTTATGGGTTCTTCTATTTGATTTTGATTGCTCAAATCTTTTTAAATGGAAACAAATTACTACAGGTAAAATATCAAAGGAAAGCTGTTTAGTTGATTCTTGTTTACAATTGCAATTTCTACAAAAATATTTTTCGTCCAATTTTTCTGGTTGTGTAAATCTTTCTAAACAAGCTAACAAAGTATTACCTTGATGATGATGATAACCATTACCGCTAATGATACCATTACCATTTTCTAAATTTTCACTGTTATTATCGTCGTCATTATTTGCATCAGATTTAGTTGGAGTTGTTTTAGCACTACCATTACCATTAGCTAGATCTCTTGATTTTGGTATATCTAATGAAATATCTATGAATGGATCTGAAGTTGAACTTGTGAATTGACAATGAAGACACGCTACTTCCGATTTTAAAGAACCACCAAATGTACAGTGAACAATACAATTACAATCTTTTCCGGTTGTACCACCACAATGAGAATGAATACCATTCAGTGATGATATAAAGAATTCATGTGCATCCTGCTGTTCGTAACCTACAAAATAACTTGAATAATTCCAACAACTATATAGAAAATGATGAGGTGTAAATGGAATCTTTAACCCACTAAATATTTGTGTATATAATTTATCCATTTCGCATCCTAAACAAATTTTTGAATTATTATTTTCATATAAACTATTATTATTATTATTATTGTTTTGTTGAGATTGTTCATCGGAATCAATTGGTTCTTGTTTAATATGTATACCATTCTCAACTAAATTACTATTACTATTTACATTATTATTATTATTATTATTATTATAATTATAATTATAATTATTTAAATTTTTCTTTTTTTCACATTTATGCATATCACTTAAAAAATAATTTCTTAATAATGGATTATGAATATATGATTGCAATATTGAATTCATAAAACACCTATATTTAATAATAATTATATTTCCAATTAATATTATTATTTTATTTGATCAATAAGTAATATTTAATAATAATAATAATAATAATAATAACCTACGTATTTCCTAAATTATTTAATCCTCTTAAACCTATGATGGGATTCGAGTAATCGATAATATCTGAATTTTGCTTTATAAATTGAAATTCTTCATCTGAAGGTTTCCAACTTTTATATTTTATACGTTTTGTTGATGGATCTAATAATAGTAATAATAACAATAATAATTAGTATAACATACCACGGTATATTTATACCAATTATATAAATCTAACATACTTTTAACATCTTGCAAATTAATTGTTATATTTAATTTGACATTTTCTCTAATTTCTTCAAATTCCTTATCGTATATATAATCTCGACAATGATGACAATAAATTTGGTTTAAATTAAAATCGACCGCTAAAAAATGTCCATTATTTTCGTTGAAATGTTGCTGAATATGACCTGCTTTCCAACACGAGGCATGTACACAATGTAAACATATATGTATACGTCCATTAAAACTTCCACACTCTAAACAATATGGTGTCGGTAATTGAGTAGTATCTAATAATTTCATTTTTATTGAATATATATAATTTTGAACTATATTAAATCTGTTACTGCCACCATTATCTTTATAATCTATTATGTGTTTGCATGTTGATGTATTATTATTATTGTTGTTGTTATTGCTATTATTGGTATTATTACTATTGATAGTGGTGGTGCCAACTATATTATTTGATTTTGTTGTTGTAGTCATTTTATTATCAATTTGGTATTTTATAAATTTCTTTATTTTATTTGCCAATAAAAAGGTTTGAACATATATTTATTTTTTTTATTTATTAATATTAAATTAATACTAACTATAATTAATATAATTTAATATCTGTTTTTTTTGAAAAAAAAAAAAAATTTTAAATTAATATTTGAAAAATGAAAAAAATTAAAAATAAAAAAAAAAAAAAAAAATTAATGTTATGATCAAAAAAGATAATTATTTTTATATTTAGGAAAAAAAAAAAAAAAAAACTAAAATGTTTGAAAATTCTTACATTTTAAAAAATTATTTTAAATTTTAATTTTTATCTGTAATTTTAAGATTATTATTAATTATTGTTATTTATATCTAGATATATAGTTATACAAATATTAATATTCTTTTTATAATCACACATACAATTGTATAAAAAACGGAAATTTAAATTTTTTTTTTTTATAATTTTTTTTTTTTTTATAAAAAATAAAAAAAAAAAATAAAAAATAAAAAAAAATAAAAAAAAATAAAATACATTTATTTTTTATTTTTTGATTTTTTTTTATTAAAATATATATACTATATATAAATATTTATTATATAGTTTAATTTACAAAAAGATGTGGGTGCTAATATTTATAATTAAAAAGAAAAAAAAATAAAAATAAAAAAAAAATAAAATAAAATAATGAAATTACACCCTCTCTGCCACACAAACCCCAAACTAAAAATAAAATAAAAATAAAAATAATTAAATAAACTTAATATTTAATTTTATAAATTAATAAATTTACTAAATTCTTTTTAATTATTTTTATTTATTTATTTATTTAATTAAAATTTCTTTGAATGGATCATCAGTTTCGACATTAATTTGAGGTTCGTTTTTAAATGGTAATATTAGTTTCCATGAGTGTAACATCATTCTTTCTGATTGAGGATCTTTTGGACCATAGGTTTCGTCACCAACAATGATATGACCAATGGATTGTAAATGAACTCTTAATTGGTGTCTTCTTCCTGATTTCGGTGTTAATAAAACTTTGGTAACTGGCATTTCAATGATTTCTTCATTTTGAATATTATCATTTTTGTCATTATTTTTATTATTATCACTATTATTTTCACTATTATTATCACCATTATTATTACTATTATTATATGATAGTAATTTTAAATTATCACTAAATTTTTTAAATCTTTTAATATGACCTCTTTCTAAAACTTTATAATTTGTTTGTGATGATCTTCCTGGATTATCTATCTTATCCCCGATACACATCTTAAATGAATTTAAATCTGATTTGTCATTGGCAATTGGTTTATCAATTAATCCTTCATCTGATTCTATATGACCATGCACTATAGCTAAATAAGTTTTGGTTGTATCTCTATTTTGGAATAATTCCATTCCTTTATTTGCTGATTTTTTATTTAATGCAGTAACTACAATTCCACTTGTTGCATAGTCAATTCTATTTACAAATCTAATTGATCCTTTTACTTCTGGGTATTCATTTTCTAAATATTTAACTACTGTTTCATTTCTATCTTTCCCATCATCGTCTATATTGACATCTTTACTTTTAAAATAAATTAAATAAATATTAGTTTTTTAATTTTTATGATTTTTTAATATTACATATTAAAATATTTAATATTACCATATGGTTTATTTACCAAACAATAGTCATCGGATTTGAAAATAACTTTAAAAATAGGATTTGAAGGTGGGGTTCTTCCTAAATAATTTATTTTTTTTAAAATTGTAGTTGTTGTTGCTACTGTTGTTTCTACTGTTGTTATAATTTCTTTGCTATCATCATCTAGTTTTATTTTTTTATTTGGGTTTTCTGTCATGATAGTAGTTGTAAGGTCGCATTAAAAAATGAAAAAATTAAAAAGTTTTTTTTTTTTTTTTTTTTTTTTTTTTTAAATTTTTTTTATTTTTTTTATTTTTATTAATCATTTTATTATTTTTTTAAATCATTTCTTTTTTTTTTTTGTTATAAAATAAATCAAATTTAATATTTTATTTTTGGTTATTACTAAACTTATAAAAAAAATTTTATAGTTTTAATAATAATTTTATTTCCCCCAAAAATGAAAAATCCATTACTTTTTTTATTCCCCCACCACACAAACAATAATTTTCATAATAATAATAATAATAACAATTCTCTTCAATATAATAATGAAACATAATAATAATACTTTAAAATATTATTTAAACATATATATTTACCATGTTGTTATTTATTTAAAATTTTAAAGAAAATTGGTCAGTTATTTTTGATAGATATTATTATAAAAAAAAAATTTTATTTTATTTTTATTTTTTTTTTAAAATTTTTTTATTTTTTATTTTTTTCACTTTGTGATTTATTATTATTTTTAACACTGCCACAACGACAATCTTTGTGAAAAAAACTATATTTTTAGTTTTTAAACTTTTTTTTTATTTTGAGTTATTTTATTTTTTCTAAATATTTGTAAGACTACATTTCAATTAAAGAAAGATTAGATTGTTTCAAAATGTCATTTGGATCATACAAGAATAAATTTTCAAAGTTTGTTGATAATACTAAAGAAGATTTAGGTATTCAAAAAAAACCACCACCATCATCCAATCCACCACCATCATCTAATCCACCACCATTATCTAATCCACCACCTCCACATCATCCACCACAACAACAACAATATGGTTATAATAATCAACAACAATATGAAAATAGTCAACAATATGACTATAATAATCAACAACAACAACAACATCAACAATATGAGAATAATCAACAACAGCAACAACAACAACCAAAGTTTAGTTATACTCCACAACCTCAACAACAATATGGTGGTAGTGATGGCGTTTCTTTAAACAAAACTAGCCAAACACCAGTTTCAGCACCAAATCAACCTATTAGAAAATTTGCACCACCAGTTGCAACAGCACCACATCGTCCAGCACCACCAACAACCATTAATGACAGTGGGGTAAACTTACAAAAACAATCATCACAACCTCAACTACAACAACAGCCACAACAGCCACAGCAACCACCTCAAAAACAATTTGCACCAATGCAACCTAAGCGTCCTGCTCCACCAGTTAATAGTTTACACCAGCAACCATTACAACAACCAATAAATACAGCACCACAACAACCACGTCCAATTTCACATCAAGAGGTCCAATACCAACCTTCAGTCCAGAAACCACAAGTATCTTTAGAAAAGAGACCAGTACAAACTTATGGATCAACACCACAACAACCATACCACCACCAACAACCACAAATGGATGGTGCTTCAACAATTGCTTTGGATAAAAAATCAGATAAATCTTTTGATAACCAATTACCAGAGAGTTTGAAGAAACATACAGATTATGCAAAAACAAATACAAATATAGCATTAACATCTATTGGTGTTCAAATAGATCAAGTTGTTAAAGCTAAACTTCCACCACTTTATCTTTCAGATCCAATGTATTTAGCAAATATGCAATATACCGAAATCATTTTAGAAATTGATGGGGTATCAGTTAAACCAATTAATTATGGTGAAAAAATGGAGCCACTTTTAAAGAATGAAAAATTAATAATTTATAAAGTAAGATAAACAATATATACATATTTTTAAATTGTTTTTATAATACTAATTTATTATAATATTTTTTAGACATTAATAGACGATACAATTATTTTACAATTAGGTCATATTTATATATACACAAATATTAAAGAAAAGCCATCATTTAGAGCCTATCCATTCCATTATATTATTTCAGATAATTTCAATAATTTCTTTATGGTTAAAATTGATAAGCATATAAATGAAGAGGAGATAAATAAATTAGAAGTTATACTTATGTATTATACAACCTATTACAGAGTTCCACAAAAGAAAGAAGAGTACAAGGATGAAACAGCTAAAAAGATGGAAAATGCATCTGGTAAAGTAGAAAAAGCAAGTCATACAATTTCTAGAGGTTTGGTTTCAGGTGGTACATACTTTGCCAAAGGTGCCTCAAAAGTTGGGGAATTTTATAAAAGTAACTCAAAGAAATATGAAGGTCCAGAGATGACAGAGGAGCAAAGAAGAGAGCTTGAAGATCCAAATAGTAAAATAAATAAAGAGGGTAAAAACTCTGACAAGATGGCTCAAGGTACTGCATCTGCAACCAAAGGTATGTAATAATTTATTTTAAAAAATCAAAGAAAATGGTTTTATTAACTAAATTATTATTTTAAATTTATAGCAATATCACAAGGTTTTGGATGGGTTGGTTCAAAGATTAGTCAAGGTGTACATAGTACAGATTGGTATAAAGAACGTGAAGCTAAAAAGAAAGAAGAGGAACGTTTGAATGGTAAAGATGAGAAGAAAGAAGCAGGTAGCGGTATGGCAAGTACAGGTGTAGGTGCATTAAAGAATATTTGGGGTGGTTTAGAAGAAGGTGTTTTAATTTCAGCAAGAGGTGTACGTGATGCATCAGTTGATGCTAAAAGACACACTTCCGGTGACTTTGAAGCAGAAAAATCAAGAAAGAAATGGGACAGCGCTGGTAATGCAACTATTTCCGTAGTAAATATTGTATCTTTATTAAGTGTAACCTGGATCAAAGGAGCATTATATGTTGGTGCAGGTGCAATTTCATATGATGTAGATCAAGTATCTTTATTTAATACACCAAATGCATATTGGAAAGCTGGCTGGGTAACTACTAGATCAGATCTTTTAGCAGGTTCAAAATGGGCACCCAGATGGGCAGTTCTACGTAATTCAACATTTGCTCTTTATGCTACACCAAATGATCCACCTGCTAAACCAATCCATTATGTATATTTAAATAAAATTAAAGGTGTTACCAAGATTCCAATAGAAAGAAGTCATCGTGCCAACTGCTTTGACGTTGTTACTTCAGGTGGTGCAATTTCTTTATCCACTTTAACCGAAACTGTAGATTTCTCTGAAGAATCTTATACTCCAAATCCTGAAGATGAAGTTATTCAATGGACAAATTCAATTTTATGTGTTTCTACTTTTATTGGTGATTTAGCTGATGATAATAACAAATAATAATTATAATTTTATAAAATTTACCAATAGACCTAAAATAACAGCACAAACACACATCATAATTTTTTCTTTTTCGCCCTTCCTTTATTTTTTTCTATTTTTTGTCAATCATTTTTTTTTTCATTTTTTTTTTTTTTTTTAATTATATAAAATCTTCCATGTGATCCAAAGATAATTTTTAATCTCTATTTTGAAGTTTTAAAAAAAAATATATATTTTTTTTTTTTTTAGTTGGGTGGGAGTGGGGGTAAAACTTTTTTTTATAATAAAAAAAAAAAATTTATTATGTTTATTTTAAATATGTACCACCATATGGGGATTATTAAAATAAAAATTTTAAATACATGTGTGTATTCACTTAAAAATTTTTAGAAAAAATTATCTCTTTTTTAAAAAAAAAAATTATTTATTTTTATAAATTTTAAAATTCGCAAATTGTTGCAAAATAACAGTTCAAACACACATCATAATTTTTCTCTTTTAATTTTTTTTTTTTAAACATTTTATTTTTATATTAATTCAAATTTTTTTTTTTTTTTTCATTCTTATATATTTTCAAAAGTATATATTTTCAATTTTATTTTAAAAAAAACACAAAAAATACAAATTTTTTTTTTAAAAATTTTTTTTTTGAAACTTTTTAATATTTTTCCCCAATCTTTTAAAAAAAAAATATTGGTTCCCCCAATTTTTTTATTTTAAATTTTATAAATAGATAAAGGTTTAAAAAGATTTAGTATTTAATTGGAAGAAAAATAAGATTACAATAGTTTTATTAATCTAAATTTAATAATATGGGGTTAATATATTTGGTGGTAAAATATACTTTTAATTTTTTTGGAGGGTGACATACAATATTTTTTATTTTGGTCAATCTTTTTTTTTTTTATAATTTATAAAAGAGGATAAAATTTACAAATGTTATCAAAACAGTTAAATCTCACTAGAAAAAAAAGGAATTGTATTTAATTTTACTTAATTAAAATAATAAAAGAGGTAAAGTTTAAAAATTAATTAAAACCCAATTTAAAATTTTTTTTTTATTTTTTATTATCAAATAAAATATATCTTCTTTTTATTTTTTTAATTTACTAACTATATTTATTTTCTTTATAATAATGGAAATAAAAGATAAAAACAATCTTTATGAAAGAAATAATGGAGATGTTGCTGTAATTGGTGCAGGTTTTAGAGTTCCAAGTGGAGATTTAAAAAAATCAATTTCAAATACAAATGAATTATGGAATGGGTTATCGAGAGGATTAAATGGTATCGTAGAGACATCTGAAAGATGGTCTGATAACTATGCTGCTACAGGTGATATCATTTGTAAATATGCTGGTCTTATTCCTCTTGATGAATGGAAATCTTTTGACCCTATTTTCTTTGGTATCCATCCAAGTGATGAAAATGTCAGTTCTATCGATCCTCAACAAAGAATGCTTTTAAAATGTACATGGGAAGCATTAGAAGATAGCGGAATAGATCCAATAGCATTAAGAGGTTCAAACACAAGTACTTTTATGGGATCTTCTACCATAGATTATAATTCTATAAACAAATCTCTATTTGAAACTCAAAATAATATTTTCGGATCCACATCTCATTCAGTCGCCAATAGAATATCATATTGTTTCGATTTTCGTGGAGAGTCACTTACTATCGATACTGCATGTAGTTCATCATTAAATGCGATTAACCTTGGTTACAAGTCAATTAAAGATGGTGTTTCAGATTTATCTATCGTAGGTGGTGTTAATTTCATTATTGGTATGTATTAAAAGTTTTTTAAATTATAATTTAAAAAGAAATTCTAACATATTTTTATTTATTTTGAAAGATCCTCATATTTCAAAATCATTTACCCAGTTAGGTATGTTAAGTCCAACTGGAAAGTGCCACTCATTCTCATCAGATGCTGATGGTTATGTTCGTTCAGAAAGTGTTGGTGTTGTAGTATTGAAAAGTTTAGAACAAGCAATAAAAGATGGTAATAACATTTATTGTGTTATCAAAGGCTCAAGTTCAAATGTAGATGGTAACTATGACAAAACAAACTTTTATTCACCATCAAAATCATCACAATATGAAAATATTAAATCTGCTATTCAATCTACCAATGGTCAAATCAATGCATCTGATATTGACTATGTTGAATGTCACGGTACTGGTACACCAAATGGAGATCCAATAGAACTAGAAGGTATTTCAAGAGTATTCAAAGATACAAACAAACAAGTTTTGATTGGCTCTATTAAATCAAATATTGGTCATGGTGAAGCATCATCAGGTGTAATAGCATTAATCAAATGTTGTGTCATGTTTAAAAACCAATCATTTGTTCAAAATATCAATTTTAAATCACCAAATCCTGATATCAATTTTGAAGAATGGCGTTTAAAAGTTGTAACTGAACCAACACCATTCAATAACAATAAAAATACTGTTATGGTTATAAATAATTTTGGGGTAACTGGTATGTATATACAATAAAATTTTTTAATTAACATTTATTAAAATTAATTTAATTAATTATTTTAAATAGGCTCAAATTGCTCTATTGTTTTATCAGAATATAGTATTAAAAAGAATCAAAACTCTAAAATAATAAATAAAAAGTATTTAATACCATTTTCATCCAATTCTTTGATTTCATTGGATAATTATAAACAAATAATAGTCAATCAATCAGACACATTTGATTTCAATCAATTTGCAAACAATCAAATTAAATTTAAATCAACATCACTTGTTCAAAGATCAGTTATTATTGCAAGTAACTGGAATGAATTTGTTGACAAAAAAAATGAAATATCATCAAATTCAAATACATTTTCCAATATTACAGTTAAAAATAAGAGCCCATTTACAGTTTTTGTACTCAGTGGCCAAGGATCGCAATATAATCGAATGGCATTGGAATTATATGAAAATGAAACAATTTTCAAGCAATGGACAGATAAATTCGATAATGAACTTTTCAAATACTATGGATACTCTGTTTTAGAAAAGCTAAGATCAATCGATGATAATGATATGATGTCGATACATGAGCCAATTCTTGCACAACCTGCAAATGTAATGATTCAAGTATCATTATTCGAACTATATAAACACTGGGGTATCAAAGCAGATTTAATCGTTGGTCATTCTCTTGGTGAAATATCAGCATCATATTGCTCTGGTATGATTGACTTTGAAACATTATGTTATTTAGTATACCACAGATCGGTAGCCCAAAATAGAACAACTGGTACTGGTAGAATGTTATCTGTTAATATAAGTGCTGAAGAATATATTTCAAATTATTCATCAAAATACCCAACAATTGAATTTGCCTGTTACAACTCGCCATCATCAATTGTAATCGCAGGTAAAGAACATTTGTTAAATGAAATTGCAACTGATTTAAAATCAAAAGATATATTTTGTGCAATGTTAGGGTCACTATCATCACTCCATACATCAAGCCAATTAGTTATTAAAGATGAAATATGTTCAATGAATATTAAATCAAATCAATCAACAACACCTGTATTTTCAACAGTCACAACCAACTTATTTAATCACGAAACAACACCATTCAATTCAGAATATGTATTTGAAAATGTTTTACAACCAGTAAGATTCACTCAAACCATTTCAAACATATACAAATACATTGAAGAAAACAACTATGGTAATGAAGTAACATTTATTGAAGTTGCACCACATCCAACACTATCATTCTATTTAAATCAAATGAAATCAAAACAATCACCATATTTCAATAATGGAGATAAAATAACTATTCATTCACCACTTCACAAAAAGAAAAATGACTATGACGAGTTTTTAAAAACAATTTCAACACTTTATGTAAACCACTCATTTAAAATTAATTTTAAATCACAAATTGATTACACCGATAGTAGTATCAGCAACCTTCCAATTAATAGTTTACCACTATATCAATGGGATGATAAAATGTATTTCAAAAATAATTCAACATATGAAAAGATTAAAAAAGAAGGACCTCCAATCCAACATCTTGGTAATACAAATGAACTACCATTTATATCGTATCAAACATTTATAAATACTAATAAACAACCATTCCAATGGCTAAAAGGACATCAAGTAAAAGGTAAATATTACTTCCCAGGATGTGGATATGTTATAAATTTATTAAACATTTATCCAAATCAAGATATTACAATCAATAATATCGAATTTAGAACACCATTAATCTTACAAGATGGAGTCGATCGATGTTTACAAACAACAATCAACACACTATCAAAGAATGAATACAATGTCAAATCTCATTTCAAAGATACAACAACAAATCAATGGGTATTATGCTCCACTGGTAACTTTAGTCTATTCAAACATGGTAATGAAATTAACAAAATTAATATTGATAGATTAAAAACCAAATGTAATTTCATCACCAAACTATCCAAATCTGATCTTTATGAATCAATTAAAATCAAAACTGGATTAACTTATAAAGGACTATTCCAAGGTGTCAAAGAATGCTATATTGGTGATAACTGTTCACTTTCAATTGTATCATTAAATGAAATTCAAAATCAAAATGAATTCAATCATTTAATTGAAAACGATTCAATGAAATCATTCTTTAATGCTGCAATACTAGATTCGTGCTTACATGGTATTATGTGTTACATTCAACATCAAAGTCTAACTATATTAGATAGAATCGAAGGATTAAAATACTATTCAACAAATATACCACCAAATAATCAACAATCTGAATTATATGTATATACTGAAATGAAGCCAAAAACTGGCTCATATTCATACTCTGGATCAGTCAAAATAATGCTAAATGATGGTACTTTATTAGTTGAGATTACAAATATTGTTTGTACATCACTTACACCTATCATCGACAACACACTAATTATTCCACCACCATCAAATGAAATCTATACTCCATATCAACAATCAAAAGACTCTATAATTAAAAAACCAGAATCATTCAAACATCTATACCAAATTGATGAACTAAGTGTCAAAGATCAAGATTATCAATTAATATCAAATGAACATTTATTATCACTCTTTTATACACATATCAATCAAAGATGTCCAGATATCAACAATGAAACATTATCAACAATCGATTACAACCAATTTAAACAATTATATTACAGAGAATCAATTAATGAAAACCTATTTATTTTTATTTTTGAAAATTTAAAAAATTATAACGAATTAGGAAATAAAAAACAAATAAACCTATTTAAACAACTTAATAAAAACGAAAAGCTATTTGAAAAAACCACCAAAATAATGGCAAAACAAATATTCCCATTAGAAAATGATGACGAATACACTGATACAGCTCAATCACTTTTTGATGGTGGGTTTTTAGAAGACTTTTATAAAACATCAAAAACTGTTCAACCAATAAACATTTTATTAAGTGAAATAATATTAGAAACTATCAAACCAATTTCCAACGAACCGATTGTATTCAGAATATTAGAATTTGGAGGAGGTGTAGGCTCATTATCAATTATCGTACTCGAAAAGATTAATAAACTATTAATCGAAAATCCATCATCAAACATTGACATTGAGTTTACATGGAGCGATGTTTCTGCATCATTTTTTACTGACATCAAAGAAAAGTTTTCAAATATCAAAGGAGTCAATATTATCTATCGTGTTCTAGATTTAGAAAAAGGGTTAATTGATCAAGAATTAAGACCATCATATTATGATATGGTTATAATGTCAAATGTATTACATGTTGTAAAACAACTTAAGTTCAGTTTAAATGAAATTCATAACATTTTAACACCAAACGGTCAATTAATTTATATTGAACCACCATACAAATCAATTATATATGACTCTATATTCGGTGTATTCTCTCAATGGTGGCCATCAACAGAAGATTTAGAAATTAGAAAAGATAGATGTTGTATGAAACAATCAAATTGGTACAAACTATTAAATGAATGTAATTATAAAGACACAATAATTTCTGGTAATGATAACCAAGTATTTTTAATTCAAACAAGAAAACCAACAATAAATGAAATAGTTTTATCAAATAGAGAACCTATAGAACAATTAACTTCATATAATAATATTATATTATTTGGAAACAGTGATAATTACAAAATCAACCAATTATTTAAATCAAATAAACAATTAAACACAAAAATACATCAAATGAACAGTTCCAAAGAGTTTAAACATTGGCTTCAACAATCAATCGATTCAATTAAACAATGTAAAACATTAATAATGTTTATGAAAACAATTGATACATTAGATGTAACCAACTTTAAAGAGATAACATTCGAATACATTCAAATTAATCAAAGCATACTCCAACATGAACTATCAGATTACTTTACACATGTTCTAATATCAGTAAACTCAACATCTGATAACTACTTATCATCATCAATCGTTGGTGCTGCAAGATATTTTGTAGAATTTCCACAATTAAATCTATTCACATTAAACTTTGATAATATTTCACTTCAAAATGAAAATATATTATCACTTATCGATATATTAATAAATCCAACATCAAATATTCAAAGAGAATTTACAATTACAAATAACACAGTTTATTATGAAAGATACAAAAAACAAAGCAAATTTAAACAAACATTTAAATCTGAATCATTTGAAACAAATAAAGACAACTTAATGATTCAACTTGATCCAAATTTAGAATATGTATTAAAAACTAAAAAACAACAATTAAAACCAAATGAAATCGAAATCGAAGTTAAAGGTACTGGTATCAACTATAAAGACTATTTAATGTATATTGGTCAAGTATCAAATTATATCGATATCAACTATGGTAAAGAAGAAGAGGTTGAAAATGGTGCAAACCAAGCCCCGAATATTTGTAATGACTTTAGTGGTATTATAACTCGTTGTGGAAGCAATATAAAGAAATTCAAAGTTGGAGATGAAGTATTTGGCTCAGCTTCAAAAACTAGTGGATCACATGTTGTTATAGATTACAGATATGTATATTATAAACCAAATAATATGAACCATGTACAAGCAGCATCTATTCCATCGATTTATGTTACAACATTACATAGTATATTTTATATTGGTAATTTACAATCAGATCAAACAATTTTAATTCACTCAGCATCAGGTGGTATAGGTCTATCAGCATTAGAACTATTAAAGTGTAAACAACACAAAGGTTATATATTTTTAACAGTCGGTTCAAAAGATAAAGAACAATACTTAATAGACAAATATGGCTCATTTATTACTGGTATTTATTCATCAAGAAATAAAAACTATTTTCATCAAATAAAAAACAAATTATTAGAACTAGAATGTGACAAAGATCATCAAGGTGTAGATTTAATATTAAATACATTATCATCGGAATATATGGATTCAAACTTCCAATGTTTAAACAGTTGTGGTAGAATTGTAGATCTTTCAATTACACATTTAACACCAAATGATTATATGACAAACAATCACTTTAAATACAACTATGGATATTATAATGTAGAGATGGTTTATTTATCAGAATCATTATTTAGAAACTATTTAAAAAAAATATTTAAAATGTTCAATTCAAACAAATTAGAACTAATTCCAATCATTGAGTATTCAAATAGTCAATTCAAAAATGCACTCGAATATATCAATGAAAGACAACACATCGGTAAAATTGTAGTTAACCATGATACTGATATGCTATCAAAGGTACTCAATGAGCAACAACAAAATAATTCAATTATTATGAAGAGTAGTTATGATATATCAAGATTAGATATTGGTAAAAACATATTAGTAACAGGTCAAACAGGTATTATATTAGAAATAATGAAATGGCTTGTTAAATATTCAAACAAATCAATCGATAATATTATAATTCTATCAAGATCACCATTAAAATGGGAATTAGAACTATTAATCAATCAAACTAAACATCAAAAAGATAATACAATCAAATTCCACTTTAATCAAATCGATATTGAAGATAGCAACGAAATTCAGAAACTATTAAACCAACTAGAGTCCAATTCAAACATTACAAATATCGATACAGTAATGCATTTTGCATTTGTAAACGATATTGGTGATGTTCAAGATGTCGATATGAATCGTTTAAATATTGCACATGGTGCAAAAACAATTGGTGCAATCAATTTACACAACGAATCAATTCAACGTTCATGGAAAATAAAACAATTTATAATGGCATCATCAGTTGTATCAATATTTGGCTCAGATCAACAATGTTGTTATGTAAGCGCCTGTAGTGTCGTTGACTCGTTATCTAAATTTAGACAGTCCACTGGATTACCATCACTATCAGTTAATTTAGGTGCAATATCATCAACTGGTTTTATTTCAAGAAATGATGCAATAGAAACAATGTTGCATAGTTCAGTATTAAAATTATTTTCACCTCAATTAATTTTAAGCTCATTAGATTTATTCATTCAAAATAGCAGCAAATATTCAAATTATTGTTTATCAGATTTCGATTTTGAAAACTTACAATCAAATAAATCAAACAATTACCATTTTAAACTTGATTATCAAATAAATATGATTAGAAAAAAAAACAAATCAATCAATTCAATAAGTGGTGATAATGATGAAAGCATGAAACAATCAATTATAAATAAGATTTCAGAACTATTATCAATAGATGAATCCAAAATAAATCTTGATCTCCAACTGACACAATATGGATCTGATAGTTTAATGCAAGTTCAACTAAAAAACTGGATCGATAATCAATTTGGACATAATTTAATTACCATTCAACAATTACAAAACAATAAAATTTCACAATCAATAGATATTATTACCAAAACATTCAAAAATAAAAATAATAACACAAAGAAAGAATCAATAGCAGACAAAGAAAATAAAAAATCGATTGAAGAATTTATTCAAGATGAAATTAAATTAGAAGATTCAATAGTATCAAAACCATATTCAATGGAATCTATATTAAATAATAATAATAAATCAATATTACTAACAGGTTCAAATGGATATCTTGGTGGATATTTATTAAATCATTTAGTTCAAATGCAAAGTTGTTCAAAAGTATATTGTTTAATTAGAAATAAATCAAATTCACCAAACCCAGTAAATGAAATTATAAATAATCTTAAACACCATCAACAATATGACAATCTAACTCAACAACAACTATCAAAGATTATTGCAATCACAGGTGATATTTCAAAATATAGATTTGGACTTTCAAATGAAACATATTCAATACTTTCAAACGAAGTAGATATCATAATAAACTCAGCAGCTGATCTAAATTTACAATCAAAATACCATGAATGTAAACCTGTAAATGTCAATGGTGTTAAAGAATTAATTAAATTCTCGATTTCAAACGAAACACAAAAACCAATTGTCCATTTTTCATCAATCTCAGTATTCTTTAACTATACATTACATGATCAAGAGTTTGACGAAGATAAAATATTACCAAGATTTGAAAGCACATCAATAGGATATGTACAAACAAAAGTAATCTCAGAACGTCTATTAACATATGCAGAAAAATCAAGAGGTATTCCATCATTAATAATTCGTTTACCAGATATCTGGTCAAATCCTGAAACTGGTATAGGTCATCCAAACGACTTTCTCCAACTATCAGTTCAAGCTTCTAGTGTTATTGGCTGTTATCCAAATATATATAAAGACTTGTTTACTACACCAATTACAGTTTTAGCTAGAAATATAATAAATATGATATTTAATGAGAAGAGTTGGGTAAATTCAAATTCAACCTCAAATTCAATTTATTCTTTAAATGGTGATTCAATTGAAATTAAAACAATATATAAAGTATTAGAGAAATACTATAATTGTGAAGAAATAGAATTTGAAAAATGGCAAGAGATAGTTTCACAATCAAATCATAAATCATGTATCAATTTTAATATACATCACAAACAAAACAAAAAAACTTTTGCTTCAGATATTTTCATTGAAAAAGGTTTCAAAATGTCAAATAAAACCAAACAATTATTAAAATCAATTAGTTCATATGATGAAAAAGAATGGGAAATTAATGATCAAACAATTATAAATAATATAACTTGTATTAATTATAGGGATCACAATTTAGGTTATTTTTAGAAAAAAAATCCCAAAACTAAAAGGATTTTTTGAAGTCAATTTCTCGGTCTCAAAACTAAAAAAAAATTAGTTTAAAAAAGTGTTAAAAATCAATAAAAAACTGTTAAATCACAATCAATGTATATATTATGTAAATGTGGGTTGGTTCCCCTATTATTTATAAATCTTTTATTTATCTTTTTTTATTATATAACAAAATGGTTTAAAATTTAAATGATTTGGAGGGAATTTAAAATTTGGGCCAAAATTAAATCTAACCATTGATTTCATATACATTGAGGCACTTGGATAATAGCTACTTTTGCCAATATTTGTAAAGGCAGGACCAGGAGAAACCCCATTTTTAAAGAATTGAATAAAACTATTTGGTATGATATCTCTTAGAGGTTGATCTTGAGGATAGGAGTATTCTTTACTTACTGTATCATAGATTTCTAATTGATCAATGAATGGAAAATCTCTTTCTAGTTGGGTTGTGGAAGAGGTTTCAGGTAAACTAATGTAAAATCCGATTACGTCACCTTTTCCATAAGGCTCTCCATATGGTTTTGAGCGGGCATTATGGATAATATCACCTTGAAGATTTCTATAAGCATAACTAAATTGATCATAACCTACATTTGCTTGGCAATCACCTTTTGGAGATGACCATCCTAATCTAGAGTTACCATCGGAGTTTAAAATTTCGATCTCAAAAAACCAGTTACCACAAACACAAGGAAATGATGATCTTGCCATACGATAACCTTCATCATTACTGACGGTCAAAAAATAATTATCGATTAATTTAATTTGTGGTGCAGAGTTTTCTTTTGCTATACAAAGTATATCATATTCTATAGTAGGTACGAAATTGTTTACATTGGATGGAATTAATAATAATCTTGAGACTTCTTTATCTCTTTTTTCTTCTTCGTTTGATTTCTTTTTCTTTCTCTTTTTATGCAACGGTGCTAAAACTACATCTTTATACATTGAGTTATCTTTTAATAATAATTGATCTGTACCTAATGCCCACATATTCTTTTTTGTATAATTTATAAAACCTGATTTAAAAATTCTACCTGTAGTTAATGCTGGTAATAATGGTTTAAACCATTGTGATTTTTCTATTATTTTTTAAAAAATAGAAATGATATTAGTTGATTTATAAAATTTTATTATTATTGGCTTTTTTTTTTTTTACTTACTCTTTTTATCGCTACACAAAAGATTCCAATTTTTTTCGATAAATGGTATAATTTCTTCATCCAAATGAAAATAAATTCCTTTTTTTAAAACTGAGGTTAAATTGTTTTTAATGTTGTTGAAATTAACTTCATCCATATTGCTTTCATCTGATATATTTGTTTTAATACAAGAAAAAGTCGATGGGGCGTTTGGTGATTTTCTTTCCCATTTATCTAATTGATCAATACGATTCTGTTGAAGATTAAATAGTGTAATCTCTAAAATATCACCCCAATTCTTTGAAAATCTCTCGAATGTTTCATTACCATCTGTGCATACTGAACATGAAAACCTATATACCCAATCACCATATAAATGTGTACCCTGTAATAATTTGATACAATTAACATGAAACATTTGCTTACATAAATCACATCTTATCATAATCCTTTCTTTATTTTTACCACAATAACAATAAATATTTTCTTTATTATTTAAATGATCAATATCCCAATTTAATGATGAAATCTATTAAAAAAAAATTTATAAATTAGTATTAAAAGATTAAAATTTTTTTTTTTTTTTAAACACTTACTTTATAAGGAAATTCTAATTGATTTAATTTAATTTCCTGGTTAACTGTTTTTATTGCTGTTGTTGTTGAGGTAGATGTTGAAGTTGTTGTTGTTGCTATTGTTGTTGTTGCTGTTGTTATTTTTGGGGTTGCTAATGTCGGTGAAATTGAAGTTGGTATTTTTGAACTTTCAGTTGGAGTTGGTGATAGCATATCAGAACTTATCGGTGATAGTATTATATTTGAATTATTATTATTATTATTATTATTATTGCTACTACTGGTTTGTTTTTTACTATCACGATGATTCTTATTAATACTATTGCTGCTACTTTTACTAACACTACCATTAATATTTTTTTTGTTACTCTGTTTTTTTGCTTCAAATGATTCAACTATATCATCTAATTCTGCATCATCTAGATCACTTAGTTTTCTTTTTATATTATCATCAGAGTTTATGTAATCATAAAAACTATTTTTGGAAGATTTCTTTTCTTTGCTATTACTATTATAGTTGTGGTTGTGGTTGTGGTTGTAGTGGGGTTTATCATTATCATGACGATGGTGACTACTATTATTGTTGTTGTTGATGTTCAAACTATTATTATATTTTTGATTAATATCACCATATGTAGCAGTACTATTATTTATATTATTATTTTGGCTATATGTATTATTACTTGTTGTTACTGATAATAATTTAGTTTGGTTTTTACTTGTTGCTTGTTGAAATATTTTATCGATTTGTGAACTTATAGAAGAGGATGATGACAATGATTTTCCATTATTGTGGCTATTGTTTGGTGGTATTAAGTGATGTTGAATATTTTCATGTTCTTGTCTATAATATTGTTGCTGAGTTGGTGCATCATTAATAATAGGTTGTAAACTATGATGGTGCTGGTGCATTATATTATGATTATCATTTTTATTATCTTCATTATGCAAATCCATTATTATTATTGTTTATTTATTGTTTTTTATTGTTATCTTTATATTTTAATATTTATTAAATGTCTATAAAATTAAAAGAAAAAGAACAAGTTTTTTTTTATGTGTATATATTATATTATTTGACTATTTACAACATTGATTTCATATCCGATTTTAAATTTTGAGGGAGAATAAATTGTATATTTAAAATATATAGATTCGCTTCATGAAAAAATAAAAATAAAAATGAAAAATAAAAATATTTTTAAAAAATTAAAAAAAAAAAAAAATAAATTAAAATTTCAAAAAAAAAAAAAAAAAAAAAAAAAAAAAAAAATATTAATAACTTGAATGAATTAATATTCTTTATTTAGATTTAATTATATAAAAAAAAAAATATTCAAATATTCAAAAATATAATAGTTTTGAAAAATGGTATTAAAACTTTATATTGAAAATTTATATAAAAAAATATTATATATTATAATATATATTTTTTTTTTTTGAAAAAATATTGTAAAAAAAAATTGGTGTGGTTTTATTTTTGAAAGTGATTGGTTTAATGTTGGCTAAAGAAATTGAATGGGTTAAAAGTAATATGTAAAATAAATATATTTTCTTTATTTTATAGAAAGAACCTTTAATATTTTAAAATATTATTTAAATTAAGTTTTTTTTTTTAGTTTTGCAAGAAAACCTTTTGAGGATTTTTTTTTTATTCATTTCGTGAAACCTGAAAACAAAAAAATATCCAAAATTTACATGAATTTAACATTTTAATTATAATATATTCTTATTAATATTATAAAAAAATTGTCAAATTTTTTTTATTTTATTTTATATATGAAAATGAAAGAAAATATTTTCGTAAGCAGTGCACAAACTGAAACATTAATTTAATATGAGTTTATTTTTTTTTTTTATATGAAAAAAAAATATATAAAATCAATAAGAAAACTTAAAACCTTGATACTAAATTATTAATGAGTGTGCTTTATAATGAAAATATATTAAAAAAAAAATGAGTTTTTAAAAATAGAAAATTTTATAAAATTTTTATTTTAAAAATTAAATTCATAAATTTGTGTGTGATGTGCATGCTGCTATTAAAAAAAAAAAAATATGAAAAAAAAAAAAAAATCAAAAATATAATATAAAATTTTTTGAAGGTGCTAATTTCAAAACTGAGGTTTAAATACTAATAAAAAAATTATTTATTTTATTTATTTGTTATTTGAAATGTTTATATTGGAATTATTTATTGAAGTTAATTATTTGTTTTTTTTTTTTTTTTTATGGCTCTAATAAAATTTTACCTTTTGAACCTCTGCTTTCTAAAAGATCATGTGCCTCTTTAGCATTTTCTAATTTAATAATAGTTGGGTCTGAAATTTTTAATTTACCACTTGATGCCCATTCAAAGATTTCGTTCATACGATATTCGATTGAACCTGGTTTAGCGATATAATGAGCTAAAGTTGGACGAGTTAAAAATAAGGAACCATTGGTGGAGAGTAATAATGGATCGATTGGTGGAACTGGGCCAGAGGCATTACCGACTAAACAAAGCATACCTAATGGTTTTAAAGAGAGTAATGATTGATTCCAAGTGGATTGACCAACACCATCGTAAACTACATCAACACCGACGCCACCATTAGCTTGTTTAACTAATTTTGAAAGCTCTTGTAAGTTGGTACCTTGAGCATAGTTGATAACGACATCAGCACCTAAATCTTTGCAAATCTTTTCTTTCTCCTCGGTTGAAACAGTGGTAATAACTTTAGCACCAATGATTTTTGCCATTTGAATTAAAATTTGACCTAAACCACCAGCACCAGCTTGAATTAAACATGTGTGGCTATCATCTAATTTGAATGTAGATCTAACTAAATAATGAGCAGTCATGCCTTGAAGTGGAACTGCAGCACCAGTTTTAAAATCAACAGTATCTGGTAATTTAACAACTGCTGCTTCTGGTACAATGGTATATTCTGCGTATGAATCAGCACTGAAATAACAAACTCTATCACCTACTTTAAATTTTGATCCTGCTTTTTCACCAACTTGCTCTACAACACCACTACCTTCACGTCCAATAATGAATGGGAGTTGAACTTTATATAACCCTGATCTGTGATAGGTATCAATAAAATTAACACCACTAAAATGGTTCTTAATTAAAACATCGGTTTCCTTGGTAATCAATGGTTTTGCAATACTTTCATAAACTAATTTATCGCTACCACCTGTTGCTAAAATTCTTACTGCTTTCATCATTTTATTATTATTATTATATTTAATTAAATAAAAATTAATGATATTAAAAAAAAATATAAAAATAAAAAATTTTAAAAATAAAAAAAAAATAAAAAAAAAATAAAAATTTTTTATTCCAAAAAAAATAAATTAATTGAATGTTTCTGTTTTTTAAAAGGAATTATTTGAAAAAGTTTTATTTGTTCTGCTTTCTCTTTGCATTCATCTTTTTGCTTAGAAACAAATGCTGATGAGTCCTCTGTACCTTGGTACGAGAACTTGGTGAAACTTCTGATCTACCAACAGAATTATCTTGTAAAGATTGTTTAATTAATTTATCTTCGAATTGTAAAATCTGATTTAAAATTGTGATTTTTGGATTGGAGACCTTCTTGTGCGATTTCTAATTGTATAACTTTTTATAAAATCATCTTGTTGTTATAAATTATTTCTTCTGAGTAAAAAAAAAAAATTAATTTTCATTTTTTATTATAACAATAATTTAATCAACAGTGGGTTCAAAAATATTTCATTTTAAAAAATCACACTTCTAAAGTGAAATTTCAAAAACTTAATTCTGCAGTATGTATAACCCCATTAACATTTATCAATAACCACTCGTTATTACAAAATAATTTTTATAAAATTTTTCTTATCTTTTTTTTTTATTTTTCAAAAATTTTTTTAAATTTTGTTAAAATATTAATTTAAAATTTTTTTTTTTATTTATTTTTTTATATTAACGATGGATGGGCTTCTTGTCATGATAATTTCTTTCCCTGAAAAATTTCCCATAAATGAAGAGTTAAAAACCAGTAGTAATATTAGTGATAGGTAAGTACAATACAATAAATATAAATATAATATAGTATATTAGTGTTAAAAGCATATTAATTGGTGTTTTCTCTTAAATTATTATTATAGATTATTATATAAAGTTTGGAATAATATAGTTTTAAGAAAAGAAATTCAGAAACATATTTTAAAGTTTATTGAACATAGGGTTGTAGATCTTGATGAATCACCTTATGACCAATTTAAAGATAAATCATATATAACAACACTTGAGTGGCGTGATCCACTACCAAAAATAAATGAGTTTCCACCATTTTTGACAACTTTATATTTGGGCCCTTTTAATGAAAGGCTAACTCCTAAATCTTTACCAAATACAATTACTACACTCACATTCCTTAATGATTTTGAGCTGAATTTTAACCAAATAATTCTACCAGGCTCATTACCAAATAATCTCACAACACTCACACTCTCTCGTTATTTTAACCAGGTAGTTCCACTGGGCACATTACCAAATAGTATCACAACACTCACATTCGGTCGTAGTTTTAACCAAGTAATTACACCCGGCACATTACCAAATAATCTCACAACACTCACATTCGGTGAGTGTTTTAACCAAGTAGTTCCACCCAGCATATTACCAAATAGTCTCACAACACTCACATTCGGTTATTTTTTTAACCAAGTAGTTCTACCCGGAACTTTACCAAATAGTCTCACAACACTCACATTCGGCAATGAGTTTAACCAAGTAGTTCTACCCGACACATTACCAAATAGGCTCACAACACTCACATTCGGTAATGAGTTTGACCAAGTAGTTCTACTCGGTACATTACCAAATAGTCTCACAAAACTCACATTCGGTGATAGTTTTAACCGAGTGGTTCTACCCGACACATTACCAAATAGTCTCACATCACTCACATTGAGTAGTTGTTTTAACCAAGTAGTTCTACCCGGAACTTTACCAAATCGTCTCACAACACTCACATTCGGTCGTTGTTTTAAACATGCAGTTACACCTGGCACATTACCAAATAGTCTCACAACCCTCACACTCACTAATTTTTTTAACCAGATAGTTCTACCCGGTACATTACCAAATAGTCTCACAACACTCACATTCCGTAATGAGTTTGACCAAGTAGTTCCACCCGGCACATTACCAAATAGTCTCACAACACTCACATTCGGTAATAAGTTTGACCAAGTAGTTCTACCTGGCTCATTACCAAATAGTCTCACAACACTCACATTCGGATATGGTTTTAACCAGATAGTTCTACCCGGCTCATTACCAAATAGTCTCATAACACTCACATTCGGTGATAAGTTTAACCAGATAGTTCTACCCGGCTCATTACCAAATAGTCTCACAAAACTCACATTCGGTGATGGTTTTAACCAAGAAGTTCTACCCGACACATTACCAAATAGTCTCACAACACTCATATTCGGTGGTTTTTTTGACCAAGCAGTTCTACCTGGCTCATTACCAAATAGTCTCACAACACTCACATTCGGTGATGAGTTTAACCAAGTAGTTCTACCCGGCACATTACCAAATAGTCTCACAACACTCACATTCGGTCGTAGTTTTAACCAAGTAGTTCTACCCGACTCATTACCAAATAGTCTCACAACACTCACATTCGGTCGTAGTTTTAACCGAGTGGTTCTACCCGGCTCATTACCAAATAGTCTCAAAACACTCACATTCGGTGATTTATTTAACCAAGTAGTTCCACCCGGCTCATTACCAAATACTCTTACAACACTCACATTCGGTCGTAGTTTTAACCGAGTGGTTCTACCCGGCACATTACCAAATAGTCTCACAACACTCACATTCGGTCGTAGTTTTAACCAAGAAGTTCTACCTGGTACATTACCAAATAGTCTCACAACACTCACACTCAGGCGTTATTTTAAGCAAGAATTTCTACCCCCCTCATTACCAGATAGACTCATAACACTCACATTGGGTCCTACAAAGTTTTACATAGGGATTACAATTTAGGTTAAATTTAGAAAAAAAGTTTTTTTTTTAAGTGGGTCAAAATTATAAAATAATAAAAATAAACAACATTAATAAATTTATAACAACTAAATATAATCTATAGGTGATGGAATAAAAGTCCTATTACAAGAAGGAATTCAACTGAAGCATAAACCAAAAACTTCAACATCCCCTCAAACAGAGAGAATGGTCAGCTTGTTGAAAAATGAAACTGCAAAAAAAATAATTGAATATGAAGGAAAAAAATATGAAATGTCAAATAAGGGATCATTATGGGTCCAACGAAAGTGAAGTATAGGGAAATTTCAAAGTATTCAAAAGAAGGTTTAGATCAAAGAAACGAAACAATTATATTTTGGAAAGAAAAAAGTATTATATACAGTTCCCGGAATAAATATGTAGACCCAATTGAATGAAATTCATCTTTACATACCCGAACTAGGTCTTGTGATGGGTCATGAAACATCTTTTTTGACACCCATTTTTTAACAATTGACCAAAGATTTTCAATTATACTAAAATCTGGATTGTAAGGTGGTAATGGATCAACTTTAAAATTATTCTCTTCTAAATATTGTTTCACTATCTTTGCAGTGGAGCTACAGTTTCATGACAAATGATTGGCTCCCTTTCAGGAACTTTTTTTTTATCCCCATAGTATTCTAAAGTTAATTGTGTATCGTTTTGTATAATTTCAAGATTGAGTTTAGAAACTAATCCTGGGCCATCATAAACAATATTTCCCAAAAACATTACATTAACCCCACCCTTTCTAACACTTATCTTGATATGAGACTATAGTAAAATATTAGTGCCATAGGCCCAATAATAACTTATTATCAAATTGTTGGAACTTTGATTCATCCCCAGTCCAACTAATATGTGCAACTACAAATAAAAATCTTTTTCTTCTATTATCTTAATTTTCTTTTTGTTTTATGTTTTTTTAAATCATTCTTACTTGTATGATATTATTCCATTTTATTAATTCCAAATTATACTTTCTTTTATGTTACAAAAATAGCAGATTTTGATTTGTTTGCTTTCAAGCCAATATCTGCGAATGCAGTAAGAGTTTCTGGTCAGAGTATGACATAAAACTTCACTGCTAAAATCAGATTAACACTATAATCGTTTCAAACTATCAAAATATAGAAAACAACATTTGACGTTGAATACCACCAAGGGGGAAAATGATAACAACTTGACTAGTTTCAACACCCCAAAGGATAAAATGTTTTTCATAAGAGGTAGATAATAAGTGTTTACCTTTTGGGGAGAATGAAAGGTTGTGGACTTGGAATTCATGATTTTTGAGGGTTTTCCAGAGATGAATAATTGGACACTATAGCGTAAAGTTCGATATAACCTCAAATGATATTTTATAAAAAACTCAACTTCCATCATTGAAATGTGATGCTCAATGACAGAATTTAGAGTTTCTACTAGATTTATGGATATTATTTTAAATATATTTAAATTATATATTTTTTTTAATATTTTTAGGTTAAATTCAAGATTAAATAATAAAATATTGAAACACAGAAAAAATTTATTTATATTAAAAACCAATGTAAAAATGATCTTGATCTCTATTTTAACTTTTATTAAATTGTTTTATATGGATTGTGTCAAACAACTAACCATTTTGGGTTGGTGGTAGACCAAACTTTTTTCGTTGTCTTAAAATATGGGCATCTTTTAATATATTATTTATATCTGAATATTGGGTATTATTTACATCTATAGTATTTGATGGTGATGCTTTACTTTCACCATAACTATCTATATTATTGGTGCTGTTATTGTTGAATTGGTTGCTGTTATGTTCAAAACCATTATTGTTATTAGTGGTACGAGTTGAAATTGTAAACTTATATTTAGGGTCATCCAAAGATCTTAAATGATGATTTGTATGAGTGATACCTAAACTAAGGTTGTGATGAGGATGAAATTGGTTGTGATGTTGCTGGATATTTTGCTGATATCTTAAATTTTCTAAATTTTCTCTATAATGATCTTGATGAGTTTCATTATTATTTCGATGATGATGGTGATTGTGTTGATGTTGAAAACTATGCGGTTTAGTTTTATTTTCTTGTTCCAAATGTAAATTTTGCTGTAATTGTTGATTTAATTGCTGTAGCTGCGGTGGTGATTGAATATGATATTTTTGTTCCTCTGCTTTTTGAATTTGTTGTTGCTGTTGCTGTTGTTGTTGCTGTTGCTGTTGCTGTTGCTGTTGCTGTTGCTGTTGCTGTTGCTGTTGCTGAACTAATATAAAATGTTGTTGCTGTTGTAATTGTTGATACTGTTGTTGTTGATATAATTGGTGTTGTAAATTTTGTGACTGGTGAAGTGGTAATTGTTGATGTTGGCTTTGAACAGATATATTTGAATGATTGTGATTAAGATCAAATCCATTACTATTCGGTGGTATTGTATATTGTGTGTTGGGACTATATAATTAAAATGATTTTAAATTAGTTAGAATTGCTATAACTATCTCTGTATGTAAATAGAGTGTAATTACCTATTTAATTCCAATTTCCTTATTTTATTTTTAATATCATCGGTTTCCTCCTCTTCATCTTGATTCGAAAAATATTCATCTTCGTTCTCGTTAAAAAAATCATCACCTCTTTTTCTTTTTGTTAGAAACATTATCTCTACCTAACCTTCTTTATCACTATCTATAGCTATCTATCTATCTATCTATCTATCAATCAAACTATATGAATAATGTCTATTATTACTATTGTATATCTCTTGAACCCCCGACGAATTATTTTAAAATTATAACATTAATATATAAAAAATAAAAAATAAAAAATAAAAAATAAAAAAATATTATTTAGTTTGGTGTATATATACAAATACAATATAAAATTAATAATAAAACTTTTGAAATTACATGAAATGTTTTTTTTTTTTAATTTAAATTTTAAAAATGAAAAAAAATAAAAAAATAAAATTTTAAATGAAAAAAAATAAAATTTAAAAAAAAATAAAAAAATAATAAATAATTGTTTTTTTATATATCTTTTTTTTCTTTTTTATTTTTTTTATTTCACCAATATTTATTTTTAAAATTGATGGTATTTGAAATTAGAAAAAAAAAAAAAAAAAATATTTTAAAGTTTTATTTTTTTATGATTGGTATTATTTAACAATTTGAAATGAAAAAATAATTTTTAAATAATTATTTTATTCTATATTTATCCTAAATTAACCAATGAATTATTCACTATTTATTTATTTAAAAATAAAATAATAACTAATTCATTAATTAATAAATTTTAAAAAATATTTGGATTGTGTGGTGTGATTGTGTTTTAGAGGGTGTGTGAGTGGTTTTAAATATGTATTTTTTTAACACACACACATATATATTTAATTATTTGAATCTAAAACAGTCCAACCTCTTGAAACTTCTTCTTGTTCAAATTCATTTTTAATTTGGATTAGGAAAGCAGCTAAAACAGATCTTGTTGAATTATCATCAAACAATGATAAAGAGATGAGTTGTGGGGCAATAATAGTTTTTACTATATGGTACATGTATAAAATACTATCTCTATAATTTGAAACACCAATTTCCAATGGTGGATTTGTGCTAGCACTAATAATACGATATTGGTACTCTTCTGAAACTGAAATTGCTTTTAACAATGAAGTTAAAACACCAAATTGAACAGTAAAAATTGCATCTTGTGTGATTGTAGTCCAGGTGATACTGTCTTCGGTTGGAATTGGTGGAGATCTCCATGTCATGGTTTCGTATGGTGGTGTACTTGCAGTTGGTGGTGGTAAAAGTTTTGGGAATAATTTAAAGTTTTCACTTCTTTGATGTGATAAAAATGCCAAACTCTTTGATAATTTCTTTCTTGGTAAAGTGGATGACCATCTATAATGAACTTTTTGTGGTGGAGATAATGGTTCTTGTTGCTGTTGTAATTGTTGTTGAGATGAGGCTTGATCTTGTTGCTCTGGTTGTTGGGATGAATTTTTTTGATCTTGTGGTTGTTCTTGCTTTTGTTGAACTTCCAATTGCTTTTGTAATTGCTCTTGTTGAGCTTGTTGTTGTTGATAAGTTGGTAAATGTTCTTCTGAATTATTTGGTGAATAGGTTGGTGACGATGATGACGATGATGCATTATTATTATTGATAAAATCGACAAGATCTGAAGGAATAATAGAGTTGACAAGATCCTTATTTTCTTTATAGTGTTCATTTAATGTTCTAGTGAATGATTCTTTACCAGCGGCTAAGAAAGGATGAGCAAGTGCTTCTTTAAGGGTAAGTCTTTTCTTTGGGTCCAATTGTAATAATGAGGTGATGAAAGAGATGGCTTGATCAGAATTTTCGATATTATATTTAGAGATTTCATTTGGAATTCTATCTAAACCACGCTGGAATTCGCCACTGTCAATCATTTTAGCTAAATTTACTAATGCTGCTAAAACTGTGGTTTGATTAAGATTTGGGAAGATTACATTAATTAAATCGTCACCGGTTACCAACCTAAAAGTCATGGCACCGATGGCCCAGATATCAACCAAAAGTGGATTGTAACCTTCGTTGCTCTCTGGTGATAGTTTACCTGTACCTGGTTCTAAATAGGGTGACAATATTATATGAATAATCTCTGGTGCCATATATAAAGGTGAACCTGCCAATGTCGAATGTAACTCATTCTCCTCTCTATTGATGGATGAATACCCATAATCTGTAACTTTTAAAATTGGTAATTCGTTTGGATCATATCTATAATGATTTGAATTTGAATCTGACTTTATAACATAACTATCCTCATTATTATCAACTAATTGTGGTGGTGGTGGATTACGATTTCTTAACATTAAAATATTGGCTGGTTTAATATCACGATGTGAACATTTTCTTGAATTCATATACTCTATAGCATTTACAATTTGATATAAACAATGACTAACAACCGATATTGGCATGCCTCTTTCAAAACTATACATAAAATCTTCTAAAGTACCACCATCTACATATTCTAATACAAAAATTGCTGTTGTTTTATGAATCTATGATTTTTTTTTTTTTATTTTTCGTTTATAAATATTAATATCAAAATATAATACAATGTAATGAATCATTTAATAGTATATACATACAAAACATTCTATTAATTTTATAATATTTATATGGGATCTTTGATTTTCTGGGTTTAATATTAATAATGCTCTAATTTCACCTTGAATTTGTCTAAAGAAAGGTAATAATAATAAACAGTGTATTAGTATATTTGAATGTCCCCACCCAGGCCATTATCTAATCTGTTTATACATACTCTTGTGAAATTTTACTTTTATTCATATCAACCAATTTAATTGCTACAATCTGTCCAGTTTCTTTCTCTGATGCTTTGTATACCACACCACTTACACCTCTGCCCAACTCCAATATATTATTGTATTTATTTGGCCAAAATAAAACTCTCATCTTTTATTATTACTATTTTATTATTACTATATTATTATTTTTTTGATTTTATACATATAAAAATATATTTTTTGATTATTGTTATTGTTGATGGTGATAGGGTTATAGTGTTTTTATATTATATATATATATATTTAATGTATTTGATGTTATAAATAAATATTTACAAAAAAATAAAATTAAAAAAAAAAAAAAATATAAAGATTTTATGTGGAACCAAAATGATGTCAAAAAAAAAAAAAAAATTAAAAAAAAAAAAAATTAAAAAAATTAAAATAAAAAATTGAGTTTTTTTTATTTATTCAAAACATTCTTTGTTTATTATCAATATTTTTTAAAATAAACAATCATTATCATGGAAAAACGAGTAGATAATATTTTTTTTGTGTAAAATCCTTAAAAATTAATTTTAGCAAAAATAAGTTTTTTACTATAAATATTTTTGGTAAAATAATATTATTTTTACAATGAATATTTTTATTATAAATTATTTTTTTTTTATTTATTTTTTTTTTATTTTTTTTTTGATTAAAATACGATCATCTAAAAATATATGTGGTTAATATTGATATGAAAAAAAAAAAATTTCTAATTAATTTTATTACTTCATTAAATATGAAAAAAAAAAAAAAAAATAATATTTAATTTGATTTTTTATTTTTGTTATTTATGTATTTATATTTATATGGTATTTATATTTGTATTTTTTTTTTTTTTTTTTTTTTTTTTTTTTTTTTTTTTTTTCCAAAAAACCCCAAAAAATTTTTCGGGGTTTTAAAAAAAAAAAAAAACCCCAAAAAAAAATTTTTTTTTAAAAAAAAAATTTTTTTAAATAAATTTTCCAATTTTTCCGGGTTAAAAACCCCCCCCCCTAAATATATGGTTTTAAATGTTAAAAAAAAAAAAATTTCTACATTTTTTTTTCCCCCCCTTAATTGGAAAAAAAAAAAAAAAACCACTTTAATTTGAATTTTTATTTTTGTTATTTAGGCCCTTAAATCCATTGGGGATTTAAAATTGCACTTTTTTTCTTTCTTTTTTTTTTTCTTTTTTTTTTTTTTTCCCAAAAATCATCGAAAAATTTTTTCGAGTTTTTAGAAAAAATGAAAAGTCTCAAGAAAAATATTTTTTTGAAAATTTTTTTTGATATATTTAATTGATTTAATTGATTTATTTTATTTTATTTTGTTTTATTTTATTTTATTTATTTAAATTTAATTGATTTACATTTTCTAAAGCTTCAACTGGGTCGGTTGAAAAGTTCATAAAATAGGCTTGAAGTTGAGCAGGACTTAAGCTAAGATGTTTTACTTTATCGACAAATTGTGTAGCTAATTCTTGATGATCTGGATAAAATTTCAAAAACATTTTTTCTAATTGGTATGGTGAAGAGTTTGCAATTTCAATTTGTAAATCCACTCTACCTGGTCTAATTAAAACTTTATTTAATTTTTCCAAGTGGTTAGTGGTCATAAATAAGATACGACCTTCAGAGGCGGCAACACCATCCAATGCATTTAATAGACCACTGAATGTGAGTGATGAGCCATAGCCTTGGTATTGCATTGTTGAGGATGGTCCACTATAGCCTTGATATTGCATGCCACCTGATGAAATTGCATTTGATGATTGGTTTGAGGAGGAGGATGATGGTTGGTTGGTTTCATTGGTTTGAATTGCAGAGTCGATATCCTCTAATAAAATAATTGATCTTTGTGGTGCAGTACTTAAAAGTTGATTTAATGTTACATCGCTTACACCTTTGCCTGCTAAATTCAAAATACATATACTTAATTGTAATTCACCTGCCAATGCTGTAATAAAACTACTCTTTCCAGTACCTGGTGGTCCATATAATAGATAACCTCTTCTATATGGTATACCTCTTTCGTTGTACCAATCTGCATTACCTAAAAACTTTCTGACATCCGTTATAATTGTTTCTGAAATACCTTTATCTAAAATAACCGATCCAATTGGTCTTTTTCTTCTGGGGTGACCAAATCTTCTCCATTCAGTGCCCATTGATGTATATATAATAGTTTTGCCCTCTTCTTTATCCAATGCCATTATTTTAGCTTCTTCGATTAGCTTTTGAAATATATTTCTCTTTGTACCCAATGTTGTTAATGTGATCGATTCCCAAAGATTTCCTGAATTCATATCAATAACATTCTTTTCTCTAGATCTTTCCACTTTAATGACTCTACCTCTATAAAATACATAATGTGTACCAACACTTGGTATAAAATTAATTTTTGATACAATCTCACCACTTTCATGTTGATGGAATGTTGTTTCAACACTAACATGTCTTGTTGTTTTATCCTATTTTAAAAGATAAATAAAAAGTATATACTTATTAGCATGTGTGTTACATTTTAATATTAAAAGTATATTTATATATTAATAGTTTACTTTTTTTGTTGCTAACCAATCCATTAACCAATGGTATGATTTATCTTTTGATGGAACCTCTACAGATACAAAAAAGTATCTTCTACCTTGAATTAATACTGATTGGAAACCTTTTCTACCAATTGCAACAAGTGAACCAACACCAAGTAAACCAAAACCAGCTGAAAATAAAGGATTTTCAAATAATGGTTGGATTGGTTCTGGAATATATTGTAAAATTGATTTTGGTAATCCTCTTACTGGTTGTGCACCATTGACACCAGCACCACCACCAGTTATTGTGTTCATTGCTGGGTGATTCATTATTATTATTTATATTGAAGTTAAAATTAATGAAAAAATGAAATAACAAAATAATTTTAAAAACGAATAATAAAATAATTTTTAATAAAAAAAAAAATAAAAAAAATAAAAAAATGCATTTTTTTTAAATTTTTTTTTTTTATTTTTCATTTTTTCATTTTTACAAATTATTATAAAACCTAAATATATATAAAATGTCGACTAATACAGATGACTTAAAAAAAAGAAAAGCCGAAGAAGATTCTTCATTGTCATCAGATGTTAATAAGAAAATTAAAGAAGACGAAAGTGAAAATGAAAGTGAGAAAGAAGACACCAATAAAATCGATGATAAAAACTTACCTTTACCAATGCGTTTAAAGGCATTAAAAGCAAGTAAAAAAGTTTTAAGTGATCCAATTTGTACATCGGGAAATGGTTTAATTTTCACATTTGGTAATGGAAGGGAAAAGCAAGCTTCAAAAGACATAAATAAAGTATTGGATGAATATATCGACAAATTCAAAGATATTGCAGCTGAAACTAAAAAGAAGGCAAATAGCGATGATTTCGATTTCGATTCAGCTTTTCAAGCAGAGTTACAACAAATTAAAGAATCCAGCGGTTCAAAATCAAAATATGTTAAATATACATTAAAATGTAATGGTGTAGCATACATGTCATTAAATAGCGGAATTAATCCAATTGAATTAACCTCAAAAATTTTCAAAGATGCTCAAGATACTAAAGCCTTAAAATCAAAGTACAGTTTTTATATTAATGTTTTAATAACACCCCACCCCCACAAACTAATATTTAACCCATTTATACTTTAGAGAAATTAATAGAATCATACCAATTCAAAAAACATGTCATTTATCAAATATTTTTGAAGAAACTCAATCATTAGTTAATCAATATTTTAATGTGGATAATAAAGTTTATAAATATAAAATAGAATTTAAATCAAGAATGAATAATAAAATCAACAAGGTTGAATATATTCAAGAACTCGCAAAATTAGTCGACCCTAAGCATATAGTGGATTTAGATAATCCTGAATTAACTATAATAGTTGAAATTGTTAATGTAATTATTATTAATAATAAAATAATAATATCACAAATAATATAATAATATAGGTTTTTAACGAATTTTTTATCTATTTAGTTTTATTGTTTCCTTTCGATTGTTTCAAATTATAATCAATGCAAAAGATTTAATTTAATACTTTTAGCTGGATTGCCCGCTTCAAATGAACCAAAAAAAAATAAAAAAGTCAATGAATCAAAAGAAACAGAATCAACAACAGAACCAACAATAAACGAATCAAAAGAATAAAAAATATTTAATAATAATAATAATAAAATGTATTTTTTTCGATTTTGTTTACAAATTTATATTATAAATAAATATATATATATTTATAATTTTATATTTAGTTATAATTTAATATACAAATTTATTAAATAAATAAATAATAGCCAATGATTATTTTCTTTTTTTTTTTAATTATAATCTACTAGTTTTATAAGTATTTAGTGTTATTATTGTATTATTGTTATTATTGTTATTATTTATATTTGTGTTATTAATTTTATCTCCACCTCTTTCAAATAAGAGTTCAATATGGGTAGTAAATAGTTGTGAATGTAAAAATTGATCTATGAAATTGTAGTTGTTTTGATGAATTAATCTTAAAAGTTGTTCTTTGTGTATAGAATTTCCGAAATCGAAATTTGGGTTCCAGTCTATATAAAAGCCAATTGAATCCAATATAAATCTATTAAATAGCTATAAATCAAAAGATTAAAATATGTACATAAAATAATTTTAATGAAATTATGTAATATTTACCTTAAATTCGTTAGAGAATGATTGTATGCATTTAAATTCGCTCGGTATTGACTTGAATGGATAATCTAAATAATATTTTTTTCTATCTTCTTTTGAAACTTCTCTATAGAAAGGTCTTGTAAATGTTTCTAGTTTATTTTGTTCTGGTAAGGGTAGGATTGGTGAGCAATTTGTACCTAGTTTAATTTGATCATTATCTACATCCAAGATATAACAGTTATCTAAAGCATCTTTCATTTCTGATGAGTTTGGTAGCTTTGTAATGCCAATAATGAATGGAATTGGACAGTGAAGTGCATCCAATGCAGTGTTTGGTAGAATTGGAATAAATGCACCCTGGTATTCGAATGGTCTTAGTAATGGTAATAAGCCAAATATTGTATTTGAAATTGTGCCAATGTTTTTCGAGGTTACTAAAATGAATTTTTCCAATAGTACACACGATATGATTTCCATGATGGTCTTTAGTGAAAGAGTTTTAATCAATCCCGAAAGACACCATTTTTCGATTTGGTACGAATCATCACCTTCACCATAGACAGCAGGTTGTTCATTTGGATAATGTATTGTAAGTTTTTGGTTCTCCAAAGGAACATTTGTGTTATAAAAAATTTCAATAGTTTGTATAACTTCATCTATAAGATTTGGGAACTTTGATGATAGGTTTTCTTCATCTTCTTCCTCTATCTCTTTAATTCCTTTTTTCCTTTTTGGTGGTAATGGTGGTGGTGATGTAATAGTTGTAGTAGTTGTTGTAGTGTTTGTTGTGGTTGAGGTTGTTGTTTGATTTGTAGTTGTTGTAGTTGAGGTTACTGTCTCTGAAGTGGTAGTGGTGGTTATTAATTGTGATTGGTTAGTTGGTGATGGAGTTTTGCTTGATGGGTTTGAATTTGTTGATGAAGATAAATATTGTTCAACTGTTAATTGTGGACCTGATGGTGGGGGTGGTAATAATTTAGAGCCACTAATACTACTATTATCCACTGCTATGGTTGGTAATTTGGGTAATGGTTTTGGTGATGTTTGACCGCTGCTGCCTTCACTGTTACTTTCGCTACTGCTTCCATCTTTACCATTATTATTTTTGTTATTGTGGTTGTTATTTTGGTTTGTTATTGCGGGTGAGCTAAATTTGCTAGAGTTATTTGAATTGTAAAATTGAGTTGAAGAGTTGTTAAAGCTATTATATATTTGGAAACTATTTGTAGACGATGATAAATCAGATTCAGATTCAAATGTGTCATTGCTTAATGATTCTTGAATTGCAGATAATGATTCATCTAAATTTGTACTTCCATTTATTCCATTATTATTATTTGACGAAATACTAAATTGTTGTTGTTGTTGTTGTTGCTGTAGGTGTTGTTGTTGCGCTAATTTTGAAATTGATTGGGAAATCGGGGTGGAGTGAGATCTAGTATGTACAATTGAAGTGGATGCAGCTCTATGGTGGCCAAGTTTGTTTGAGGGTGACGAAAATGGTTGCAAAAGTGATGTTTCTTCGGTAGATGAGTTTAAAACTGGCGAGTCAGCAGGTGACACCGCTATTGGAGAAAAAGGTGTTGGAAAGCTACTTTTAGATAGGTTATTTTGTGGTAATGGTGGTAATGGTTTATTTGGTCTTGATTTCATATTGTTTATATATTTGGAAAATTCATTTGAAGATGCAGATAATTGTTTTGGTGAGTCACTAGAGAAAAAATAATCACGAAATTGTTGTTGTTGAGGTTGTTGTGATACTGAAAGTTGTGATTTTCCCTCTTGAAAATTATACGAAAGATAGGATGATGGCTGTATTGCTAAAGATTGTCTTTGCTGTATTGCTATTGGTTGCTTTCTTTGTTCATTTTGCTGTTTTTGTAGTGTTTTTTCTAATTTTTCTTGTTCATGAATGGATCTATTTACTTTGTTTAATCTTTCTTTACCAAGAATTGAATATATAAAGTCAAAATGAGCTTTGAAAAATGGATATCTACTAATAACACAATAACACCTTGGTGAAAAATAGCAAAAGGGTGATGTTGATGTTGTTGAAGATTCATCTGATCCACTATTATTTTTTTTATTTAGTTCTATAGACTCTGGGAAGAAATATGGAAATTCATTAATTAGTTCAGTATTTAAAACACAACATCCATACATTAAATGTTCGCCGCCTGTAATTAAAAACATAAATGAACTGTCTGATCCTTCTAATTGTGATAATGATTTATATAGTACTGAGTTGAACTCTGTTAATGAATTTCTTCTCTTTATTTGAATTAGTTTAACACCATCTGGAAAACAAAAATTTACAACTTGTGGATCGCATGGTTTATCTGGTGGGTAACTATACAATATTTTTGCATCATTCGATATCTTTTCACCTGGATTAATTACTGTTTCTTTTGATAAACCTACAACTATAAAATTTTCAATTAATCTTCCTTCTCTCATTGATTTAAATTGTCCTGATAATGAAAATTGTTCTATATTTGTCGATTCGTCTTTATTAGTTCTAAAATAAAAATGTTAATTTATATAATTATTATTTTAAAAAAATTATTAAAATTTATTTGAAGTCATGAATATTTACTCTAAAGAATCATTATTATTTGAAGCTGTACTAGAGAAATTGTCAAATGTTGATAAGTTTGAAGAAATTTCTTCATTTGTATTATTTATAATTGTTGATGATACTTGATTTTTTTCATTGTTATCATTTTCTTTTTCTTGTTCCTGTTCCTCTTTTTCTTTTTCTTGTTCCTGTTCCTGTTCCTGTTTCTCCTTTTCTTTTTCTTGTTGGTGGTGGTCAATTGAGCTTGCTAAAGAGTCATTTTCTGTTTCGGTGCCCCTAATATCTGTTCTATTAATTTCTTTTGAATCTCTTATCATTGTATGAACATTACTACTACTAATACTATTTTCTAATTTATAGTTTTCTTCAATAATCTCTTCGTTGGATTGGTTTATATCTTTACTTTTATTTAAGCTATTTTCTTCTATTTCATTTTTTGTACCATTTAGTTCTTCGCTATTTGAACTTTCTTCATTATAACTATCACTATTATTATTATTGTTATTATTGCTAATATTATTACTATTACTATTATTATTGTCAAAAGATTCTATCATTTTATAATTTTAATTTGAAAAACTAATATGAAATGAAAAAAAAATAAAAATAAAAATAAAAATAAAAATAAAAAAAAAAAAAGAATATGTTGCAAAATTAAATTAAAAAAATAAAAAAAAAAATAAAAAAGTAAAAAAATAAAAAAAATCTAAAATGTTAAAGAAAAATTAACCATTAATTGAGAGGTTGCAAATCTTTGTTGGGTTGTTATATTTTTATTATTATAAAAACTAATAAAATTAAGTTGATATTATTATTTTTATTATTATATTATTTTTACTATTATTAATATTATATAGATAAATTAAAAATATAACCTTTTTTTTATTATTGTTTTTTTTTTCTTTATTTCTTTTTAATATTAATAAATAAATTTAAATTAAAATATTAAAGTTTAAAAGTAATATTAAACACAATGTTTTTTTTTTTCTTTTTTTTTAAAAAAATAAAAAAAAAATTTAATTTTAAAAAAATAACTATGTACAAATATATCCTTTTTTTTTTTAAACACACTACCCCACATACACACAAAAAAAAGCACACACATACAATAATAGTAATATTTAAAAAAAATAATTTTGTTTTTTTTTAAAAATAAAATTTATTTTTTTTATTATTTTAAAAAATAAAAAAATAAAAAAAAAGCTTGTAAAAGATCGAACACATATAAAAATATTTTTATTTTGTTTTGTTTTTCATTTAAAAAATAATTTATTTTTAAACTGCTCCACATTTACTATATAATAGTAATAATTTATCTTTAATTGAAAAAAATATTTATAATAAAACTTATTTCACACTATTATTAGAAATTATTCAGACAAGATTTTTTTTTTAAAACAAAAAAAAAAAACCACACACAATTTAGTTTTTAAAACAGAACCTTTCAAATGAAATTTTTTCATTGTCACAATCTATTGATTAACACATTAGTTTAAAAAATAGTAATTTTAATAGTAGGATTGACAGTAATTACAGAGAATCGTAGTTAACTCATTTTCTACAAGAGTTATACAATTACAGTAGCAGTGGTAGTGGATTAGTATCAGAGTCAATCATGGTATCAGGGTGGTATATTGCACTAGAGATTAGTTTCAAACTAAAGGTCATATTAAAATGCTTTAGAGTTTTAAATATTTTTATATAATTATAAATAATAATAGAAATAATAAATAATAATGATAATAAATTACACTATTTGACTTTTTATTTTATACAATAACAGCAACTTTAAGTCAATTTATTCACCAAATTTCACAAGATGGAAAAAATTTACCATGGTTTTTAAATAATAAAAAACAATAAAAATTTAATTTATTAAAAAATTTAAAAGCTTAAAATTAAAGATCTTTATTTTGATAATGATTAGAAAATTAACTAGGGATAGAGAATTTTTAATTCTATATTATAATAATAATAAATAATAAAATTGATGATGAAGGCGGACCCGGATCTGTGACCAAATGACATTAATTTGTACTTAATAAAACGGATGAAAGTGTTAATTGTTTTTGTTGATGGTATTTGATTGATAAATTATGATAGAATAAGCCCATTGTTGAAAATAAACTTTATAGGAAAGAATGCAATTAATTCTGGATAAATAGATTTTAGAATTGAAATTTCATTTTTTCAAATTGATTAACTTGGATTTAGATTTAGAAGGCAGAATGAATCGATGAATGAATAGAGTTGGATGGATTGCTTTTATTTTTAAATGTCATGATTATTTTGATGATTATTATTCCATATTAATATTATTTACTCTATTATCTTTTTCCTTGTCTGGATCCATGAATTTTGCATTATTATTTATAATATAATCTATATCCATTATTTTTGTTATTTGTTTTATTATTATAATCATTATTTAAATAATAGTAATCAATATTATTATTTACAATATAAACATATAAAGTTGATTATTATTTATACTAATAATTATATTATTTAATATGTCTCTGGATGATGAATTATTTATATTATCAAGGTCATGCAATATTGATTATTATTACTATTATTATTTATTTAATATCATTTTTATTTTTATTATCATTTATTTATTATTAATGTTATTTATATATATTATTATGTTTTGAAATAGAAATCAAATCTTTTTAAGTTTTAAAATTAAATATTAGTTTCTTTTATATTCAAATATAATAATATTAACTTTATAAATACCTTTAAAGTACTAATACCCAATGAATGATGAATGACCTGAAAACCACAATTAATAAGAATAAACTAAACCCCCAATGAATAATGGGTGACTTGAAAAAACCTCCAATGCTTGATAAATGACGGAAAAACCCAATTAGAAAGAATAAACCTAACCCCTCAATGTAAGATGAACGATTTGAAAAACCACATCATTTGATGAATTAAAAACCCACAATGTTTAACGAATTAAAAACCACAGCGTTTGATGAATTAAAGACAACCCCAATGAATGATGAACGATTTGAAAAAACCACAACGTTTGAATGACATAATAAACCCGCAATGTATGATGAAATATTTGAAAAACAACCCCAATGTTTAATGAATGACTCGAAAACCACATTTAAAAAGAATATACTGAACCCCCTATGTTTGATGAATGACTTGAAAAACCCAATGTATGATGAATGACTTGAAAAACCCGATTAAAAAGAAAATACTGAACCCCAAATGTTTGATGAATGGCTTGAAAAACCCCGATTAAAAAGAAGATACTGAACCCCAAATGTTTGATGAGTGACCTGAAAAAAACCCCGGTGTTTGATGAATTACTTGAAAACCAAAATTATAAAGAAAATACTGAACCGCGATATAATGGAATATATGGAACCCCAATGTATGAATAATTGCTCGAAATAAACAGCGTATTGAAACTGAAAAAGAAAGTATTGAATCTGAACTAAATAAATATTAAAATTAGATATAAAATTCTTTTATATTCAAATTTAATAAAAATTACGTAAATAATAACATTATAGTTACCTTAAAATTATGAGTATCCCAATGTAGACTAAATAGAACGTGCGAAGCTTGAAAGAGAATGAGTTAAACTAAATTTGAATTAAATATTAATTTATAATTAATTAATTATAAACACTATAGTTACCTTAATTATATAAATATTATTGACATTAAATAAAGAACATGGTTATAATGAACAGAAAGAACTTGATAATACTGTGAGAGAAGAATTATAAATTAACTATATAAGAATTAAAAATAAATATTAGTTTCTTTTATATTTAAATATAATAATTATGTTATTATAAACACTATAGCTACCTTAATAAAATAAATGCCCAGAATTGACATTATAGAAAGAACTTGATAATAATGTGAGAGAAAGAATTATAATTAAACTATATAATAATTAAAATTAAATATTAGTTTCTTTTATATTTAAATATAATAATTATGTAATATAAACATTATAGTTACCTGAATAATATTAATGCCCTATTACTGACATTAAAGAAAGAGCATGGTTACACTGAAGAGAAAGAACCTGATGATACCGAGAGAGAAAGGATTATAATTGTACTATATAAAAATTAAAAATAAAATATTAGTTTCATTTATATTCAAATTTAATAATATTTTAGTAAATATTAATATTATAGTTACAATAGGGAACTTGTAAATGGAACCTTGAGAACCTTGTTTTGTAGAGTTGAAGCTATTGCGATATATTATACTGATAATGTTGAAAACGATGAGAATGTTGTCCAATGATGATGTTTACAGTTTAACCTTTGATTTATTAATAAATACGTTTCCATATGGATGGTATATTATTGATTTGTGTCCATGTAATCATAGAATTAGTGGCCAGTTAATTCCTGATACATATTCATGAAATCTAATAATTACCATTTGAAACGGTAATGTAATTCTATTCGATATCCATTTGGTCAAACAATTCCAAATCGATATTGTATTCGTTGGAATTTGCATCATCATTATTTAAATTTGTGGACTTTGATCACCTTGCTCTATGTCGGATTCGTTTGTTGAACCATTTGCTTGATTGACTCTCTACAATTAAATTATAAATTAAATTAATATATATGTTTTATTTATTATGCATAAAATATGAATGTATGAATTACTTACTCTAACCAAATAGAATGGAGCTCTACAATTTGGACATGTGTTATTACGACGATAAGACATTTCCATAATGCAATCGAAACAAAACATGTGGTTACAATCGATTGCTGCAAGTTGGCTTGGTTCAATTCTTTCGATGCAAATAGTGCAAGTATTTTCGTTTTCTCTACGTTCTGCTTCTTCTCTTTCTTGTTGTTCTCTTTGTTGCTGTTGTTCTCTTTCTTGATTTTCTCTTTCTTCTCTCTCTTGTTGTTCTCTTAATTGTTGTTCTCTTTCTCTTTCTTCTCTTTCTCTTTCTCTTTCCAATCTTTGTCTTTCTAAATCTTCTAAACGTACCCTTTCCATAGCTCTTTCTAATGTTTCTTTTAATATTGTTTGGGTACGTCCTAATTCTTCTCTTTCTTTCTGTTCTCTTTCTTTTTGTTCTTTTTCTTTTTTTTCTCTTTCTTTTTCTTTTCTTTGCTTTTCCTTAGCTTCTCTACGTTCTATAATTTCTTTTTCTAGTCTTTCTTTTTTTAATCTTTGTATTTCCAAAGATTCTCTATATTCTCTTTCTTTTCTTTCTTTTTGTAATTTTTCAATACGTTCTTTTACTTGGGTTTCTCTTTTTAATTGCTCCATATATTCATTTTCTTTTTGTTGTTCCTTTTTTAATATTTCCATATTTTCTTTTTCCATTCTTTCTCTGGTATGGTCGAATGGTGAATATGGAAATACATTTTCTGGTTGTGATGGTTCCTTTGAGGCATGGAGTTTTTCAAGAAATTTTTTTGGGGAATGACTTAAAATTTCTTGAACTACTGCGGAACGACCAGAATTTTCTCTACTATTATGATATTCGGAACAACAATACATGTTTCTGTATGCGGAATAATGGAATGTTGAGGTACTATCATATTTATTATTTTCTTTTGGGGATTGATCGATTGGGGTAGAATTTGTGGTTTCATTAATTTTGTGGTTATTGATGTGGGTGTGGTTATTGGTGTGGGTGTTATTGTTGGCTTGGGTTTCGTTGTTGGTGTGGGTGTCGTTATTGGTGTGGGTGTGGCTATTGATTTGGGTGAAGTTATTGGTTTGGGTTTCTTGTGGGGTGGAACGGAAAATAATTTTTAAAATTATTAATGACCAAATAAAAATAGCAAATAAAATTGTTTCTAACATTTTTTTAATTAATGAGTGAATATAAAAAAATGAAAGTTATTATGGAATGTGAAATATAATTGCTATTATTTAAAACTTTTTTTTGATATTATATACTATGTGAAACTATATACAAATAAAATTTTGATTTTTTATTTAATTAAAAAAGAATTTTTTTTATTTTTTTTTTAATTAATATTTTTTTGTGTGGGTCTGTAAAAACAAAAAAAAAATTTAAAGAAATTTAAAAAAAAAAGTTGTTATTAACTTTATATAAAACAATGTTTAATTTATTATAAAATTTAAAAATTAAAAAAAAAAAAAAAAAAAAAAAAAAAAACAACCCAATGTGGTTGAAGTTCATACTTTTATTATAATTTCTTTATTATAAAATTGATAATGTATATGACACATTACAATGACATATAAAACATGATATATGTTTCAATTTTTTAAAAAAAAAAAAAAAAAAACCCAATTAGATTTCTCTTTTTTTTCTTATGGATAGTATTATCTTTTATATTTGTAAATATATTATTTATGTTTCATGATTTATATATAGTTTTGTAGAAAACTATTTGTGTTAATTTGTATCGGGTATTATTTTTGATCAATTAAAAAATAAAAAAATATAAATTATTGAAATATAAATTAAAAAAAAAATTATAAAAATTAAAAAAAAAAAAAAAAAAAAATAAAATAAAAAAGACAATGTTTTGTTTGTAATATCTTTATTTAATATATTTTATCAATTTTATGAAAATGAGAATGTAGAGTATATATATATATATGATTGAGCTTGAAAAGATGATTAATAGTTAAAATACAGGACTTGTGGATGAATAAAAATAAATTTTAGCTAAAATGTAACCTTCACATGTTGATTGAGCAGGAGCTGGTATCTTTTTGAATTGCTTCTGATAATAATGGGTACGAATTGGGGTTGGTTGAATGAGATAATGGATCTATACCACAAATTGACATAACCATTCTCTTATTACTACTTGATCTTGAAACACCTAAACCTAAACATAATTTCTCTAAAGTTGAATTATTTAATTTATAAAGATCCACTGCATCACTATTATTATAACATTTGCTTGGATTAACTATACGATTTTGAGTTTTAAAACCAGTTGCAATTGATTTAAATGTAGGAACTTTTTCGTCTCTTTCATCAATTTTACAAACTTTATAATAACCATCAAGTTCAATTGCAATCCAACTTTTCTCATCTTTTAATGTATCTTTGAGTATTGTGTTAATGTTGCTACTTGAGGAATCTGAAATTGTTGCCAACCAATCTTTATTTACAATATGATTTAAATTATCTTTGGGAAAAAATGCACTATCACCAACTAAATCAAATTTAAGATCTTTATAAGTTTCTAATAAGTGATCAACACGACTTGAGGGAGTAATTTCATTATCTAACTCGTTTAAAAACTCTATAATATATGGATATTTGAATTCTTTAACAGACCCTCTTCAAGATTTTGATACGGGGCTTTTTTAGGGATGAAAAATGAATACGTTCTAAAAAGGTTCCAACCATATAGGTTAAAAGTCTATTTGCATGAGGTTTACGAGGTATACACATAACTGGAGATTTATTATTATTTTGAATATGTTTCTCATTTGAATCTGAATCTAAGATATATGTATATATTGTTTCATCAAGGGTGCAAACTTTAATTCCTTCTACCAAATCATAACTAATATCACTCATTTCACTTCCAATTCTTTTAATTTGATCATCTGTAAAGTTAGTTGTTGATTGCTTCTGTTATGAATGAATAAGTCTAATGAGCTTAAAATTAAATGTGGAGATAAACTTTAATAATGAGCTAAGGAACATAAATGACCAAACATCAAATCTTTTTTTATTTCGGTTTCTCTCCTCTGAACTATGCTGTTGTTGAGTATTACATGAGGTTTTGAGATGGGTTATAAAAGGGTGTAATTTTAAAATTATTTGATTTGAGTATTTCGATTGCCATATTATAAGATGATGGATTATTGATTTCTCGATATTGTTGGAATCCTGCATAAAGTATTCTTTTGTTTTTAATAACTTTTGAATAGTTTATATTATTCAATAAATAGTTATTATTTGATGACGATTCGATAGTTGCCTCATTATCATCTCTATTACATTTATTGTTGCTGTTTGATGAGTCAATCTGTATGTCTGATGTCATTTGTACTTGGAATGTATTGATATTGCTTTTGAATAACCAGTTTGAAATTGATAATGATAATTTGAATCCTCTTTTTGTAACTGTGAATTGATAACCTGCAAATGTGAACCTTTATCTTTATTGTTACTTCTTCTATTATTAATTTTATTATTGCATTGGTATTGTCTTCTTTAATTCTTATTTGAATCGATATTGAATATCCTATAACTTGATTTTTAATTATAACTGCTCCATTGTTATTGGTTTCTGTTTCTGCTTGATTATTATTATTGTTATTAATTGGTGATGAACAATCGAAACATGTATATTCTGAATTACATTTGCAAATGTACCTGTTGTTTTATCACATATTCCATGTTCATGGTATTTATATGAACATTCTTTTTCTGTGGTATAATATGGATATATGTTACCACTCCATGTGATTGTATTTTGTGTGAAATTGACTTTTATTGAACCAATATTACCAGTTCCGATTGTTGTTTTGATTTGATTCTGATGATAATATATTATATTTAATTTGACACCAATAGATTCTAAATATTTGATCCTTTAGAATTTCCTGATCTTAAAAGTGTTTTTTAGTTGTACAAGCATTCTTTTATCGGGTTTTAAAATCCTCAATACCAAAATAGTTGATATCGTAATTGCATACTTTACAATATTTATTCTTTCTTGAAGACTGTTCATAAATCAATTGGTTTGATGGTGTGTGTCTTTGCTAATGTTTGGGAATATATATATATGTTCATTGAAAAGCTAAATATTTGACATTCTTTATCTTTTAAAACTGCTTCACTGTTGGTATGCTTTATTTAATGGTGATATGTCTATGTGTAGTAGTTAAGTGATTGTATTTTATTTTTAATTAGTATAACATAATATAAAACAATTGTTTAGAAATAGCAGTTAACTGTCTAATTATTTACCTTACCTGATGTGTCTTTGTATTTTGCTTAATATACATTAATGAAGGACATTATATTATAATATATATTTTGTTATTTTATTTTTATTTAGTTTATAATAAAATAATGTTTATGGTGGTGCAGTATTATTTTTAGAAAATGAAAAAAATAAAAAAAAAAAATAAAAAAAATTAATTTTGAATTTTTTTTTTCACTTTTATAATAATAATTACTTTTAGAAAAGATTTCAAACAAAATGGAAAAAATTTACCATATGGTTTTTAAATAATAAAAAACATTAAAAATTTAATTTATTAAAAATTTAAATATGCTTTTAAACTAAAGATCTTTATTTTGATAATGAATAGAAAATTAACTAGGGATGGTTAATTTTTAATTCTATATTATAATAATAATAAATGATAAAATTGATGATGAAGGTGGACCTGGATCTGTTACCAAATGACATTAATTTGTACTTAATAAAACGGATGAAAGTGTTAATTGTTAATGTTGATGGTATTTAATTGATAAATGATGATAGAATAACCTATTGTTGAATATAAACTTTATTGGAAAGAATGCAATTAATTCAGAGTAAATAGATTTTAGAATTGAAATTTCGATTTTTTCAAATTGATTAACTTGGATTTAGATTTGGAAGGCAGAATGAATCGATAAATGAATAGAGTTGGATGGATTGCTTTTATTTTTAAATGTCATGATTATTTTGATGATTATTATTCCATATTAATATTATTTACTCTATTATCTTTATCCTTGTCTGGATCGAATTTTGCATTATTATTTATAATATAATCTTTTATTATATATGTCTCTGGATGATGAATTATTTATATTACCAATGTCATGGAATATTGATTATTAATATTATTATTATTATTATTATTTATATTATCATTTTCGTTATTATTATATTTTATTGTTTATATTAATATTATCGTTATTATTATGTGTTGAAATTGAAAGAATTCAAATCTAATTAAGTTTTAAAATTAAATATTAGTTTCTTTTATATTCGAATATAATAATAACTATATAAATATGAACATACCTTTAAAGTACAAGTACCCCATTGAATGATGAATGACCTGAAAACCACAATTAAAAAGAATTAAGTAGACCCCAATGAATAATGGGTGACTTGGAAAAACCCCATATTGCTTGATAAATGATGTAAAAAACCCAATTAAAAGAATAAACTAAACCCAATGAATGATGAACAATTTGAAAAACCACAGCGTTTAATTAATTAAAAACCCACAATGTTTGATGAACGATTTGAAAAAACCACAGCATTTGAATGACTTTATAAACCCACAATGTATGATGAAAGATTTGAAAAACTACCCCAATGTATAATGAATGACTTGAAAACCCCAATTAAAAAGAATATACTGAACCTCAATGTTGATGAATGACTTGAAAACCCCGATTAAAAAGAAAATACTGAACCCCAAATGTTTGATGATTGACCTGAAAAAACCCCAGAGTTTGATGAATTACTTGAAAACTTCAATTATAAAGAAAATACTGAACCGCGATATAATGGAATATATGGAACCCCCAATGTATGAATAATTGCTCGAAATAAATAACGTATTGAAACTGAAAAAGAAAGAATTGAATCTGAACTAAATAAATATTTAAATTAGATATTAGTTTCTTTTATATTCAAATTTAATAATAATTATGTAAATATTAACAATAGTTACCTTAAATTATGAATATGCCAATGTAGACTAGATAGAACGTGTGAAGCTTGAAAGAGAATGAAGTAAACTAAATATGAATTAAATATTAGTATATTTTATATTCGAATTTAATATATGTAAATATAAACACTATAGTTACCTTAATTATAAAAATGCCCTATTATTGACATTATAGAAAGAACATGGTTATACTGAAGAGAAAAAACCTGATAATACTATGAGAGATCGACCTGATAATAGTGTGAGAGAAAGAATTATAAACTATATAATAATTAAAAATAAATATTAGTTTCTTTTATATTTAAATATAATAATTATGTAATATAAACATTATAGCTACCTTAATAAAATAAATGCCTAGAATTGATATTATAGAAAGAACTTGATACTGTGAGAGAAAGAATAATAATTTAACTATATAATAATTAAAATTAAATATTAGTTTCTTTTATATTTAAATATAATATTTATGTAATTATGTAGTATAAACGCTATAGTTACTTATAATATCAATGCCCTGTTACTGACATTATAGAAAGAGCATGGTTATACTGAAGAGAAAGAACCTGATGATACCGAGAGAGAAAGGATTATAATTATACTATATAAATATTAAAATAAAATATTAGTTTCTTCTATAATAATATTTTAGTAAATATTAATATTATAGTTACAATATGATGAGAACTTATTAATGGAACCATGAGAACTTTTTAAACATTATTTTGTAGAGTTGAAGCTATTGATGAATTATTTACTAGTATACCGTAGATAACGATGAGAATGTGGTCCAATGATGATGTTTTCAGTTTAACCTTTAATGATTTACTAATTAATACAACGTTTCCTTATGGATGGTATATTATTGATCTATGTCCATGTAATCATAGAATTTGTGGCCAGCTAATTCTTGATACATATTCATGAAATCTAATAATTACCATTTGAAACGGTAATTGAAATCTATTCGATATCCATTTGGTCAAACAATTCCAAATCGATATTGGGTTCGTTGGAATTTGCATCATCATTATTTAAATTGGTGGACGTTGATCACCTTGCTCCATATTGGCTTCGTTTATTGAACCATTGACTCCCTACAATTAAATAATAAATTAAATTAATATATATATATTTTATTTATTATGTATAAAATATGGTATGAGTTACTAACTCTTACTGAAAAGAATGGAGCTCTACAATTTGGACAGGTGTTATCACGACGATAAGACCATTCCATAATGCAACCGTAACAAAATTTGTGGTTACAATCGATTTCTGCAAGTTGGTTTGGTTCAATTCTGTCCATACAAATAGTGCAAGGATCTTGGTTTTCTCTACGTTCTGCTTCTTCTCTTTCTTGTTGTTCTCTTTGTTGTTGTTCTCTTTCTTGATTTTCTCTTTCTTCTCTCTCTTGTTGTTCTCTTAATTGTTGTTCTCTTTCTCTTTCTTCTCTTTCTTCTCTTTCTAATCTTTCTAATCTTTCTCTTTCTAATCTTTCTTGTCTTTCTAAATCTTCTAAACGTACCCTTTCCATTGCTCTTTGTAATGTTTCTTTTATTATTGTTTGGGTACGTTCTAATTCTTTTCTTTCTTTCTGTTCTCTTTCTTTTTGTTCTTTTTCTTTTTTTTCTCTTTCTTTTTCTCTTTCTTTTTTTTCTTTTTCTATTCTTGCTTTTCCTTAGCTTCTCTACGTTCTATAATTTCTTTTTCTAGTCTTTCTTTTTTTAATCTTTGTCTTTCCAAAGATTCTCTATGTTCTCTTTCTTTTCTTTCTTTTTCTAATTTTTCAATACGTTCTCTTACTTGGGTTTCTCTTTTTAATTGTTCCATATATTCATTTTCTTTTTGTTGTTCCTTTTTTAATATTTCCATTTTTTCTTTTTCCATTCTTTCTCTGGTATGGTCGAATGGTGAATTTGGAAATACATTTTCTGGTTGTGATGGTTCCTTTGGGGCATGACTTAAAATTTCTTGGGTTACTGAGGAACGACCAGAATTGTCTTGATTATTATGATATTCGGAACAACAATATATATTTTTGTATGCGGAATAATAGTATGTTGAGGAACTATCATACTTATTTTTTTCTTTTGGGGATTGATCAACTGGGGTAGAATTTGTGGTTTCGTTAATTTTGTGGTTGTTGGAGTGGGTGTCGTTGTTGATGTGGGTTTGGCTATTGGTTTGGGTGTGGTTATTGGTTTGGGTGTGGCTATTGGTTTGGGTTTGGTGTGGGGTGGAACGGAAAATAATTTTTAAAATTATTAATGACCAAATAAAAATAGCAAATAAAATTGTTTCTAACATTTTTTTAATTAATGAGTGAATATATAAAAAAAATGAAAGTTATTATGGAATGTGAAATATTATTGCTATTATTTAAAACTTTTTTTTTTGATATTATATACTATGTGAAACTATATAGAAATAAAATTATATTTTTTATTTAATTAAAAAAGAATTTTTTTTATTTTTTTTTTTATTAATATTTTTTTTGTGGGAGTCTGTAAAACAAAAAAAATTTTAAAAAATTTAAAAAAAAAAGTTGTTATATTAACTTTATATAAAACAAAGTTTATTTTTTTATAATATTTTTTAAAAATTTGTTTTTTTTTTTTTTTTTTTAAAAAAAATTGAAATATATATCATGTTTTATATGTCATTGCAATGTGTCATATACATTATCAATTGATAATGTAATTATAATAACAGTATGAACCTCAAAAAGCTTGTGTGTTGATTTATTTTTTTTTTTTTTTTTTTTTTTTTTTTAAAAATATTACAAAAATAATTTATTTATTTATTTATTTATTTATTTATTTATTTATTATTTTTATAAAAACAAATATTTTATATTGAAATTTTATTTATTTTCTTGATGTTTAATAATAGTATGAATTAAAATAAATGTTGATTTTGAAACAATGATTGAGCATTTTTCTAGAGTTTTGTTTTTTAAACTTCTAAAGTAGTCTATAATAATGAGATTGTTTATATCTTCACCTAAAATCCCTCTTAGATTTGGTATTAAGTTATATTCGAAAAAGAATTCCAACATTTCTAAATCTGCTAAATTGGTGAATGATTCTCTATACTTTATTAGTTCTAGGAGCATTTCTTTATTTATTTTAAAAGTAGTTGATGGGAATGCAGAATGAGTGAGTTTAAATAATAGGGTATTTTTTGTGGTGAATGCAAGGTTTAAAATATTATATTTGTATTCTTCGCTATGATTTAATGAAATGATATATTGCTTTTTTTCTTTTAAAATATATTGAATTAATGGGTGATACTCTTGAAATGAAAATTTCTGTAGTAGGGTTTCCAAGAATAATCTTTTATCTCTTTCTGTAAAACAATTGGACCAATAGAATTCAGTAATATCGAATCTAGTTGAGCACATATCTATAATAGTGTAAGTACCGATGATAGTATGCTTTAGCATTGGTTCATATAGTTTTTCAAACCACCTCATTGGGATTTGTTTACAAATGTCCCATTTAAAAGCTTCAAAGGTTTTCCGGCTAATTTGAGTTGTACGGCTCTCTATTAGTCTTAGTACTGACTCATATAAACCTCTACCTAAAAAATCAAGAGCAATATTATCTGTTTTCAAAAATTTATAAGTATGGAAGGGGGTTTCATATAGTTTATCATTTAGATCCTTGAAATATTCTTTATAATTGCTAACCTGGTCATTGTCCGGGTCTACTAGATTTAATATGAATTCTTGATTTATGAAGTTTGGTAATTCTTCTATTATTAGTTCTATTAAGCATTTGTTTGAGAATGGTTTTAATAGATTATTATCTGATAAATAGGTTATAATTTCCATTGGATCTTTGATTGTTGATAGTGATTGTTCATTTATGCCATTTATATAGTTATTGTTAATTAAGTTTAATATTTTAATTATTGATTTATAGTCTTTAGATACTGCTGATTTTAAAAATATATAAATTAAAATATTTGATTTATTTGAAAGAAACTTGAATGGGTTTTCACTTTGATTGTATATTCTATCAAGAATACTCTGATCCATTTTTTCTACTATTTCAAGCAAGGGATCCAGTTTGATTTGCTGTAGCTGTAGAAGCATGTTTCTAATAAAAATTTCAAAGGTAATTTCATTTTCATTATATTCTGTGAAACCTTTATTTGATAAATTATTTAAAAGCAAATTGAAATCTAACAAATAAATATTATTTAACTTTTTTTTCGAAATTTTTTTCTCTATTGCCTCTTGAACATCTTCTTCTTTCTCCAATGGAATTTCCTTCAAATGTTGGCCCAGTAAATATATTTTATTGAAATTGAATTGTTTTGGTGACCCATCTTTTTTAAAATGGTACTTAAACATTCTTTTAAAATAGTTTGAGATGTAATAGATATATTTTTCTTTAAAGATTGAATAGTTTTCTAAAAGCCATGCTAAAAGTTGGTGGTTGTAGATGGAAATGGTTACTTTAAAAATTTCAAACCAAACCGAGTCATCTAGTTCTTTGGTGTTAAATAGATAATTGAAATATAACTTTGCATTTTCATGGTTTGAAGCATCGAATGGAATGTCTTTTTCATGGTAATCAAATAACTTGAAGCTGACTATTGGGTTATTTAAAAATATTTCTAAAGTACCTTTTGATAAATGCAGTAGCGAATAAGAAAATAGAAAGTAACCGTTGTTTTTAATTAAAAGTGGATTGTTATACCAGTGTCCATTTTGTAAGAAATGAAGAATGTAGTAGTGGCCCATTAAATCGAATATTTTATTTGGTGGGTATCTTTGGTTTAGCAATTCAAATAGTGAATCGAATGTATTGATTTCTTGGTTCCTTTGGGAAAGCTGTTCTTTGAATTCATTGGCGTTTTCAAAAAATTCTGGATATTTGTTAAGATTGTTTAACAATAATATTTTTGCGTGGCTGATATTATTTGAACAGTTTTTAAAAGTGATTTGATTATTATTTTTTAGCAGTGTATCAATTATTTTGTTTAATAATGGTTGCTTGTGAATAGTTTTGTCATTGGTAATCATTATATTGTGTGAGGAGTTTTCTTCTAATACTGCTACCATGTCAAGGTTCAAATGGTTTTCTATAAGCTCCAATGAATCCTTGTTTATATTTTTTAAAAATTTAAAAAATTGACATGGTACTGTTATTGGAATGTTATTACTATTATTACTATATATTAACTCTTTAATTTTATCCTGTATATTTTCATTGATTTGAATATCTATTTCATTTACTTTTTGTTTTTTATTAACAAATTCTTGATTTTTATCTATATTTTTTTTATTTTTATTATTATTATATTTAATTTGTTCAATTGTTTTAATTATTGATATTGATATTTTAGGAGAATATTCTAATTGATGGAGTGAAATCTCTAATAAATCAAATAGTTTATATGATGGATTTATTATATTGGATATTGTTAATGTTTTTTTATCTCCCATGGTGCTATTGTTATTACTAAAATTAGTGATGTTATAGTCGATGTAATTTGAGTGTGTAAATTCCAAAATGTGTTGAACCCAAACTTTGATATCTGTATTTGATATTACGTGTTTATAGTTTTTCCATATCAATTGATAAATTTCTTCAATCATCACTGTATCACATAATTTATATTTTAAACTGTAATTGGCTTCTAATAAATTAAATGAATAATAATCAATTATTAATAAATGATTTGATCTTAATTTATCTAATATCATTGAATATTTTTCATTTGAAAGTAATGATGACAATGATGTTGAACCATAATACCCTGCATAGCCTTCAATATGTATAAACCTTAAAATATTGTTTCTAATAACTTTATTTCCAAATAATTTTAAAAATAAATCACCTCTATCCATTTATTATTTTTTTAAATCTATAATTATATATTGTTTATATTATTTATTATTTATTTTTTATTATTGTGTGGCTTTACTTTTACAATTTTTAATGTTATTTGGGGGTTAATCAAAAAAAAAAAAAAAAAATTAATATTTATTTTAATTAAAATTATAAAAATATTTTTTTTCAATTTTTTTTTTTAAATTAAAAAATTCAAAGAATCAATAAAAAAATTATAAATGTAATAAATGGTGGTGTTAAAAAAAAATTAAACAAGTCTGATTTCACAATCCCTCTTTTAATGTTATTTTGGTTGTTACTGATAAAAATAATAACTCTGTTGATTATTAATTGTGTTGATTATTATTAGGTAATGATCCTTGTTTATTACTCATCCCCTTCTAATCGGAGCCCTAAAAGCATGGTTTTCCTTTTTTTTTTTTTTTTTTTTAATTTATTAAAAATAAACTTTGAAAAAAGAAAAAAATTAAAAAATTATTAAAAAAAAAAATTTTTAAAAAAAAAATTAAAAAAAAAAAATGTTTTTTTACTTTATTTAATTCACACTTTTATCTATTTTGATTTTATTATTTTTAGGTTTTAGTATGATTAATTTATGCAGAGGTTTGGGTTCAATGTTTTTTTTTAAATTTATAATTTCAAAAAAAACATGCTGGAATTTGAAATTTAATATACAGGAGGTTTGTGCGTTAAGAAATACTAAAGAGATCTAAAGTGGAACACCATACCATGTCGATTATTTCTACGTCATGGATTTGTCTTGTTATCATGGAGGGAAATTCCGAAATCTCTAAATACTGAAACAGCACCCTCTATTTGATAATGTCTATACAATTTACAATTGGTAACGATATTGTATACTTTTGAAGCTATTAGACTACGTAAGACTGAAGTTCTTAAGGCGGCTGGTTGATGTAAATCTTTAGTTCTAATGTAATCAAAACTTATTATATATCATTTTAATTCATATTTCAATATAATGAACAATCATAGAAATTAACAGCTCCAGGTCATCCACAAGCAGATGGTCAGTTGAAAAGAATGATGAGAACAATTAAAGAGACCCTATCCAAAGTAGATGGGATGAAGAGATATCGAATATTGAATGCTCAATAAATAATTCAATTAAATTAACTCCAGTAAGTATTGTATATGGGTTTGAATCAAGAATGCTTTATAATATCATAAAAAATTACAATATAGATTCCGTTGAGGGTATGTATTTTACTCAATATATTTAAACTTCAAAGTAGAACAAGCAGTTCATTATTATAAGAATAGAAAAGAATTAGAAATCGAAAATAATAATTTAGTTTTGGTCAAAGGAAGCGTTTTATATCCAATTAAAAATATATTATCACAGGATCAATTCAAATTATTACCGAGAGATGGTCAATCAATTCAAATTTAAAAAAATTAAAAAAGTTATTAGGTCAGGTATTTTAGTTCAATCCAGTAATTTTTTGCTTTGGAAGGGATGTGTAATGAACAATGATCATTACTTAGTAATAATCAACAATTAAAAAAAAAAAAAAATTTAAAAAAATAAAAAAATAAAAAATATAAAAATATAAAAACTTTTTAGATTTTAGTTTATCTTATATCATTGAATATTTTTCATTTAAAAGTAACTATTCCAATGATTTTGTACCATAATATCATATATAGTCTTCTATACCAATTTGAATAAACCTCAAAATTTTTTTTCTAATTACTTTATTTCCAAATAATTTTAAAATAAATTTCCTCTATCCATTTTATATTTTTAAATGTATTATTATTATATTTTTTATTCTGTGACTTTACTTTTACAATTTTTAATGACGGAGCAAACAAAAAAAAACTTAAAAAATTAATATTTGTTTTTTTAATTAAATTAAAATTAATATTTATTTTTTTAATTTTAATTTTAATTAATTTTTTTTTTTTTTAAATTAAAAAATTCAAGGACATCTTTTTAATTACAAATAAAAATAATTGCAATAGTTTTTCAAGAAATTTATGAAGATCAAGTAAATCAAAATAAAGTTTAAAAAATTTTATAAAAAATTAAATTTATTATATTATTTCTAAAGGTTTTAAATAGAACTATTGAATTAATTTAAAAAATTGTTTGAAATAATTTTATTTAATTTTTTTTTTATATTTTTATTTTGGGAAAATATATTTTTATTTTATATCAATAATGAACGAGCTACTATCATCTCTAATAAACTATCGCGTAAATGAAGAGTTAAAAAACAGTAGTAATATTAGTGATAGGTAAGTACAATACAATACAATTAATGTAAATAATAGATAAATTATAAGCATGTTAATTGGTGTTTTATCTTTTTAACTATTTATTATAGATTATTTTATATAGTTTGGAATAATATATTTTTAAGAACTGAAATTTATAACCATATTTTAATGTTTATTGAGCATAGTATTGTAATTCTTGATATATCCCGTTATGACCAGTTTAAATATAAATCTTATATAACAACACTTGAGTGGTTTGGTGATCCACTACCAGATAAAAATGGTTTTCCTCCATTTTTGACAGATTTATATTTATACAGTTTTTGTGAAAAACTACTTCCATCAACTTTACCAAATACAATTACTACACTCACATTTGGAGATTATTTTAACCAAGTAATTCTACCTGGAACATTACCAAATAGTCTCACAACACTCACATTCGGTTTTCAATTTAACCAAGTAGTTCTACCCGGCTCATTACCAAATAGCCTCACAACACTCACATTCGGTGATGGTTTTAACCAAGCTTTTCTACCTGGAACATTACCAAATAGTCTCACAACACTCACATTTATTCGTGATTTTAACCAAGTAATTCTACCCGGCACATTACCAAATATTCTCACAACACTCACTTTCGGTTATAGTTTTACCCAATTAATTCCACCTGGAACCTTACCAAATAGTCTCACAACACTCACATTTGATGATGATTTTGACCAAGAATTTCTACTTGAAATATCAAATCGTCTCACATCACTCACATTCGATGATGATTTTAACCAAATGATTCTACTCTGCTCTTTACCAAATAGTCTCACAACACTCAAACTCAGTATTTATTTTAATGAAGTAATTCTACCCGGCACATTACCAAATAGTCTCACAACACTCACATTCGGTTATTTTTTTAAATCAAGTAGTTCTACCCAGCGCATTACCAAATAGTCTCACAACACTCACATTCGGTCGTTGTTTTAACCAAGTAATTCTACCCGGAACATTACCAAATAGTCTCACAAAACTCACATTCGGTAATGATTTTAACCGAGTAGTTCTACCCGACACATTACCAAATAGTCTCACAACACTCACATTCGGTTATAATTTTAACCTAGTAGTTCTACCCGGCACATTACCAAATAGTCTCACAACAATCACATTTGGAGATTATTTTAACCAATTAATTATACCCGACACATTACCAAATAGTCTCACAACACTCAAATTCGGTAATGATTTTGATCAACTAATTCTACCCGACACATTACCAAATAGTCTCACAACACTCACATTCGGTCGTTGTTTTAACCAAGTAATTCTACCCGACACATTACCAAATAGTCTCACAACACTCACATTCGGTTATGATTTCAACCAAGTAATTCCACCCGACACATTACCAATTAGTCTCACAATACTCACATTCGGTTTTCAATTTAACCAAGTACTTATACCCGGCTCATTACCAATTAGTCTCACAACACTCACATTTGGAGATTATTTTAACCAATTAATTCTACCCGACACATTACCAAATAGTCTCACAACACTCACATTTGGAAATCATTTTAACCAAGTAATTATACCCGACACATTACCAAATAGTCTCACAACACTCACATTTGGAGATTATTTTAACCAATTAATTATACCCGACACATTACCAATTAGTCTCACAATACTCACATTCGGTTATGGTTTTGGCCAAGTACTTATACCCGGCTCATTACCAATTAGTCTCACAACACTCACATTGGGTCCTACATTTAATCAAATATTTCCAAGCCCAATTCCATATAGTTCTACCAACAAATTTTTAAAGTGTAAATTTTTACCTTAAATAAATTATTATTTTATGTATTAAACAACAAAGATCCATAAGTTTTACCCAAATACTGAAACAAAAACAAACCATTAACAAAACAAAAATAAAGAAAAATTATTATATAATTAAAAAAATAAATAATTAAATAAAAAATAAGTAATTTTCATTTTAATTCTTTTTTTAATCATTAAATAATAATATATATAAATAAAATGTATATTTTAGAGAATACAACAATCATTATCAAACCATCTTCAAACATGGCTTACAATTTTTTCTAAGACTATAAAAAATAATTAGCAACAAAAAACCCTTTAAATAAATTTATTAAACAAACTAAATACTAATAAACATTAATTTGAATATAAAATGTATTATAATTATTAAATTACACATTTTATTTTATTTAAATATTTAATTATTATTTACCAAAACCTTTGATGATAATATCTATTGATTTGGATATTATATTGTTTTGTAATTGTTGAATGGAAATTAAATTTGTACCAAACTGACTATCCACCCAATTCTTTAATAAAACAATAACTAAACTATCGAGACCATACTGATTCAATTGGAATTCCATGTTGATTTTTGATTCTTCAATTGAAAGTAGTTCCGATATTTTATTTAAAAATTGAGATTTAATATTTTCATTTCTGTTGCTATTATTTGATTTGTTGATTATTTTAATAATATTGGTTTGATAGTCAAATTTAATAAGATTGGAATTTGATTTTAAAGATACCATGTTTTCATAATTAAAATCAGATAAACAGAAGTTTGAATGATTGTTTTTATCTTGAATGAAGAGGTCAAGTGAACTTAAAATTAGTTGTGGTGAAATTAGTTTTAAAAAAAAACTTTCAAACATTGTTTCGATTGCATCATTTCTTGAGACAAATCCAGTTGATGATATTGCACCTAAATTTATTGATAGTGAAGGTAGTCCAATTGATTTTCTATATTTTGATAATGAGTCAATTGTATTGCAAGCACTAACATAACAACATTGTCTATGTGAACCAGTAACTGAAGCAGCAGATGATGCCATAATAAATTGTTTTAATTTCCATGAACGTTGAATTGATTCATTGTGTAAATTGATTGCTCCAATTGTTTTTGCACCATGTGCGATATTTAAACGATTCAAATCGACATCTTGAATATCACCAATCTCATTTACAAATGCAAAGTGTATTACTGTATCGATATTTGTAATGTTTGAGTTTGATTCTAGATTGTTTAATACATTGTGAACTTTATTACTATCTTCGATATCGATTTGATTAAAGTGGAAATTAATTGTATTATCTTTTTGATGTTTAGTTTGATTGATTAATAGTTCTAATTCCCATTTTAATGGTGATTTTGATAAAATTATAATATTATCGATTGATTTGTTTGAATATTTAACAAGCCATTTCATAATTTCTAATATAATACCTGTTTGACCTGTTACTAATATGTTTTTACCGATATCTAATCTTGATGTATCATAGCTGCTTTTCATAATGATTTGATCACTTTGTTTTTGTTCATTAAATACTTTTGATAACATATCTATATCATGATTTACAACGATTTTACCAATATGTTGTCTTTGATTAATATATTCGATTGCATCTTTAAACTGACCATTTGAATATTCAATGATTGGAATTAATTCTAATTTATTTGAATTAAACAGTTTAACTACTTTTTTTAATATACTTTTAAACAATGGTCCTGAAAATTCAACAAGTTCTACATTATTATATCCATAGTTGTATTTAAAGTGATTGTTTGTCATATAATCATTTGGTGTTAAATGTGTAATGGAAAGATCGACAATTCTACCACAAGTATTTAAACATTGGAAATTTGAATCCATATATTCTGATGATAATGTATTAATTATTAAATCTACACCTTGATGATCTTGGTCACATTCTAATTGTTTTAATTTGTTTTTAATTTGATGAACATAGTTTTTATTTCTTGATGAATAGATACCAGTAATAAATGATCCATATTTATTGATCAAGTATTCTTCTTTGTCCTTTGAACCGACTGTTAAAAATATATAACCTTTGTGTTGTTTACACTTTAATAGCTCTAATGCTGATAGACCAACACCACCTGCTGCTGAATGAATTAAAATTGTTTGATTTGTTTGTAAATTACCGATATAGTATATACTGTGTAATGTGGTAACATAAATTGTTGGAATGGATGCTGCTTGTATAAATGAGACATTTGATGGTTTGTAATAAACAAAGTTATAGTCCATTATAATATGTGATCCACTGGTTTTTGTTGCAACCCCAAGCACTTCATCTCCAATTTTAAATTTCTTTACATCACTACCACATCGAGTAATAATACCGCTAAAATCATTTCCAATATTTGGCATTTGATTTATTCCATTTTCAACTTCTTCTTCTTTGCCATATTTGAGATCAACATTATTTGATATTTGACCAATATACATTAAATAATCTTTATAGTTGATACCAGTACCTTTTATTTGAACTTCAATTTCATTTGGTTTTAATTCTTGTTTTTTAGTTTTTAATTTATATTCTAAATTTGGATCAAGTTGAATCATTAAATTATCTTTATTTGTTTCAAAAGAGTTTGATGTAAATGATTGTTTAATTTTTGTTTGTTTTTTGTATCTTTCATAATAAACTGTATTGTTTTTGATTGTGAATTCCCTTTGAATATTTGTGGTTGGATTTATTAAAATATCAATAAGTGATAGTATATTTTCATTTTGAATTGATGTATTATCGAAATCTAATGAATATAAATCTAATTGTGGGAATTCTGCCAAATATTTTGCTGCTCCATTGATTGATGACGATAAATAGTTGTTTGATGTCGAGTTTAATAATATTAAAACATGTTTAAAAAAGCTTTCAATTTCAAACTGAAGTAACATTTGATTAATTTGAATGTATTCGAATGTTATTTCTTTAAAATTATTGATATATAATGGATCAATTGCTTTCATAAAGATTATTAATGTTTTACTTTGTCTAATGGAGTCTATTGATTTAACAGTCCAGTTGTTAAGATCATAAAAGTTGTCGATTTGTATTATTTTTGAACTTAATAATTTATTTGATTTGAATGATTCGTTGATTTGTGTGCAATATCTACTATTTCCAAATAATATAATATTATCATGTGATGTTAATTGTTTCATTGTTTCAATATTTGATAATACCATTTCATTTATGTTTTGTTTTCTTGTTTGAATTAAAAATATTGCATTTGGATTTCCAGATACTGTGGTATCTTTATAGTTGCAATCATTTAGTAATTTGTACCAACTTTCTTGTTTCATACAGCTTCTATCTTTTCTGATGTCAATATCTTCTGGTGATGGCCACCATTGTGGGAATACACCAAATATAGAATCTAGGTATAATGATTTGTATGGTGGTTCTACAAAAATAATTTGACCATTGGGTGTTAAAATATTATGGATCTCATTTAAAATAATTTTAAGATGTTTTACGACATGTAATACATTTGACATTACAACCATATCGTAATAAGATGCTTTTAAATCTTGATCTTTTAATGATTTGTCTAAATCTAGAGTACGATAGATTAAATTTACACCTTTGATGTTTGAAAGTTTTTCTTTAACGTCTGAAAAAAATGATGCTGAAATATCGCTCCATGTGTATTCTATATCGATATTTGATGTTGGATTATCATTTAAAAGTTTGTTGATTTTTTCTAATATTAAAACTGATAACGAACCCACACCACCTCCAAATTCTATGATTCTGAATACTATTGGTTCATTAATAATTGGTTTGATTGATTCCGAAACAATTTCACTTAATAAATTGTTTACTGGTCTTACAAAATTTGACCTTTGATAAAAGTGATCTAATAATCCACCTTCATATAATGATTGAGGAGTGTCAATGTTGGGATCGTCATCTTCTAATGGGAATATTAGCTTTGACATAACTGTGGTTGTTTTTTCTATTAGTTTAACACTTTTATCACTTTTGCCACCAGGGAATTCATGCATTTGTTTATTGATTCCCAAATTATTATATTTTTTTAAAATTTCAAAAATAAAGATAAATAAATTTTCATTTACCTGAGCGTTGTGGGAGATTTGTATGAATTGGTTGTAGTCTATTGTTGATAATGTTTCTTTGTTGATAGTTGGACGTCTTTGATTAATTTGATAGTAAAATAATGATAACAAATGTTCAATTGATACTGTTTGTTGATAAGCTTCATCAAAGCCCAATTCTTCTAATTGACACAAGTGTTTGAATGATTGCGGTTTTTTGATTATAGAGTCTTTTGATTGTTGAATTGGTAGATAGATTTCATTGGATGGTGGTGGTGTAATTAAGGTATTATCAATGATTGGTGTAAGTGATGTACAAACAACATTTGTAATTTCAATTAATAATGTGCCATCATTTAACATTATTTGAATGGATCCAGAGTATGAGTATAAATTGATTCTTGATTTCATTTCAGAATATACATATATTTCAGAGTGTTGTTGATCATTTGGTGATGGTATGTTTGATGAATAATATTTTAATCCTTCGACTTTATCCAATACAATTTGGCATTGATGTTTGATAAAACTTAGCATTCCATGTAAACATGTATCTAATATTGCAGTATTAATGAATGATTTCATTGTATCGTTGTTGAGTAAATGATTGAATTCATTTTGATTTTGAATTTCATTTAATGATACAATCGATAGAGAGCAGTTATCGCCAATATAGCATTCTTTGACACCTTGGAATAAACCTTTGTATGTTAATCCGGTTTTGATTTTAATTGATTCATAAAGCTCTGATTTTGATAGTTTGGTAAAGTTACAACTATTTCTTATTTCGTCAATTTTGATTCGATTTATTTCGTTACCATGTTTGAATAAACTAAAATTACCAGTGGAGCATAATACCCATTGATTTGTTGTTGTATCTTTAAAGTGTGATTTGACATTGTATTCATTTTTTGAAAGTGTATTAATTGTTGTTTGTAGACATTGATTAACATCATCTTGTAAAACTAATGGTGTTTTAAATTCGATTGAGTTGATTGTAATATCTTGATTTGGATAGATGTTGAATAAATTAATGATGTATCCACACCCTGGGAAGTAGTATTTTCCTTTTACTTGATGTCCTTTTAGCCATTGGAATGGTTGTTTTTTAGTGTCTATATATGTTTGATAAAGTTTAATTGATAAATCATTTGAAACACCATGATGTTGAATTGCAGGTCCTTCTTTTTTGATCTTTTCATATGCTAAATCTTGTTTGAAATACATTTTATCATCCCATTGATATAATGGAAGTTTGTATAATGCTTTATGAATAAAATTTTTGTGATTTTGTTGATTTAACTGTGATTTGAAATTAATATTAAATGAGTTGTTTACATAAAGTTTTGAAATTGTGTTTAAAAATTCATTGTAATCATTTTTCTTTTTGTGAAGTGGTGAGTGAATAGTTATTTTTTCTCCATTTTTAAAATATGATGATTGTGTTGATTTCATTTGATTTAAATGGAATAATAATGTTGAATGTGGTGCAATTTCGATAAATGTGACTTCATTTCCAAGTTCATTTTCTTCAATATATTTATATATGTTTGAAATGGTTTGAGTGAATCTTACTGGTTGTAAAACATTTTCAAATACATATTCTGAATTGAATGGTGTTGTTTCGTGGTTAAATAGGTTGGTTGTGACTGTTGAAACTATTGGTGTTGTTGATTGTTTTGATTTAATGTTCATTGAACATATTTCATCTTTAATAACTAATTGGCTTGATGTATGGAGTGATGATAATGTTCCTAGCATTACACAAAATATATTTTTTGATTTTAAATCAGTTACAATTTCATTTATTAAATGTTCTTGACCAGATAATACAATTGATGATTGGGAGTTGTAGCATGCAATATTGACTGTTGGATATTTTGATGAATAGTTTGATATATATTCTTCAGCACTTATGTTTACAGATAACATTCTACCAGTACCAGTTGTTTTATTTTGAGCAATGGATCTGTGGTATACTAAATAACATAATGTTTCAAAGTCAATCATACCAGAGCAATATGATGCTGATATTTCACCAAGAGAATGACCAACGATTAAATCTGCTTTGATACCCCAGTATTTATAAAGTTCGAATAATGATACTTGAATCATAATATTTGATGGTTGTGCAATAGTATGATCATGTACTGATTTCATATCATTATCATCGATTGATCTTAGTTTTTGTAAAACAGAGTACCCATAGTATTTGAATAATTCACTGTCGAATTTGTCTACCCATTGTTTGAATATTGCTTCATTTTCATATAGTTCTAATGCCATTCTATTATATTGGGATCCTTGACCGCAAAATACAAATACTGTAAATGGAGTGTTGTTATTAACTGAAATGTTTGAAACTGTGTTTGTATTGGATGTTTTGATTTCATTTTTTGAATCTTTAAACTCCTCCCAATTACCTGCAATAATAACTGATCTTTGAACAAGTGATGTTGATTTATATTGGATTTGGTTATTTACAAATTCATTAAAATTTAAAGTGTCTGGTTGTTCCATAATAATTTGTTTGTATTTATCAAGTGATGTTGATGAGTTTGATGAGAACGGTATTAAATACTTTTTGTTAATATTATTTACATTTTGAATTATATCTCGATAGTATTCTGATAAAATAATACAACAATTTGATCCTGTAATTATTTTTAAAATAAAAAATTTTTAGAATACTTTTTTTTTTTATAAAATTTTTAATATAAAATACTTACCCGTTATACCAAAGTTATTAATTGCCATAACAGTATTTTTGTTATTGTGGTTGAATGGTATTGGTTCAGTTACAACTTTTAGATGCCACTCATCGAATTTGATAGCTGGATTTGGTGATTTAAAGTTGATATTTTGAACAAATGATTGATTTTTATACATTACACAACATTTGATTAATGACATTATACCTGATGATGCTTCACCATGACCAATATTTGATTTAATAGACCCGATTAAAACTTGTTTGTCAATATCTTTAAAGACTTTTGAAATACCTTCTAGTTCTATTGGATCTCCAGCTAATGTACCAGTACCGTGACATTCAAAATAGTCAATATCTGATGCACTGATTTGACCATTAGTAGATTCGATTGCAGATTTAATATTTTCATATTGTGATGATTTTGATGGTGAATAAAAGTTTGATTTATCATAGTTACCATCTACATTTGAACTTGATCCATTGATAACACAATAAATGTTGTTACCATCTTTAATTGCTTGTTCTAAATTCTTCAATACTATAACACCGACACATTCAGAACGTACATATCCATCTGCATCTGATGAGAATGTGTGACACTTTCCAGTTGGACTTAACATTGATAAATGAGAAAATGATTTTGATATATTTGGGTCTAATATTAAAACAAATAAAAATATTAGTTTAATTTAATAATTCTTTATAAAAACTCTTTATTAAAAATTATATACATACCAAGTATCAAGTTAACACCACCTACAATAGATACATCAGATTGGCCGTATTTGATAGATTTGTAACCAAGATTAATAGCATTTAATGATGAACTACATGCAGTATCGATGGTGAGTGATTCACCACGAAAATCAAAGCAATATGATACTCTATTTGCTTGCGAATGTGATGTTGCTCCAAAAATATTATTTTGAGTTTCAAATGGTGATTTATTGACATTATCGTAGTCGACAGTTGATGAACCAATAAATGTACTTGTATTTGAACCTCTTAATGTCAATGGATCAATACCGCTATCTTCTAATGCTTCCCATGTACACTTTAATAGTAATCTTTGTTGTGGATCGATTGTATTGACATGTTCATCACTTGGATTGATTCCAAAGAAAATTGGATCAAATGACTTCCATTCTTCAAGTGGAATAAGACCAGCATATTTGCAAACGATATCACCACTGACACTATAGTTATCAGACCATCTTTCAGATGTTTCTACGATACCATCGAAACCATTTACCAAGTTCTCCCATAATTGATTTGTATTTGAAATCGATTTTGTCAAACTACCACTTGGTGCTCTAAAACCTATACCTAAAACTGCAACATTGGACTTATTCGCTAATAAATTATTTTTTGAGTGCATTTCTATAACTTTAAAAACAAATAAAGAAAATTGAAAGTATTTTTTTTTTTTTTTAATTTTTCTTTTTTCTTTTCTGGTAATAAATAAAACAATTCATTTTTATAATGGTTAATTTTAAGGTTAAGTTAATATCATTATTATTAATTATTAATTAATAATAATGATATTAATTGTTTTTTATAAATCAATTATGGATACCCCATATCTGTCTTTTCTTTTTTTAAAAAGATCAATTTTAAAAATTTAAAAATAAAAAAAAAAAATTAAAAAAATAGATATCTTGTGAGGAAAAAAAATTTAAAAAAAAATTTTCACCCCAGTAAAAGATTTTTCATAGATAAAAAAAAATTTTTATAACTCTTTTATTATACTTGCAAAACTGAATTTAATCTTTAATTAATAAAAAATTTACATAATTAATCTTTTATATTTTTAGATTTATTATTAGGAATATTTTTTTTATAAAAAATTATTCATTTTTATGCATTTTTAAAATTATTTTCCTTTTATAATAATCTATTGATTTTGATATTTTATTGTTTTGTAATTGTTGTATTTAAGTTAAGATCATAATTAAAGGAAATTTTTAAATTAATATCGAAATAAATTATAAAATATATTTATTTTCATATTTCACAAGCTGAAATGGTTTGTTTTATTTTGTTTTTAATTTGAGTTGTATTTTTTCTTTATTGGATGTGCTTCTGTATTGAATACATATTTATCTAAAGGGATTACACTCGAGTCTACAAAGAGCAAATAAAGATATTTTAAAGTTTCGGACATATAGTAGCTTTGTTGGGTTGTATTTCTGAAACCAGTAATAATGTTTTTTAAACCAATGTATCCATTTGGCACTCTGCATGTGCCGGGTAGAACTACTTGGTTAAAATCATCACCGAATGTGAGTGTAGTAATTGTATTTGGTAAATTTGAGTCAATATTTTAAAAAAACTGAATAAATATAAATTTGTCAAAAATGGTGAAAATTCATTTTTATCAGGTAGTGGATCACCACACCACTCAAGGGTTGTAACATATGATTTAAATTTAAACTGGTCATAACTGGATATATCATGACTTACAACACTATGGGAAATAAACGTTATTTAAATGCAGAATACAACAATCCTTATCAAACCATCCGCAAACAATTAGCATGAAAAAACACTTTAAATATAAATATAAAATTATTTTATTTAAATATTTTTGATAAAATTATTATTTACCATAACCTTTGATGATAATATCTATTGATTTGGATATTATATTGTTTTGTAATTGTTGAATGGAAATTAAATTTGTACCAAACTGACTATCCACCCAATTCTTTAATAAAACAATAACTAAACTATCGAGACCATACTGGTTCAATTGGAATTCCATGTTGATTTTTGATTCTTCAATTGAAAGTAGTCCTGATATTTTATTTAAAAATTGAGATTTAATATTTTCTTTACTATTATTATTATCTTTTGATTTGTTGTTTATTTTAATAATATTGGTTTGATAATCAAATTTAATAAGATTGGAATTTGATTTTAAAGATACCATGTTTTCATAACCAAAATCAGATAAACAATAGTTTGAATGATTGTTTTTATCTTGAATGAAGAGGTCAAGTGAACTTAAAATTAGTTGTGGTGAGATTAATTTTAAAACAGAACTATGGAACATTGTTTCGATTGCATCATTTCTTGAAACAAATCCAGTTGATGATATTGCACCTAAATTTATTGATAGTGAAGGTAGTCCAATTGATTTTCTATATTTTGATAATGAGTCAATTGTATTACAAGCACTAACATAACAACATTGTCTATGTGAACCAACAATTGATGATGCAGATGATGCCACTATAAATTGTTTTAATTTCCATGAACGTTGAATTGATTCATTGTGTAAATTGATTGCTCCAATTGTTTTTGCACCATGTGCGATATTTAAACGATTCAAATCGACTTCTTTAACATCACAAATATCATTTACAAATGCAAAGTGTATTACTGTATCGATATTTGTAATGTTAAAGAAGTTTGATTCTAGATTGTTTAATACATTGTGAACTTTATTACTATCTTCGATATCGATTTGATTAAAGTGGAAATTAATTGTATTGTCTTTTTGATGTTTAGTTTGATTGATTAATAGTTCTAATTCCCATTTTAATGGTGATTTTGATAGAATTATAATATTATCGATTGATTTGTTTGAATATTTAACAAGCCATTTCATAATTTCTAATATAATACCTGTTTGACCTGTTACTAATATATTTTTACCAATATCTAATCTTGAAATATCATAATTATTCTTCATAATAATTGAATTGCTTTGTTTTTGTTCATTAAATACTTTTGATAACATATCTATATCATGATTTACAACGATTTTACCAATATGTTGTCTTTGATTAATATATTCGATTGCATCTTTAAACTGACCATTTGAATATTCAATGATTGGAATTAGTTCTAATTTATTTGAATTAAACATTTTGGCAACTTTTTTTAATAAACTTTTAAATAATGATCCTGAAAATTCAACAAGTTCTACATTATTATATCCATAGTTGTATTTAAAGTGATTGTTTGTCATATAATCATTTGGTGTTAAATGTGTAATTGATAGATCGACAATTCTACCACAAGTATTTAAACATTGGAAATTTGAATCCATATATTCTGATGAAAGTGTGTTTAATATTAAATCTACACCTTGATGATCTTGGTCACATTGTAATTGTTTTAATTTGTCTTTAATTTGATGAACATAGTTTTTATTTCTTGATGAATAGATACCAGTAATGAATGAGCCATATTTATTGATCAAGTATTCTTCTTTATCTTTTGAACCGACTGTTAAAAATATATAACCTTTGTGTTGTTTACACTTTAATAGTTCTAATGATGATAGACCAACACCACCTGCTGCTGAGTGAATTAAAATTGTTTGATTTGTTTGTAAATTACCGATATAGAAAATACTGTGTAATGTGGTAACATAAACTGATGGAATGGATGCTGCTTGTATAAATGAGACATTTGATGGTTTGTAATAAACAAAGTTATAGTCCATTATAATATGTGATCCACTGGTTTTTGAAGCAGCCCCAAATACTTCATCTCCAATTTTAAATTTCTTCACATCACTACCACATCGAGTAATAATACCGCTAAAATCATTTCCAATATTTGGCATTTGATATATTCCATTTTCAACTTCTTCTTTTTTGCCATATTTGAGATCAACATTATTTGATATTTGACCAATATACATTAAATAGTCTTTATAGTTGATTCCGGTACCTTTTATTTGAACTTCAATTTCATTTGGTTTTAATTCTTGTTTTTTAGTTTTTAATTTATATTCTAAATTTGGATCAAGTTGAATCATTAAATTATCTTTATTTGTTTCAAAAGAGTTTGATGTAAATGATTGTTTAATTTTTGTTTGTTTTTTGTATCTTTCATAATAAACTGTATTGTTTTTGATTGTGAATTCCCTTTGAATATTTGTGGTTGGATTTATTAAAATATCAATAAGTGATAGTATATTTTCATTTTGAATTGAAATATTATCGAAATCTAGTGTATATAGATCTAATTGGGGGAATTCTGCGAAATATCTTGCTGTTCCATTGATTGATGATGATAAATAGTTGTTTGATGTTGAATTTAATAATATTAAAACGTGTTTAAAAAAGTTTTCAATTTCAAAATGAAGTAACATTTGATTAATTTGAATGTATTCGAATGTTATTTCTTTAAAATTATTGATATCTAATGGATCAATTGCTTTCATAAAGATTATTAATGTTTTACTTTTTCTAATGGAGTCGATTGATTTAATAATCCAGTCGTTAAGTTCACTAAAGTTATCGATTTGTATTATTTTTGAACTTAATAATTTATTTGATTTGAATGATTCGTTGATTTGTGTGCAATATCTACTATTTCCAAATAATATTATACTGTCCGGTGATGTTAATTGTTTCATTGATTCAATATTTGATAATACCATTTCATTTATGTTTTGTTTTCTTGTTTGAATTAAAAAGAATGAATTAAGATTTCCAGATATTGTGGTATCTTTATAGTTGCAATCATTTAGTAATTTGTACCAACTTTCTTGTTTGATACAGCTTCTATCTTTTCTGATGTCAATATCTTCTGGTGATGGCCACCATTGGGGGAATACACCGAATATGGAGTCTAGATATAATGATTTGTATGGTGGTTCTACAATAACAACTTGACCATTTGGTATTAAAATATTTTGGATTTCATTTAAACTAAATCTAAGTTGTTTTACGACATGTAATACATTTGACATTACAACCATATCGTAATAGGATTCTTTTAAATCTTGATCTTTTAATGGTTTGTCTAAATCTAGAGTACGATATATTATATTTACACCTTTGATGTTTGAAAGTTTTTCTTTAACGTCTGAAAAAAATGATGCTGAAATATCGCTCCATGTGTATTCTATATCGATATTTGATGTTGGATTATCATTTAAAAGTTTGTTGATTTTATCTAATATTAAAATTGATAACGAACCCACACCACCTCCAAATTCTATGATTCTGAATACTATTGGTTCATTAATAATTGGTTTAATTGATTCTGAAACAACTTCACTTAGAAAATTGTTAATTGGTCTTACAAAATTTAGATTTTGGTAAAAGTGATCCAATAATCCATCTTCAAATAATGTTTGAGGAGTGTCAATGTTTGGATCGTCATCTTCTAATGGGAATATAAGTTTTGACATAACTGTGGTTGTTTTTTCTAAAAGCATAATACTTTTATCACTATTGTCATTAGGGAATTCATTTAGTTGTTTATTAATACCCAAGCTATTATATTTTTTTAAAATATCGAAAATAAAGATAAATAAATTTTCATTTACCTCATCGTTATAGTAGATTTGGTCGAATTGATTATAATCCATTTTTGATAATATTTCTCTGTTGATAGATGGACGTCTTTGATTAATTTGATAATAAAATAATGATAACAAATGTTCATTCGATACTGTTTGTTGATAAACTTCATCAAAGCCCAATTCTTCTAATTGACACAAGTGTTTGAATGATTGTGGTCTATTAATGATAGAGTCTTTTGATTGTTGAATTGGTAGATAGATTTCATTGGATGGTGGTGGTGTAATTAAGGTATTATCAATGATTGGTGTAAGTGATGTACAAATAACATTTGTAATTTCAATTAATAATGTGCCATCATTTAACATTATTTGAATGGATCCAGAGTATGAGTATAAATTGATTCTTGATTTCATTTCAGAATATACATATATTTCAGAGTGTTGTTGATCAGTTGGTGATGGTATGTTTGATGAATAATATTTTAATCCTTCGATTTTATCCAATACAATTTGGCATTGATGTTTGATAAAACTTAGCATTCCATGTAAACATGTATCTAATATTGCAGTATTAATGAATGATTTCATTGTATCGTTGTTGAGTAAATGATTGAATTCATTTTGATTTTGAATTTCATTTAATGATACAATCGATAGAGAGCAGTTATCGCCAATATAACATTCTTTGACACCTTGGAATAAACCTTTGTATGTTAATCCGGTTTTGATTTTAATTGATTCATAAAGCTCTGATTTTGATAGTTTGGTAAAGTTACATTTATTTCTTATTTCGTCAATATTGATTCGGTTTATTTCGTTACCATGTTTGAATAAACTAAAGTTACCAGTGGAACATAATACCCATTGATTTGTATTTGTATCTTTAAAGTGTGATTTGACATTGTATTCATTTTTTGAAAGTGTATTAACTGTTGTTTGTAGACATTGATTAACATCATCTTGTAAAACTAATGGTGTTTTAAATTCGATTGAGTTGATTGTAATATCTTGATTTGGATATATGTTGAATAAATTAATGATGTATCCACACCCTGGGAAGTAGTATTTGCTTTTTACTTGATGTCCTTTTAGCCATTGGAATGGTTGTTTTTTAGTGTCTATATATGTTTGATAAAGTTTAATTGATAAATCATTTGAAACACCATGATGTTGAATTGAAGGTCCTTCTTTTTTGATCTTTTCATATGCTGAATTTTGTTTGAAATACATTTTATCATCCCATTGATATAATGGAAGTTTGTATAATGCTTTATGAATATAACTGTTGTGTTTTTGATTCAATTGTGATTTGAAATTAATATTAAATGAGTGGTTGACATAAAGTTTTGAAATTGTGTTTAAAAATTCATTGTAATCATTTTTTTTTTTGTGAAGTGGTGAATGAATTGTTATTTTTTCTCCATTTTTAAAATATGATGATTGTGTTGATTTCATTTGATTTAAATGGAATAATAATGTTGAATGTGGTGCAATTTCGATAAATGTGACTTCATTTCCAAGTTCATTTTCTTCAATATATTTATATATGTTTGAAATAGTTTGAGTGAATCTTACTGGTTGTAAAACATTTTCAAATACATATTCTGAATTGAATGGTGTTGTTTCGTGGTTAAATAGGTTGGTTGTAACTGTTGAAAATATTGGAGTTGTTGATTGTTTTGATTTAATGTTCATTGAATATATTTCATCTTTAATAACTATTTGGCTTGATGTATGGAGTGATGATAATGTTCCTAACATTACACAAAATATATTTTTTGATTTTAAATCAGTTACAATTTCACTTATTAAATGTTCTTGACCAGATACTACAATTGATGATTGGGAGTTGTAGCATGCAATATTGACTGTTGGATATTTTGATGAATAATTTGATATATATTCTTCGGCACTTATATTTACAGATAGCATTCTACCAGTACCAGTTGTTTTATTTTGAGCAATGGATCTGTGGTATACTAAATAACATAATGTTTCAAAGTCAATCATACCAGAGCAATATGATGCTGATATTTCACCAAGAGAATGACCAACGATTAAATCTGCTTTGATACCCCAGTATTTATAAAGTTCGAATAATGATACTTGAATCATAATATTTGATGGTTGCGCAATAGTATGTACATGTACTGATTTCATATCATTATCATCGATTGATCTTAGTTTTTGTAAAACAGAGTACCCATAGTATTTGAATAATTCACTGTCGAATTTGTCTACCCATTGTTTGAATATTGCTTCATTTTCATATAGTTCTAATGCCATTCTATTATATTGTGATCCTTGACCGCAAAATACAAATATTGTAAATGGAGTGTTGTTATTAACTGTAATGTTTGAAACTGTGTTTGTATTGGATGTTTTGATTTCATTTTTTGAATCTTTAAACTCCTCCCAATTACTTGCAATAATAACTGATCTTTGAACGAGTGATGTTGATTTATATTGGATTTGATTATTTACAAATTCATTAAAATTTAATGTGTTTGATTGATCCATAATAATTTGTTTGTATTTGTCAAGTGATGTTGATGAGTTTGATGAGAATGGTATTAAATACTTTTTTTTATAACTATTATCATTTTGAAAAATATCTCGATAGTATTCTGATAAAATAATACAACAATTTGATCCTGTTATTTTTTTTTTAAATTTTAAAATATTAATATATTAATTCTTTTTTTTATATTTTAATAAATTAAAAAATACTTACCAGTTATACCAAAGTTATTAATTGCCATAATAGTATTTTTGTTATTGTTATTAAAAGGTGTTGGTTCAGTAACAACTTTTAGACACCATTCATCGAATTTGATAGCTGGGTTTGGTGATTTAAAGTTGATATTTTGAACAAATGATTGGTTTTTATACATTACACAACATTTGATTAATGACATTATACCTGATGATGCTTCACCATGACCAATATTTGATTTAATAGACCCGATTAAAACTTGTTTGTTTGTATCTTTGAATACTCTTGAAATACCTTCTAGCTCTATTGGATCTCCAGATAGTGTACCAGTACCGTGACATTCAAAATAGTCAATATCTGATGCACTGATTTGACCATTAGTAGATTCGATTGCAGATTTAATATTTTCATATTGTGATGATTTTGATGGTGAATAAAAGTTTGATTTATCATAGTTACCATCTACATTTGAACTTGATCCATTGATAACACAATAAATGTTGTTACCATCTTTAATTGCTTGTTCTAAATTCTTCAATACTATAACACCGACACATTCAGAACGTACATATCCATCTGCATCCGATGAGAATGTGTGGCACTTTCCAGTTGGACTTAACATTGATAAATGAGAAAATGATTTTGATATATTTGGGTCTAATATTTAAAACAAATAAAAATATTAGTTTAATTTAATAATTCTTTATAAAAACCTTTTATTAAAAATGATAAACATACCAAGTATCAAGTTAACACCACCTACAATAGATACATCAGATTGACCATATTTAATAGATTTGTAACCAAGATTAATTGCATTTAATGATGAACTGCATGCAGTATCGATGGTGAGTGATTCACCACGAAAATCAAAGCAGTATGATACTCTATTTGCTTGCGAATGTGATGTTGCTCCAAAAATATTATTTTGAGTTTCAAATGGTGATTTATTGACATTATCGTAGTCGACAGTTGATGAACCAATAAATGTACTTGTATTTGAACCTCTTAATGTCAATGGATCAATACCGCTATCTTCTAATGCTTCCCATGTACACTTTAACAGTAATCTTTGTTGTGGATCGATTGTATTGACATGTTCATCACTTGGATTGATTCCAAAGAAAATTGGATCAAAAGACTTCCATTCTTCAAGTGGAATAAGACCAGCATATTTGCAAACGATATCACCACTGACACTATAGTTATCAGACCATCTTTCAGATGTTTCTACAATACCATTGAAACCATTTAACAAGCTATCCCATAGTTGATTTGTATTTGAAATTGAATTTGACAAATTACCACTTGGCGCTCTGAAACCTATACCTATAACTGCAACATTGCATTTATCCACTAATAAATTATTTTTTGAATGCATTTCTATAACTTTTAAAACAAATAAAGAAAAATGATAGGTTGTTTTTTTTTTTTTTCATTTTATATTTTCATAACCTATGTGAATAAAATAATTCATATCTAAATTAGTATTAATTATAAGGTAAAGTTAATATCATTATTATTAATTATCATTTATTATAAATCATTTTTATGCATACCTAATATTTTTATTAATCAAAGGGAAAAAAATTTATTATTAATTACTCATCAATACTCTTTTATTATGTATGTAAAACTGAAGTATCTTTCAAATTGACTACAAACTTTAGTTATAATCTCTTTTATATTTTTAGATTTATTATTTTTTTTTTATTAATTTTATAAAAAAATCACATTTGTGTGTGTAATAGAAATTAAAAAGGTTTTAAATTTATTTTTTTAATTAATATTAATTTTTTTAAGAAATAGTTGATTATTGAACCTTGAGTATTACCTAAAAAAAATATACACCTTTGCAAGTATAGAATACAGATTTGAAAATTAAAAAAATTAAAAATAAAAATTAAAAAAATTGGTCCTTTATTAAAAAAAAATTTTAGGTGCCATAAATTCAAAATTATATATATAAATCCTTTTTTTCATTACTAAAAGCAATATAAATTTATAAATTAATTTTCGAAAAATTTTATAAAATATATTTATTTTTATTAATAACATGTTAAAATAGTTTATTTTATTGTGTTTTTAATTTGAGTTGTTGTATTTTATCTTTATTGGATGTGCCTCTGTATTGAATACATATTTATCTAAAGGAATTATACTCGAGTCTACAAAGAGCAAATAGAGATATTTTAAAGTTTCGGACATAAAGTAGCTTTGTTGGGTTGTACCTTTGAAGCCAGTAATAATGTTTTTTAAACCAATGTATCCATTTGGCACTCTGCAGTGTAATTCTATACTTTTATATATTTTCCAGCCCCATTCTTGATAGATAATGTCACCTGTAAGTCGATAGAGTATGAACAATGATTCTATGGTTTCTGGTCTTAGTATATATAGATTGACATCGTTTAAAAGAATTTCACCAGTAACAGGATCAAATTTAAAAATTTCGGGACCTAGACCGGTGGGTGATTTGAAGTAGCTTTGCACACATGTTTTTGTAATTTCTTTGGCAACCTGCATATATATTTCATTCTTTTCGGTATTACCAGTAATATTAGTAACTGAAGCCAATGCAAACATACCACCAGCAAAACATGTTAAGTGTTCATTTAATTCTTCCAATCTATCATCTTTTATCTTTCCAATGAATCCATGACCTGCTTTAGTTACTCTGTAAAGATACTTGATGATTGAATCTGCTGATGCTACAAATAGTCTCGAATACTTTTCTTCACCATCTGTATAAATCCACATTTTTAAAAGATACTCGTAAAATGAGTCACCTTTGGCACCTAATGATATTGATGAATAACAAAACTCAGTTGCATCCATTGAAACCATACATGGATACAATCCATTATATTTAGTTTTCATTTTTGCTAACGAATCTAAAATGATGTCGACCCTATCTTTATACTTTGAATCACCAGTTAGATCTGATAAACGTGTAAACTCGAGTGACATTGTGCCAAACATTGCCAAAACTAGACAGTTACCACCTTTATTTCTTGCATATTTGGTTTTAATATTTAAAAAAGCGTATGGGAACGGAAAACTATCTGAAAATGCAAGCATTAACAAATCACCAAACTCAACTGCCTTTTCTAAATAAACAACATCACCAGTTAAATCATACATTGCCAAGCAACCACCTAAATACCTAATATTGAATTCAAATACCGAAATTTCATGACCCTACAGCATAAAATAAAATTAATTAGTATTTATTAAAAACAAATTTTATTGAATTAAAAAATAGTAACTACTTACAGTTGTATTTGAATATTTTAAATTTGATAACCATTCTCTGCCATCATAAAGTTCATCCTTCATATCCATTATGTGTAATGTATCTAATGAATCTATAATTGTTAAACCAAGTGCGCCCAACCAATTTTTCCCTATAAAATAAGCTGGCGCCCATTCGTCATAACCCCATGACCCATTCTTATAAGAGTCCCATGCAAATTTCATCGACTCTTTGATTTCCTTGGCTCTTTCTATATTCTTTTTTTCATTTTCTTTATACACACTATCTATTTTATTATAAGGATTATAATTTGCTTTGACTCTTGGTAGTTTTGTTTTTCCTTTTATTCCCTTACTATGAGCGTTTATCTTTTCAATTTTGATACCAAGATCATTATTTAAATCTAAATTATAAATGATGTTATTAATATTATTATTGGTATTATTAATATTATTACTATATTGAAAAATTTTTGATGTTGTTAAAAACACAATCGAAACTATAATAAATGCAATAAAAAATATAAAATAAAATCCTTTTTTTGCATTCATTATTACATTATTATATTAATTATATTATTTTTCAAGAGTTTTTTTAAAAAAAAAAATTTCAAAAAGATTTTTTTTTTTTTTTTTTTTCATTTTGTTTTGTTTTGTTTTATTTTATTTTGTTTTGTGTCCATGATTTTAAAACTTACAAAATTAGATATTGTTTTCTCTAAATATAAATATTTTATTTATAAATTAATTCATCAATTGATTTTTATTTATTTATTTTATTTTTTTTATAAATAATAATTTTATTTTTTTATTATTATTATTATTTACTATTATTATTTACTATATTTTGGGGTAATTTTATTATTCTCTCTAGAGTATGTGTATATTAATCTTGAATGCCTCTATGAAAAAAAAAATATCTGTATTTGATTCCGGTGTCCATTCTTGAATGACCGCGTTCTTTAAAAAATTTTTAAAAAATTCAAAAAATAAATTTTTTATTTTTATTTAATTAATTATTTTTTTATTATTTTTTTTTTTTTAATATTTAAAGAGATTTTTTTTAATTTTCATTCATTCATTCATTTAACAATTAAAATAGTAATTTGTTCAATGATAAATTATAGCAGTAATAATAATAATAGAAGCAATTACTTATCAAATAAATATATAATTATAATAATTTTTTTAGTTTCTCTTTTAATTGTAAATTTCCTTTTTTTACCCTCAAACTCAGTATTAACTGAAACTAATAACAATAATAATAATTTTAAATATTACAGTAATAAAAAATACGAAGACAGTAATAGTATAAAATTTTTTAAACATAAAGAAAATAATAAAAAAAATAATAAAGATAAAGATAATACAAATTTAGATAATAATAATAATAAAGATAATAATAATAAAATGGCATCAAGAACAATAGCAAAAATTGCAACAGGTATTAGTACATCAGATGGTGCTGGTGTTAAATTAAAAAGAGTTATTGGCGGACCAATTAGCGAGTTGGATCCATTTTTACTTTTAGACGAGTTTAAAAGCGATAAAGCCGATGACTATATTCAAGGTTTCCCAACCCATCCACATAGAGGATTTGAAACTGTAACATATATGCTCGAAGGTTTAATGGAGCATAAAGATCATAAAGGTAACCAAGGTATGTTAAAACCAGGCTCAGTACAAGTAAGTAAAAAATAAAAGGAAATAATATTTAAGATTTTAAAGATGTTCTAATAGTTTATTTTTTTTTAGTGGATGACAGCTGGAAAAGGTATTATTCATAGTGAAATGGTAAGTACTCATCACGCATATAATATCCCCAAGGGACTATTTTTATTTAATTACTAATAATAATTATTATTAAAATATAGCCAAAACAAAGCAATGGACTTTTACATGGTTTTCAATTATGGGTTAATTTAAGAAAAGCTGATAAAATGATAGAACCAAGATATCAAGATATTCCAGCCAAACATATACCAGAGATTCCAGAAGAAGGAGGCGGTAAAACTAGAGTTATTGCAGGTTCCTATAAAGGTGTTACAGGACCAGTTCAAGGTATCAAAACTGATCCATTATATTTGGATGTCAAATTAGCACCAGGATCATTATTTTCAGAAAACATCCCAGTTGGTCATAATGCCTTTGTTTATGTATTTGAAGGTTCTGGTCGTTTCGGTCCAAAAAATAATTCAAAAGAAATCAAAACATCACAAATTGGTGTATTACAAGTTCAAGGTGATAAAATTGATGTCATTTCTGGTGAACCAAATGGCGTACGTTTCCTTCTCGTTGCTGCAGCTCCAATCAATGAACCAATCGCTAGATACGGTCCATTTGTAATGAACACACAACAAGAAATTAACCAAGCTTTTGACGATTATAGAAATGGTCGTTTTTAATTAATACATTCATATACACATATATATATATAATATTTTAAAATTTTATAATAATCAAATTTGTAACTTTATCTCTTAAAAATAATAAAAAAATAAAAAAAATATCCAAAAAAAAAAAAGATCCCAAAATAAAAAAAACATTGTTTCCTTTTTAAATAATATTTCTATTTTTTCTATGAACTTATTAATTAGATAAAAGAAAAAAAAAAAAAATTATTAAAAAAAATAAAAAAATCAATTTTTTTTTTTTTTTTTAATTTTTTGAATTATTTTCATTTTTTTTTTTATTTTTTTTATTTTATTATTATTTTAAATTTCAACCATAATTAATAAATCAAAAAAAAAAAAAAAAGAGAATATATTTCAAATAATAAATATATAGAAATAGATAGATTATTCCTTTTTTGTTTTTTACTAAAGATAATAAATTTTTTAAAATAGTTTTTTTATACTTTTTTTTTTTTTTTTTTTTAGCTATCTAATTAATGTTTATATATTAAATATTTAATATTATTATTATATAATGAGTAATAATAATAATAATAATAATTTAACACCAACAAAGATGTCTACATCACCAAGTGGATCAGGGTGGAAAATTGGTAGTAAAATGAATCAGTCACCTTCACAACAAATACCAAATAAAAACGAAAATTCATCACCATCATCAACACCATTCGAATTAGTATCCCTTTTATCAGCACCACCACCATCGACCAAAAGAGTATTCGACCCAAATGCATCATCATTGAAATCGACACCATCTACACCAACAAAAGGTAAGCAAATTATATATAGTATGCATTTTAGGGTTCATTTTAAAACTAATATGTTTTATATAAAACATTTATTATAGTAAATAGCAATTTATCATCACCAATTCTATCATCACCAAAAACTGAACAAAAAAATGTTGGATTTGTTAGAAATAATAGCACAGGTAATTTTGGTTCATTAACATCATTTCATCCATCATCATCAACCTCATTTATCCCATCTACTCAATTCCATCCATCGTCATCAATGGCACTTTTAAAGAACAATCCAATGAGTAACAGTTCAACAAGTATTAGCAGTGGAATGAGCAATAGTAATTCTGATATTAATTTTATAAACGATCCAAAATACAAACAACATTCATCATCACCATCAAAAAATCAAAACATTTTAAATAAAAGTAGTAGTAATGCAATAAATAATCCAAATATTAATAATAGTAATCCAAACAGTCCAAATAATAAAAATACAAATCAATTAATCGATAAAATAATAACAGGTAAAATTAATGACGACATTGAAGACTTGGAAATAAGTGATGATGAAGCCGATGATATTGTTAATAGTATAGTGAATGGAGAATTACCACAAAGAATAACCACCACAACCACCACCACAACCCAAAATAATAATGAAGAGGAATTAAGCGATAGCAGCTATAGTATTAAAAATAGTACAAGTAATTTTAAATTCGAAGATATTGACGATGTTGAAGTGGATCCAGAAATTTTAAAAAAAATATTAACAGAACAAGATGATGAAATTATCGATGAAAGTATTACAGTCGATGATATTCTAAAAGATACTGGAATAGATGTAAGAATTATCCATTAAATAATGTTTTTAAAAAGATACTAATACTAATTTTTCAAAATAGGAAATCGAAGAAAATGAAATTTTAAATGAATTAATTAAATCACCAACAAATACATTACAGGTTCAATTAGAGCAAGAATTAAATATAACAGAGTCACGACAACCAATGCTATGGAAATTTAAGAATTCAAGAAAATTGGTTAGTGGTATAGTAGTGGAGCCACAATCGTTACAAAAGATATCAGAACAATTATCATCATCAGAAATTCGAAAAGTCGTTGGATACCCCACATGTTTTTCAATCACAAAATATATTTGTATTGGTACCTCTCATGGTTATTTAATGATATTCAATTACAATCAAGAGTTAATTTCAATTATTGGGGGTTCAATTTGTTCAGATTGTGGTCCAGTCACAGCAATCGATTTACCAAGTTGTCGTGTAAACGAGGATTGGTTAATTTCAGGTCATCAAAGCGGTCATATTATTTTATGGGATGTTCAAACTGGTAAACCAATCAAAGTTATTGAAAAAGTACACAAATTACCATTATTACATTTGAAATTTTTCGCAGATGGTTCAAGATTCATTTCTTCAGACTCAAGTGGTGTAACAAATGTTATAGTTATCACCAAAGGCTTTATGTCCATTGGCACCGAGCAACAATTATTATTGAATGGTAATTTAGGTCAAGTTTTAGCAATTTCAATTTTATTACCAGGTAATTTTGATCATCCAACTGATAGATCCAATATTGTAGCATTGGCCACCAGTAGAAAGATTTTAATCATTTCAGCATCAACCGAAGGTGTTTCGATTTTAAATAATAAGATCACTAGACCAAAGAATCTTGTTGATAAAACTGCATTGCCTTATCTCTCATGGCGTCGTGTCACATTCAATAGATCCTTGGGTCATACTAAACCATTGGAGCCAATTTTAGCTATTGGTTGGGGCACAAATATTCAATTACTTCAAATTGTAACAGCACCAAACGATGTAAAGTTTTTATCACCAGAGTTTATTGTTGTTGCAGAGTATCAAACTGATCATATAATTTGCGGTTTAGAGTGGTTGGATAGTCAAACTATTCTATTCCATAATTCAAAAGATGAAATTAGAGTATTTGACCCATTTGCTTTGGAGGAAGTCGAGAGTGTCAATATAAAATCAATGCAACTCGTACACCATTCAAAATTCCAATCAGTTTATTCATTCCATAACAGTATAAAGACAATAAAGAATAGAATCTACTTTTTAGGTTTAAATGGTGTATTTACAGCTCATATTTTAACTTGGTTAGAACGTTTATCAATTTTAATTAGTAATGGACAATGGTTCGAAGCTCTTTGTTTAGGTTTGGACTTTTATGAAGGTAAAGCCAAAGCAACATCAGGTCTTTCAAGTAATACAGTGGATTCGAAACTAATCACATCTGAAAAGATTATTGAAATGTTATCAAATCTTTGTCAGACTATTTTCAATAATAATCCAGAGGATCTTGTTGGTAAATCTTTAATTCCAAAACATTTTCTTCAAGATATGGACCCAAGAATTGAATATTTCAATATTTTCCAACAGTTGGCTTTAATTTGTATTGAATTTTGTGTATCCATCAAACACACCAATTTATTATTTGGCGAAATTTTCAATTATTTCTTAGAGAGTGGTATGAAAAGTTGTATTTTAGATTTCTTAGAACCTTATATTTTAAATGATCGTCTTACTCATTTAAATCCAGAAGTAATGCAAACCATGATGACCTATTATCAAGAGTTGGGTATTCTGGTTAGAGCCGAACAATGTGTTTTACATTTAGATATTTCAAGTATAGATTTCCATCAAACCGTTGTACTCTGCAGAAAACATGGTCTTTACAGTGCTTTAATTTATCTCTATAACAAAGGTTTGGACGACTATATTACACCATTAGAAGATATGATGGAGATGTTAATCAAACCAAAGAATTTAAATACTCAACTAACAGCAAGCGAAAAGAAATTTAGAGATGAAGTTGCAAATCATTTATTATTATACTTAAAATTATCTCTTAGTGGAAAAGCATTCCCAACTGGTTTAATTCAACAAAATCGTGTATTATCTTTAAAAGCTGAAATCTATGAATACCTCTTCCTCCGTAACATTGACCCAGATGACCCAACACCATATCCAAGAATCTTTAATCTTTTAAATTTAGAAACTACTGGGTTATTAAAAATTTTATCATCTGGATTCTATGATAAAAATTTCCAAGTACCAAATCACAGCAACGATGATTTAGTCCCAGAGCTTTCAGTACCAAATTTACCATTAAATTTCCCAGTCAGTCGTTCAAACTTAACTACCTTCAATATGATATCCGTATTGCTATTGGTAATGATCGATAAACAACAAAATCCATTCAATTTAAAACAAAATGATCAATGGGCATTCTCATTCCAACAACAGGGTCAACTTTTATGTATATTGGGAAAAGTTTATGCTGATGGTTTATTCCGTGTAGATTCAACATTATTAAATAGAATTATTGGTATGATTTCAGTTCCTCCAGTTGAAAACACTCCATTATTCACATTGAACGAAAGACAAAGTGTTTTATTAAGAATATTACAAAAATTAACAACCGATCTAAATACCAAGAAAGACTTTGATTATGATAAACTTTTGTTATCATGCGAAGGTAATGAATTCTTTAAAGTATGTCAATATATTTATAGCTTCAAGGATAATTATAGCAAGATGATTACATGTCAAATTAAAGATCAAGAGAATAAACACCAATCGTTCGATTATATTCGTACAATTCTAGCTAAACCAAATCTTTCAAAAGAGAATAGAGAGACCGTTAAAAACACATCAATTAGCAACTTGGCTCAGTTAATTTTAATTGATAGTGTTAAAACTGCTCAGTTAATTATGGATTGTTTCTCTAACGATCATGAAAAAGTCTTAAAAGAATTGGCAGCTTTTCCAAAACTTCAATATACATATCTTCAAGGTCTCTTTAAGAAATCTTTAACCGGTTCAACAATCATCCAACAATATGGTTTACATATTTCTCAAGAAACACACGAGCTTTATCTAAGATTAATGTGTGAATTCTCACCATCGAATGTTTATAAATATCTTTCAAGTAACGACGATTATCCATTAGATAGCTGTTTAAGAATTTGTCAACAATATAACAACTTTGAAGGTGCAATTTATTTATTAGAAAGAATTGGCGATGTTTTCAAAGCTTTGGATATGATTTTAATGGTATTAAACGAAAAGCTTCAAGCTCTTTTAGATCATTTCGCACAGGTTTATGTAAATGTAAAACAATTGAAAAACGAAGAAAATACTCCAGCATCACAACAAGAAAAGGATGTTGTTAAAGATTTATTCTCTGCAATATCGCTTTGCCAACGTAACTCACCAAAACTTAACGATAACGAAAATGAACCATTATGGTTTACACTATTCGATACCATCGTTTCATATATTCAAAAAGTTAAAATTCAAACCATGAAAGGTCAATTCAGTAAAACCTCATCCATTTACTCCAAATCAATTTCATTCCTTACAAAATTGGTACACTCTATTATTAATAATATGATGGGATATGTAGCATTACCAGTTATCCTCAGTAGAATCGTCAACGAGTATGGCAATAACGATTTGGGTGATTTTAAACAAATTATTCAGGATATGTTGGATACTTGTAATTTCGAAACTATAATTTTAGAAACAGCAAACGATTTAATACAACAAGATATGTATAGTGCCACCCGACATTATGTTGACAAATTATCGCGTGCTTATTCACCAAATATTTCACGATGCGGTAATTGTTTACGTCCACTTCGTGAAAGTCCAATTTCAAACCAACAACCCAATCATACTATGGTTTTGGATATGTTGGTAGTTTTCCAGTGTAATCATACTTTTCATTCTGAATGTCTTGGAAAGCATAGAGTTTGTCCACTATGTTCAAAAGAAAAAGAAAAAAATACAGCATCAAAAAATAAAAAACAACAACAACAAAATAAAAACAATAATTCAACTGCCGATAATCAAGATAATCAATTAAATGCTAATAAATTTGACATGTCAAAATACGAACGTGAAAAAGCTCAAAGAGAAACAGCCAAATATATGGAAAGATTAGAAAGATTTTCTAAAATGAATCAAAGATCATCTTTTAAATTTAATCACAATTCACGTCATTATCAGCAACAACAACAACAGCAATAATAATAATAATAAAATAAAGAAAGGGGTAAATAAAATATTAAAATCTCTTTTATTTATGGCCTTTTGATAAATTTAAATGTATTTTTTTTTTCTAAAATTAAAATTTTTGAAATATGTTCTTTGTTTGTCTTACTTCAATTTAAAATTAGCTTGGTATAGATGTTTTGCTTCAGTTTTTTGTTTTTAGATTAACTTCTTGAAAAATTCTTTCAATATTTTGAGATATTTTAGCATTTTGTATTTGTTGAATAGTAATAAAATGACCAAACTCTTTATCCACCCAGTTCTTAAATTGAACTGCTACTAAACTATCGATCCCAAGGTTTCCTAATGAATTTTCTGTGTTTAACTTTGATTGGTCTATTGATAGTAGTTCAGAAATTTTTATAGTAACTTTAGATGCTATAGATAGGTCACCATTGATCAAAAACACCAAATACTGTATCGTTATATATTGATTTATAGGGTGGCTCGAGGAATATCAATTGACCATTTGGAGTTAACACTTTATATATTTCATTTAGAGCTGATTTAATATTTTTTACTACATGCAATACATTTGACATTAAAATAATATCATAATGGGCTGGTTTTAAATCTTGAGCATTAACTAGTGATTGATCAAGATCTATGACACGGTAAACTATATTAATGTTTTTGATATCTGAAAACTTTGTTTTTGCATTTATAAAAAATGATGATGAAACATCTGAGAATGTAAATTCTATACTAATTTCGGATAATGGGTTCGATTTTAATAGTTGATCCAGTTGTTCAATGACGAAACATGATAATGATCCTAAACCTGACCCGAATTCAATAATTCTAAAAACTATTGGTTTTTGAAGCAGTGGTTTTACAATTTCATATACTACTTGGCTTAATAATTTGTTATAAATTACAACATCTTTTGCATTTTTATAAACACTATCTAACAAACCATTTTCAAATAGTGACTGAGGATTATCAGTATCTGGATCATCGTTATTTAAAGGGAAAATAAGTTTTGACATTATCCTACTTGATTTATCAAGAAGGTCTTAATAGTTTAATTCTAGATTATTTGAATTTTCACCTATTTCATTAATATTGTTGACTTCTTGATATTGTTTTAAAGAACTAAATGAGAGAAAATGGGGATTAGTTTTATCATTAATATTATATTTTTCTTTAAATTCATTGAGGGTGATGGATTCGATTGACTCTTTATTTATAGTTGGGTGTCTCTTTGAAATGTTTTTAAAAAAATAGTAACTAAAGGCCATTTTAAAATTTGTTTTAAAAGCTTCATCATCTTTGATTTGAAATTGAGTTTGATCATTCAATGATTTAAATGTTGATGGATTTTGAATATTTGAATCTTTTGATTGTAAATATGGAAGATAAATATCATTTTCTGTGGGTGCTGAAACTATTGAACTGTCAATTGTTGGGGTTAGGAATGAAAACATAACCTTTGATATTTCAAACAACAATATACCATCCTCTAACATTACATGTACTGAACTTTCAATAAAATTTCGAGTACTTTTAATTAATTTTGAGTATACATAAATTTCAGTATGGCTGCTGGATGATGGGATATTAGATGAATAGTATTTAAAACCTTCAATTCTATCAAATACAACTTGTGTAAATTCTTTTAAAAACATACATGTACCATGTATACATGTATCCAATATTGCTGCATTGAAGAAAGTTGTCATTCTTTTGTTTGATAATAGATGATTAAATTCTTCAATTTCTTTTAAAAAACTCAATGAAACCACTGAAAATATGCAGCCATCACCCAAGAAACACTCCTTAATACCTTGAAATAGTCCTTTGTAAGAAATACTTGCATTTATTTTCACTGCTTGATAGAATTCTTTTTTGGTCAATTTGGTGTAATTACAATTTCTCTTTAATTCACTTATATTCAATCTTCTTTCTTGATCATTATGATTCAGTAAACTAATATTACCGGAAGAACAGTGAGTCCATTCATCTGTTTTATTTTCTTTAAAGTGGTTTTGGACTGTATATATCTAAGCTTTTCCAAAACTGAATATCCATAATATTTATATAATTCCATATTCATTTTATCCATATGTAATTTGAATACTGGCTCATTACGATATAACTCCAATGCCATTTTATTATATTGTGAACCTTGGCCACAAAATACAAATACTGTTACAGGACCCCTATTATTAATCGAGATATTTGAAATTGAGTTTTGATTTATTGCTTTAATTTCATTATTTTTATTTTTTAATTCTTCCCAACTACTAGCAATGATAACTGATCTTTGAATTAGAGATGATGATTTAAATTTAATTTGATCTTTTATAAAATCAACAAAACTAATTGACTCTGGCAAACATTTAATATTTTGAAGATAATCATTTAATGATTTAATTGAATTTGAATTAAAGGGAATGAGGTACTTATTATTATTATTTTTAATATTATTAATATTACTATCATTATCATTTTCATTATTTATTTGTGAATTATTAATACTTTTGTTATAATCTTGTAAAATTAAACAACAATTTGAACCAGTAACACCAAAATTATTTACAATGACTGATGTCAACTTGTGATTATTAAATTTGATTGGTTCTGTGACAACTTTAATTTTCCATTCTTTAAATTTAATTAATGGGTTTGGTGTTTGGAAATAGATATTTGGAAAAAATATTTTATTTTTGAAACTTAAGCAACATTTAATAACAGAGGCAACACCTGATGCAGGCTCACAGTGCCCAATATTTGACTTAATTGACCCTACTAATAGCGGATTATCACTTGATTTTACATCTTTAAATACCATTGAACTACCCTCTAATTCTATTGGGTCACCAGTGGGAGTATCTGTACCATGACATTCCATATAGTCAATATCTGATGGTTTGACTGCTAAAAATTATATTAATAAAAAGTTACCAATAAAAACACTTGTGTTAGAACCTCTTATTGATGAATGGTCAATACCAGAGTCTTCCAATGCTTCAAATGTACACTTTAATAATAATCTTTGTTGTGGATCAATGGTTGAGACTTCACTTGGATTTATACCAAACATAATAGGATCAAAAGACTTCCACTCTTTAATCGGTAGCAATGCAGCATATTTACACACGATTTCGCCAGATAAACTGTAACTATCAGACCATCTTTCACATGTATCTACAACACCATTAAAACCATTATACAATGCTTTTGTCAACTCTTTTGGTTCTGATAACGATTTTTCTAAATTGCCACTGGGCAATCTAAAACCCAATCCAATAATTGCAACATCACTATTACTAATTCCTGAATATTTATCCATTTAAAATTATATTAATTTTTTATGTATATTTAAAATTTTATAACTTGAAAATTTTATATTTTATTAAAAAAAAAAAAATTGAAAATTAAAAAAATAAAACTGTCTTTATAAAATTTTAATTGATCAATTTAAAAAATTATTATAAATAAAAAAATAAGATTTAAAAAAAAAAACAAAAAAAAAAACTTACACTTTATATTAGACCGAGTTTAATTGAATAGTTTTTTAATCTACTATATAAAAGTTTTATTAATTGGTCAAAAAGATTTGTAATATAGAAAGAAGTGGTTAAAATTTTAAATTCAAAAAAAAAAAAAATTTTAATTAAAATTTTATAAATATTTTTAATAGATCCAATTTAATACTTTATCCTTTTTCAACTCCTATATTATATAATGTTACATAATATGATCGAGAAATATTAACAATATTCTAATTATCTCTTTAAGATCTTTACAATAGGAAATTTCAAAGAATATTATAAAACAGTTAAAGCCAAAAGAAAAAAAAGAAAAAAACAAAACAAATACCCCACAATAAAAAACCAAACATATTTAAAATAAAAATATTATAAAACAATATATAATACTTTATAGAAGTTTGTTTTTATTACTCTTCCCCCAAATTATGAATTCGATATGATATACACATCATGTTGGCAATTAACCTACACTCCTATTTCCCAATGAAAAACGCCATCAAGGTTTACTTTAAATAAATTTAATTTATAATTTTATATAAGATACATACACATTTTAAATATTACAATATATGATATTTATTTTATTTATTTAATTTACAATATTGCTTATTATTGTTACACCACACTATTATTTTTTTGAAAAAAGTTAACTTTCTAATTGTAAAACATTGACTGTTGATGGACCCATGTTGATTATTAAAACATCACCGTTGGCATATATTTCTTTAAATGAAGATCTTTGGGGTGGAACTGTGATTCTTTCGATATAATTTTCATTTACATATAGTTGTATAAAACTTGTTGCAGTGCAATAACTTTTAATTTCGATTTTAAAATCACCACAAATTCCATTGTATGCTGTTTAAATTTAAAATATAGTATTTAAAAAAAAAAAAGAGTATATATTAAAATTTTAAAATAGTAAAAAAAAATAAAAATATAAAAATAATATTACTTTTCGTTTGTTGTGGTTTTAATTCTATCATTTTAATGGGTATTATTTATTTATTTATATATTTAATTTAAAAAAGTATTAATAATGAAAAAAAAAAAATTTAATAAAAAAAAGGAAAATAAAAAAATAAAAAAAAAAATGGGTTATTTTTTTGTTTTTTATTTTTGTAAAATTGCACACACACACCCACACAGTGTGTGTTTTTTTGATTATTTCTTTTTAATTTATTATGATAATTTGATCAGGATTGAAAATAAATAAAAAATAAATAGTTTCCCATTTTGATTTTACCCTCTTTTTTTTTTTTTCTTATAATTTTTTTTTTTTAGTTTTCTTTTAAAATTGTTTAAATAATTTATTTTTATATAATTTAAATAATAAAAATGGATGTTGATTTGTGTTGTGGAATTCGAAAATATTGAAATCAACTTTTCTGAGTCTTTCTAAAAAGTCTTCAACAATAGCGGCAGAGTAGAAAGCTTGATGGGCATTCTCTGGAAGATTTTTAAAAGCCTTGGCTTTGTCAAGATGAAGTTTTGCACAACTTGCCATTTCGTAGATTGCATTTTGCATTTTATCAAATTGAGCATCACCACGATAAAGAGCCTCGGTATTAATACCATATTTGGTTGTTAATGAAACTGGAATATAAGTTTTTCTATTACCTAAATGGAAAATAGTACCACGGATTAAAACCATAATACCAACTGCTTTTCCAAGATGACTTGCACAATGTTCAGCATCGTGATTACCTTTGATGCCCAATCCCTCTAATGTTAATAATAATAAAGATGTGTGAATATCATCTGCATATTGTTCTAAATCTTCCATATCTTTAATTTGAACTGATTGAACATCCTTTTCTCTTCTATTTAATAATCTAATAAACCATGTCTTTGATAATTTTTTTTCTTTAATAACCTGTGCTAAAACTCTTGTTAATGGTTGATCATAAACTTTACCCTAAAATATTATAAAATTTTAATATATATTAATGTTTGTTATGGGTTCATTGATTGTATATTGTAATATAACTTTTACTTACATTATAGATATTATTAATTGCATCTTTCCAGAATTGAAGTCTAATTTTTGAAATTTTTTCAGATTTTGGTGAAAAATCGTTTGCTACAGTCTCTACATTAAATGTTCTAAGTGCATATGCAACTCTTCTTGCGACTGGGTCACTAATTAATAAACTACAAAGATAATTTTCTTTATCAAATTTTCTATAAAAAAAAAAAATAAAAAATTATTAATTAATATGGATTGTGTTTAGTGGGTGTATTTTTTTAATTTTATTTTTACTTTGCTCTTTCAAATACAAAATTATAATCAGCATTTCCAGCAAGATCTGAAATTTCAATTGATTGTGATGATGGTGATGCTACATTTTCTTTTTTTGTAATTTCTTCAGCTTTTTTATCGACACTATCTTTAATATTGGAGGTGGTAAAATATTTTGAGTTATTATTTAAACTATTTATATATATTGCATTTTTAATTTTATTTATATTATTATAATTATTATTAACTAATCTCTTTCCGAAATTAGAAAAAACTAAAGTATTTCTAATCATTGTTTCGTCTTTAACAAATAAATTAGAAAAAATTTAAAAAAAAAAATGAAAAAAGAAAAAATGAAAAAAAATTTAAAAAAAAATCTTTTTTTTTTTTTTCATTTTTTTTTTTTTAGAAAATTAAATATTAATTTTAATATTTAATATTTATTTTTTTTTTCTATATTTAATTTACATTTATTTATTTTTAGAAATATTTATTTTAGAAAAAAATATTTTTTTAAAAAAAAATTTTGTAATAACTTGGGGGTAAAATTATTTTTTTTTTTTTTTTTTTTTTTTTTTCTTATTCTTTTTCTTTTTATTTTTCTTCCGACGTTTAAGAGTTGCGTTTTACAGTTTTTAAAAAAAAACTCCTTGGTTTTGGAATGGGAACTATTAATTTAAAATCAGGAAAATATCTAATTTTTATTTTAATTATTTTATTTTAATTTTTTAAAATATTTTTTAAAGTAAAAAGTTTTTTTTATTTTTTTTTTTTAATTTTTTATTTTTATAATCAAAAAACAATATTTGTAATAATAATTAAAACCCAAAACGATGAGGATTCTAATTTTACTCGTTTTTTTAATTAATTTAGTATTTTATGCAAATTCTCTTTCATTTGATGAAATTCTTCAATCAAGAAATTTAACAACTTTACCTTTATCAACTTGTCAACAAGCTGCCCAAACAGCTTCCCATTATGCTTCGTGTGGTTGTAAGTATTTTAATAAATATCATTAAAATTGATTAAATATTAATGTCGATATTTATTTATAGGTCCATACGTTTTTGGTGGTACATCATGTAGTTGTGGTGGTAGTGGTGGTTTAGATTGCAGTGGTTTAGTTTATGTTTCATACAGAGCAGCCGGCTGGAACGGTGTATTAAGTATGCATAGAATAATTTTTTACATATTTTTTTAAAAAAAACTCCTATTAATTTTTAAATATCCTAAAATTTTAGGAACTGCTGCTCAACAATACACTCAAGGTGTTGCTTGTGGAGGTGGTAGTACTTCAAGCTCAAGCTCAAGCTCAAGCTCAGGTCCATCATCAAGCTCAGGTCCATCCTCTACTGGTATGTAATTTTTTAATAATATTAAAGTCAATAGATAACGTATTAATTTTTTCTTTAAAAGGTAAATCATCCACCGGGGGCTCATCAACTGGTATGTATTTTTATATTAAAATATTTTTTTATTTTTATTTTTATTAATACTAACCTTAATTATTTACAAAAAGGAAAATCATCCACTGGAGGCTCATCAACTGGTATGTATTTTTTATTTTTTATTTTTAGGTTGATTTAGTAAATTAATTTAGTTTTAAAAATAAGGAAAAACTTCAGCATCATCAACTAGTGGAGGCTCATCATCCTCACAAACCAGTGGTCAAACTAGCGGTCAAACCACCAGTCAAACTAGCGGTCAAACCAGTGGTCAAACTAGCGGTCAAACCACCAGTCAAACTAGTGGTCAAACCAGTGGCCAAACTAGTGGCCAAACTGGAAGTCAAACTAGTAGCCAAACTGGAAGCCAAACTAGTGGCCAAACTTCTGCCTCAGGCTCACAAACAAGTGGCCAAACTAGTGGCCAAACTGGAAGTCAAACCTCTGGTAAGTTTTTTAATTAACATCAATTACATAAAATACATTTATATTAATTTTTTCTTTAAAGGTTCTCAAACAGATTCAACAGGTAATTAAGGTTTAAAAAAAAACATTAAATCTATAATATTAATTATTTTTTTCATTATTAATAAAGGTTCTCAAACTGGTGCTGCAACTGGAACTTCAGGTAAGTATTTTAAAACAAATCTATAAGTAATTAAATTATAAACTAACACTATTTTTTTAGGCTCTCAAAGTGGAAGTGCTTCCTCAACAAGCTCATCAGGTATGATATAATAAAAAAGAATTTAATTTAAAGCAATAGCTATTAATTTTTAAAAAATTATTTTTAGGTTCACAAAGTGGTAGTGCCTCCTCAACTGGTAAGTTTGATTATTTTAAAATAAATACTTATTTCATTTTATTAACAATAATAATTTTATAGGTTCACAAAGTGGTGATAGTTCTTCGGGCTCATCAGGCTCATCAGGCTCATCAGGCTCATCAAGTTCAACAGGCTCAAATAGTGGATCAGGTTCATCAAGCGGTAGTAAGTTAAATTTTAATAAATACCTTAAAGATAAATATTTATATGTTTTTTTTAATAGATTCTTCAGATTCCTCAGGCAGTGGTTCTGCCTCAAGTAGTGGTACTGGAAGCAGCAGCGGTACCGGCAGTAGCAGTGGTACTGGCAGTAGCAGCGGTAGCAGTAGCGGTTCTGGTAGTAGGTATAATTATCTTTTTTTTTTTTTTAGTGTTTTTTATTAACTTCTCATTCCATAAAGGTGGTACAGGTTCAAGCTCCGAAATTCCAGTTGAACAATCAGGCGTCAAAGGTACCTGTTCACCATCAGTAAGTATAACATTCTCTAGTTTCTAAAAGATTTATCTTCATTATTTTAATAATTCAAATTATAATTTAGAATACCGCAGGATGTACAGTAGGTGATTTATTCTTCTATTGTTTCCCAGGCGATAGTACCTGTCCAGGACATGTAGTTATGTATATAGGTAACAACCAAGTTGCTGAATGCCCACATACCGGTGAAGTAAGTATAAATATTTAACTTTTTAGTAAAAATATCATTCATTATAAATTCTAATTTTATTTTATTACTTTATAATAGAATTGTCATATCATCAGTAAGTATACCTGGACCTTATTTGGATTCAAATTAAAATTTAAAATTATACTAATCTTTTTTTCTTTATCTAAAAACCAATTATTAGCCCCATATTCAGAAAGCTACCATGGTTGTCGTTCAATTTGTGGTTAATATATGCGCTGTGTAAATCTTTAATAAAATTATTTTATAACAAATTTATTTTTTTTATTCAGTTTTAGATTTATTATTATTTATTTTTTTAAATTATTATTAATATTTATTTTCGTTTTTAAAATTCTTTCGGGAATATTCTTTTTTTCTTCATCTGATAAAGCTTTTTCTACTCCAAAAGTAAGATTCTTAACTGATTCTGGTAAATATTTAAGTGTTTCAAAGTCTTTAAAATTTGAACCCAATGTCAAAGTATGAACTTTTTTTGGAAAAGTATCTTTAATTATTTTTTGATTAAAGTTATCCAGGACCAAAATTGTTGCTTCTTTAGGTAAATAGTTGTTTTTTTTAAAAGTTTTTGTAAAATTTAAACTCCAAGTAAAGTCATAAATAGTGGCATTAAGGTTATCCCCATTTACATATTCAAAATTTTCACCTAAAACCATTTTTGAAACTGATGAAGGAAGTGACTTATCATTTAATGGATGATTGAAGGATTTTAAAAATAACTCTTTGACCGAATCTGGAATTACAGAGTTTGGTATTGGATAGTTATATGAATTGAGATCTAGATATTCTACAAAATCTGGAATAAAATTTGACTTCATTTCTGCATCCTCTTTACAATTAATATCATTTTGGGTAATTGAATATAATTCGTGATTATATGAAGATAATATGAGCTTTTTTACTAAAGGAGGTATTGAGTTGTGTTGTAAAGGTTGGTTATATGTAGGTAATATTAGATGAGTTATAGAGGATGGTAATACATTTGGTTCAATATTTTGATTATATGATTTTAATGAAAGTAATCTAACTGTTTTTGGAATTGTATTTTGTATAATAGGGTGATTATAAGAAACTAAAGTAAGTGAGGTTACTGATTTTGGGATTGAAAAGGGTTGAATAGGATGGTTAAATGAGGATAAAGAAAGGATTTGAATAGAAGAGGGAAATGATGTATCTGATATTGCTTGATTAAAGTTTGGAAATATTAATTCTTTTACTGATTTGGGAATTGAATCATGGGAAATTGTTTTATTAAATGAATCGAGTGTAATTGATGATATAGAGGAAGGAATGTAATGAGGTTCAAGTTGCAGATCAAATGATTTAAGTCTTAGATTGGTTACTGAATTTGGTATTGATTTTTGGCTAATTTGTTTGTTAAATGAATCGAGTGAAAGTGATGTTACTGAGGATGGAATTGTATTTTTTTTAATATTTTTATCAAATGATGGCAGAGAAAGAGATGTTACTGATGATGGCACTAAAGTTCTACTAAGGGTTCGATTAAAAGTATTAAGTGTGAGGGACTTGACTGAGGAAGGAATTAATATGGGTGTAACTGAGCTATTTATTGAATTTAGAAGTACGGCCATTATGTAAATAACATTAAAATATACATATAGATCTTTAAAAGATGGGACAGGTAAGAAAACCTCTATTACATGGAAAAAATATGATAAAAATGAAATTAAAATATATGAGATGAGCGCTGATAGAAAAGATAAGAGCATTGATATAATAAAAGGAATAAGATAGTTGGGAATATTTAATGTAATATAAAATGGGTACATTAAGATATTTAAATTCGGTAATAATAAAAAATTGGGATGTTTAAGTTTTGATATGAATATAATATTATTTGACAAAGATGTGAAAAGAAAATAATCTATAATTTTTGGGGGCTCCTCTTTAAAATTTAATTTTAAATAATAAAATAAAAAATAAATGGGAAATGACAACAAAAAGAGTGTTAAATTATTGATGATAGTAATTTTAAAAAAAGAGGGTATTGTTAAAAGTGTAAACTTATGATTATATGTACCCAATGTGAGTTGAGTTACTGATGATGGAATTGAATTATGTGAAATGGTTTGATTAAATGATGGTAATACGAGATTTTTAACTGATGTTGGAATCGATCCACTTACAATGGGTCGATTAAATGATGCCAATTTGAGCTCAGTAACAGATAATGGTATTGTTTTAGGTGCAATGTATTCGTTAAATAATGGCAGTGAAAGTGATGTTACTGAACTAGGCATTGAAAGGGATTTTAAAGATTTGTTGAAATCTGGTATTTCAATTTTAATTTTTTTTGATTCGTCAACATCTTGAATGTTTTCTTCTTTTTTTTTTAAAATTGAAATTTTTGAATAAAATGTTTTAAACTTTTAAAATTTTAATAAACAAATTAATAATTTAATCTATGAAAAATATAAATAAATCCTATTTCTATATGTACAATTGGAAAATCTAACAATTCCTTTGCGCTTGGTCTTTGATCTGGAAGCTCTCTTTTGCATTTATTAATAATCTCTTCAAAGTCTTTATCTATTTTCAGAGATTTGCTATTTGAAGTGGCTTCTCCTGTAATCATTTCTAGTAATGTGCAACCAAAACTATAGATATCAACTTTAACATTTAAAGGCCCCTTTCCAAGTATAGTTTCTGGTGCCATGTGTGATGGTGTTCCAACAATTGTTGGTGTATCTCTGTTGTTTGAATCGTATAATTTTGATACTCCGAAATCTATTAACTTTATTTTATTGTTTTTTGGGTTATATAAAATATTATCACATTTGATATCTCTATGAACTATATTATTTGTGTGAAGAAAATCCAATGCTAATAAAATTTGATGTATGATTATAATTATATTTTTTTTAATGTATTTAAAGTTGGCAATATGTTTACTTAATTTGTCATAGTCCTTCATATACTCCATATATATAAATAAACTTTTATTTTCATCATATTTCCCATACCCATATCCATAAAATTTAATAATATTTTCGTGAGGAATACTAAATAATAATCTTATTAAATCTATTTCTTTTTTAGCCTAAATAATAAATTAAAATTAATATTTTAATAATAAAAAAATATAATGAAAAATAAATCGTGTAAAACAATACTTACAATTTTGTGATTTTTCTCATCGATTATCTTAATTGCACAATCTTCTTCCTCTTGCAATTCAAAACCATTTACATATCTATTTTTTTTAAAAGCTCGGTGAACCTTGCATGATCCACCTTTCCCAATTAACCCTTTAAAATCCCAATCTTTAATATTAAAGTTATAATGTAATAAATATTTTTCTTTAGCCATAATAATAAATTAAAAATGAAGAAAATAAAAATATAAAAAATAACAAAATATAATTTTGGTGAAGAAAAAAAAAAAAAATTTTATAATAAAAAATATAAAAAAATTAAAAAATATAATAAAAATTAGAAAATAAAGATTTTTTTTTTGTACATTCCACCAACCGAAAAACTTCGTCCGCTTTAATAAAAAATCAAAGTTTTTATTTTATTTTTACTTTTTTTTTTTTTTAGGATTGATATTCAAAAATACTTAAATCCCTTTCTTTTTTTTCTAATTGATTATCATTATTATTATTGGCATCATCGACTGAATGTGATTTGTAACCTAATTGATTTGCAGCTCTATCGAGTTCTAATAAAACATTGGAGATATCTTTTTCTGAGAGCATTGGAATAACCTCTTGAATGAATTTTAATTCTTCATTATCCCTTTTTACTTTGGCACTATCTAATTCCTCAACGACTTTGTTTGATTTTGGTTGCTCCAATTCGTTTTCATCTTGATAACCATAGTAATAGAGATAAAGTTTGTAAAGAATTCTAAAAACGTTTTCTGCTCTTTTAATTTCATTATTTTTGGCCTCTTGATTATTATCGATCAATTTGTTTACTCTTTGTGCTATGTATTTGATTTTTCCTGCTTCTTCATTTTCGTAGTCATAATCATATACGTATGCACCATCAGCTTCATCTTCGATATTTGCATCATTATTTAAATTCTTTTCTTGCTTTTCCATGTATTCCTCTGGAACCAATTCGGCATTTTGCTTGATTTCATTTTCTTCAATACCGTCTTCTGCTTGATTGGTTTGGTAATCATCAATGTGGAACAAACCAAAAAATAGTCTTAATGAACGGTAAAAGAGACCCTCAAAATTATCCTCCTTTGCTTTTTCATCAGTTTCATATGCCAAATTAACAATACGGTTAACTAATTCTTGATTAACACTTTGTTGAATTAATTTATCTTGTTGTTGTTGTTGTTTGTTGACAGTTGCTACACCTTCAGCAGTATCGATATCATATTGAGAGTTTTTACCATACAAAACAGAGTAACCTAGATCTATTAATTGATGAGTTAGGCTTTCTTTTTGGTATTTATTCATTGGCTTTGAATCACGAACAAATAATTTGTTGAGGGCTATTATAGTTCTTGGGTTCAAAAACTCTTTGGTTGCTAAGCTTTGGATATCTTTCATGGTGGATTCACTGAGCCAGCTTGGGTTTTTATTTGTTGAAGGTTTACCTAATAAATCACCTTCGGTAACCTCTTCATTAAAAGCGGCCAAAAATGTCAAAAATGATCTAGCGAAACTTAAAGTAACCTTAATGAGTGATGCAACAGTATTTTCTTGATCAACCTCCTTTTTATTTTCTACGTCCAAAAGCTTTAAAATGGTGCTTGAGTACTGTGGATTTCTATTTGCCAAACTAACAATTTGATGAGCAATCTGCTTAATATTATCTTCAGTGATTGTATTTATAGAGTCAATTTTTTTATTCATTGATTTGGATATTTCCTCTTCTTCTTTTTGCTGCTGTTGTTGTTGATGTTCGTAATTTTCAACGAATAAATGATCATTAATAATATTTTCACTTTTGTCCTTTTTACTTTCCTCTTGAATACCGAAACTGTTTAAAATCTTTTTTAATAGATAATTTGTTAATCTGTAAAGATCTTTTTCAAATTCTATACTTTGACTATCGGTGAGACTGAAAACCTTTGAACTAGATTGTGCCAATTCGTGTACTAATTTTTGAACCCTAACATAATCTATTGAATATCTATGAGTTGCAACAATTTCATTAAGCGATTGTAAATAGTCACCTATTTGCTCCATTTTGCTTTGTTTTTCTTGTTGTTGTAATTCTTGATCATTTAAATTATAGCCAAATAAATAACCAAATAATCTTGATAACTCATTGTCATTGCTATTCTCCATTATTTTATCAATTGTATTTTTAATTTTTTCTTCAAAATTGAGTTTTAAATAATCTTCATTTTCTTTCTAAATAAAAGGAAAAACCAAATTAATATTTTTAATTAAAAAAAATCCAATGTCACAATAATATAGTTACATCTTCTATTTTCTTCATTAGCAAAGTATTATCTTCGTCTACTATCTGTTGCTCTGGTTTATTGTTTTCCTAATTATTTTAAAAGATAAATAAAAATATTATTAGCATATAAATTTTAAAACTACTTTATTAAATAGTATATGTAGTATATTACATTTGAAAAAGCAATTTGTAATAACAAAGAAAACAATATTAAAAAACCTATTATTTTCATTTTCTCTATTTAATATGATTATAAATGAATATTGCTTTTATGTTTTATAAATAAAAAAAAGTATGCAAACAAAAAAAAAATAAAAAGTATTTTAAAAAAAATAATTAATAAAAGAAAAAAATAATTAAAATAAATCCAATGAAACACACACACACAAAAATACAAAAAATAAATAGTGAGATATAATTATAGGGGTAAAGGGGGTTAAAATAGCAAGGGGTTATTTTTGTATTTTGATATTTTTATTAATATATTTAATGTAGTGTGAATTTTGGTGTGAGTGTGAGAGTGTGAGTAAAAGTGTTTCGATGGAAAGTGATATTAGAAATATAAAAGAAACATATTATTTTTTAATTATTACTTTTGTTACATTTGTTATTTGAACTGCCTCTATTTTAATCATTAAAATAAACACTATGATAAACCCATATATTTACTACCAACATTGTATTTTAGTGGATACCAGATACCAGCACTTGAGAAGTTTATTGTCTAAAATTACATTTATAAATAATTATTAAAAAACAAAAAAACAAGTTTTATAAATCATTAATTTCCAAAAAAAAATTAAAAATGAGAAATAAAAAAAAATCGAATTTTTTTTTGGAGGGAATATTTAATTATTTATTTTAATATTTTATTTATTTTTAAAAATGCTTTTGTTGATTCTTGATAATCAGTTTTTAAACCATTAAATAATACAAATAATTTTGTTTTTTTTAAAATCTTGGAGTTAACTTAATTGAGAATGGTTTAGGGTGAATTGTTAAACCGAATACCTCCTCTTCATCGAGATTATTTCCACTGACTGAATCTAATTCAAAGTTTAATAAAATATTTGCACATGCAGAGAATAATATCTGAAATGAAATTAAAAGATTAAAAAAAAATTAGATTTCATTTAGACTGAATGCTTCTTAAGTGAAAATTACTTACCATTTCAGATAAAGCCATACCAGGGCAATTTCTATTTCCAACAGAGTATGGAATGCAAACTCTATCCAAGTCGTTAAAGTAATCTTTTTCTTTAATTCCATTAATATCTTTAAACTCTTTTAATTTCCTATATTCTATCCATCTTTCAGGTCTGAATGTGTGTGGATTTTCTACATAATTGTGACCCAAACCATAAATATTTTGATAAACTTGTGTACCTTTGGGAATAAATACCGACTCTCCATCTTTAGTTTCGATATTTGTTGATTCTAATGCAACTCTTGGGATTCCTAATGGTCCTACAGGTCTTACTCCTATAATAGTAAAAAATTAATATAATTTTAAATAAAATCTTTTTTTTTTTTTCTACATACTTAAAATTTCTTTGATAATGGAAACCATGTATTCGCATTGCTGTCTATCACTACTAGAAACAAACTTTGAATCTTTACCTAAGCAGCCAACCAATTCTTCGTATGCTTTCTTTTGAATATCCTTATTGTTTATTAAAAACAAGCAAAACCACTCAATAACTGCGGCATTGCTGTCAGATCCAGCCAATAAGAAATCCATTGCGGTGTGTATTACCATAAATTTAGCCTCACCATTCGATGCAATAATAAGCAAATCCATTTGATCTTTTGGATTTTGTGGATCTAAATTAACTACGTGGTCATCATATATACCCTCCATAAATTCGTAAATATCCTCTACTTGACGTTTAAACTTTTTGTTTGCAAAATAAAAGAATGGTGAAAGTATTGAAATAAAATCATCTGGATTATCAGCACCTAATTTTTTAAACACACTTTGAATTGGAACAGTTAATTTAGCCATTGAACCTTGGTCGACACTTTCCTCTGGCGAAATCTCTTTACTAAACATCATACCGCATACAATATTAATTGCAAATTTACTGTAATACTTTTTAGGTTCAAACTATTATTATTTAACTATTTGTAAGTATTTGTAAATAAACTTATTTTATTTTTATTTTATATTTACATATTCGTTTTCATTTGAGCATTTTTTCATTGAATCTACTAAATATCTGGTTTGTCTTTCAATAATATCTTCTACAGTTTTTAATTTTGTTTTTGTGAATGCACTCGAAACCAACTGTCTATTTTTCTTCCATAATTTATAATCTGCAAATGCAAGGTCTTGAAAGTCGCCACTATAGTTCCTATAACTATTTGGATGTGGTCTATTTGAAAAATTTGAAAACCTTTTATTCCAAATTTGTCTAACTACATAGGGATCGGTAATAACCTGAATACATTTTAATTAAAATATTTTAGTTAATAAAAAATAAAATCTTAAAACCAATTTAAGAATAGCCTACCATTGCGTAATGATCACCCATATAAAGTCTAAAAACTCCGCCATATACATGTGATAATGCAGTTAGTGTTCTGTGTGGGTTTTTTCCCAACATTAAAAGATTTCCAAATAGTGGAAGTGAAATAGGTCCTATATTAATAAAAACAACAAATTCAATTAATCAATTGATTGATTTGATTTCCCTCGAACCAATATCAAAACCTTACCTTTTGGGTCATTGGGGCCTAGTCTAAGATTTTTTCTAACCTATAGGAACAGATGATATTAAAAGAAAAAAAAAGAAAAATATTAATTTTGATGAAAAAAATTAATTTGATAAAAAAAAAAAAAAAAATACTCACAAAATCAAAAACTATTAAAACTATTAGAATGTATAGACATAAAAACAACAAATTCATTTTATTTTATTTTAGAATGTTTATTATTAACAAAATAAAAATTGCTGGTCTCTTTATTATTTAATATTTATAATTAAATATTTTTTTGAAAAAAAAAATAAAAAAAAAATAAAAAATAAAAATAAAATAAAATTAAATATAACAAACAAACAATAATTATTGTTAGAAGCTAAATTTTTTACCCCGATAAATAATAAAGCCTACTTTAATATTATATGTATCATATAAATACTATACTCTTGATAAAACAAAAAAAAAAAAAAAGATTTTATTATAAAAGAAAAAAAGGAATTATCTTGTTATTGTGGTCAACATAGAAACAATATATGCGATGTGACACAATACCCCACCAGTTATTTGGTATTGTTGTTTTTGTGTGTGTATGTATTTTTAACTATTTTTTTTTAATAAACTGATTTTTTTATTTTTTTATTATTATTATTTTTTTTTATTTTTTTTTTTTTTGAAATTAAAAACCAAATTGATTTTACAAATTACCAAAAATAAATAAAAAAAATTGGATGTGGCAATTATATGGGTGTGTTCAAAAAATAAGATTTCTTGAAATAATGAAAAAAAAAAGGTTTGTGCACTTAACAATATAGCACAATTAATATTTAAATATAAAAACACTATATGGTTAAATATAACGGAATTGATCACATACAAAAAGTTCACAGATTTTTTTTTTATTTTTTTATTTTTTTATTTTTTTATTGTCAATTGTTTATTGTAATTTTTTATTTTTTAATTTTTATTTTTTATTTTTTGTTTTCTGTTTTTTGTCCTCTGTTTTTTTATTTTTTAATTTTTAATTTTAAAATATTAAATATTAAATTATCAAATTTAAATATTAAATTATTAAATTATCAAATTTAAATATTAAATTATTAAATTTAAATATTAAATTATTAAATTTAAATATTAAATTATTAAATTTAAATATTAAATTAAAATTGTTTTGTTTACTTTTATTTTGAAAGCGTAAAAACAAAATACGTTAAAAATTGTGTATATATCCCATGGAATGTGTGAAATTTAAGCAAAAAGTGATTGTGACATAAAAAAAAAAATAAAAAAAAATAAATAAAAAATTAAAAAAAAAAGCAAATCTCAAAAAAAATCTTGATTGTAATTCGGTTATTTTTTTACATTTATGAAAAAAAAATTATTTTTATACTTTATTTTTTATAATTCGATACCCTTTTTCTTTTTTTTTTTATGATGAAAAACTTTTTAATTATTTATAAATAATCATTATTATAACAGACACCTTTTTCATTCCAATTACACACAATTTTTTTTTTTTTTTTGAAGAACATAAAAAAAATAGATATATAGGTAAAAAAAATTAAATTATAATAAGACTAAATAGTTTATGGTCTATAAAATCATTTCCTTTTGCCTTTATTTAAAAAGAACAATAATAAACCAAATCATTTTAATCAAATAAAACAGTTATTTTTTAAATTTTTTTATTTTTTAGTTTTTTTTTTATTTTTTTTTTTTTTAAAATTTTTTTTTTTTTTAAATTTTAAAAAACTATTTTTTTTTTTTATTAAAGATATTGCATAACCAACCCTTATAAAGAATATTATTATTCTTGAAAACAGAACAAGGGTTTTTGGCCTTATTGAACAAAAATAATATCTATATTTTTTCATTACAAATAAAAATAATTATAAATATAGAATTATAGAATTTTTAAAATCATTTTATTTATTTATTTATTATATATATATTTATTTATTTATTTATTTATTTATAAATCTGTAGAATTACTAAATCAACAAGAAAAGGAAATTTATTTTTTTCAAATTTCTCAATAAAAATATAAAATATTTTAGTAGGTTTATTTAAAATAGATTGTTAGATTTTTATCTAGAGATGGATAAATAATAATAATAATAACACAAAAAAAAACATAACCACAGCAAAAAGAAAAACTTTCACATAATAGAATTAAAACTTAAAAAAAATCGATTGTCCTCAATTATATAAAACAAGATAAACAATATAATTTCACCCATTCTCATTTCAAATACACACACCCCATCCAAATAAAATATTCATGTAATTCAATAGCAGTTTTAAAAGAATGATATTAATATCATTAAAAAAAACCACTTGTTATTATTAACATTAATCAAATTAAAGTATAAACAAATGTGATATTTTTGTTTATATTTTATTTTATAATCATATGACATCCTATAAAGTTTTATATTTGTTTTTAGAATCATAAATTAAGAGATACAACAAAAAATATGATTTTTTTTTTAAAAAAAATACTGCACTACCCCCAATTTTTTTTTAAATGTCATTTACACACAAAAAATTAAACCCACACACACACACAAGACTTAGATCCACAAACATAGATTCAGATTTTTCTATTTTAAATAAAAAATAATACATTAACTACCCACACTCATTTAATCATATCAATAATTTAAAAATAAACATTTAAAAATTAAAAAAAATAAAATAAAAAAAATAAAAAAAAAGAAAAAAAGTAAAATAATTTATAGTGAACAAATTGTCATTATTGTGTAATTATATTGTGTTTTCATTATATTGTTTTATTGATTTAAAGTATATTAACTATATTATCTTTTATCTTTTTAATAAGTAATTCTTATTATAATAATTAACATAAACCATTATAACATTTTAATTTCTCCGACCCCCATATAAATTTTAGTATTGGTAATATTTTATATTTTCATCAACATAGAGTTTTGTTTAAACAAAGTTTTATACCCAAGCACAGTTTAATAATATTTGTTTATTCATTTATAATATTTGTTGGACCTATTTACAAACCCATTCATTCAAACCTCACACATTTCCATTCATTCATTAAAATTAATATATTTGATTAATCAAATATAAAATGTAGTTTGTAAAATTTTTTTTTTTTTTTTTTGTTTTTATTATTTGTATTTTTTTATTTTATAATAAATTTAATATAATACATATATGTATTTTAAAATATTTAATTTATTTGTATATCATTCTATACAAATTAATTTTATTTGTATTTTAAAATAATTTTTTTTTCTTTATTGTTATTATTAATATCATTATTATTTAAAAAATATTAATATAGTTTTAATAACAACATTAACAATAGTTTTATAAAATAAATAATTAAATCATTGTATTTTTATATTAACTTTTTTTTTTTCATTATTTTATAGGTGTATATAATTTATTTTTTTATTTTTTACAAAAAAAAAATTAAATTTATATAATTATATAGTTTTTTTTTAAAAAAAAATGTCAAATTTATTAGATGATGATGAAATTATTCTACAATCACCAGATTCAATTATAACTTCATCAATTGGTTACAGCCCCAGAAGTCTTTCGACAAATGTTGATATTTCAGGTACATCATTAAATTATAGCGTTGGTGGTGATAAATCATCATTTCCACCCACATCACCACAATTAACAAATACAATTGAATCACCAACACTCACCACATCATCTACGGTATCAAATATAACCAATACAATTGAACCACCTACTTTGTTAACAACTACCACAACATCACCAACTATAACAACTACACTCTCCTCTTCAAATCCTGGTACACCTAAAAAAATCAGAGATATACCTCCACCACCACCATTACCGACAGTGGTTACACCTTCACCTTATTCGAATGACCCAACAAAAATCTCAACTTCTTCAAAAAATGATAAAGATAATATAAATAATACTTTTGTAACATTAATTACTGAAGAAAACCAGTTAAGTAGCGAGGAAAAAGAAATTTTTAAAAATCAAAAAAACACATTAATTTCTGCTTTACCAGAAGTACCAACATTAATATCACCCTCCCCAACACTTGGAAGAAACGCTTATAGAAACTCTGGAACATGGAATAAACCACCACTTTCACCACAAAATATTTCACCATCAGGTTCTTTAAACAATAGCTCAAATAATATTCATAATGGATCAATTTCACCAGTTGGATCTGCATCGGCAAATACATTACAAATTTTATCGCAATTAAACCAAAGCCGTAGTTTACCAACTTCTCCACACTATATAACATCTCCAACTATGCCAGCTTTAAATAAACAAAACACAGCTTCAATTTTTGGCAGTTATAAAGCACAACAACAACAACAGCAACCACAAGTATTATACCAAACCGGTTCACCTCTTTCAAGCGGTATAACTTCACCACTCCAACAATCACCCAATAGTCAATCACCAGTTACCTATCAAAGAAATCATAGTCAATCATTAATTACACCACTAAATTTAAATTCAGATTCTACAATGGGTCCCAGCAGTGGTTCAAACTCACCATCTATTTCAAAAAAAGAAAAGAAACAACAACAACAACAACAGCAACAGCCACAAGTTTCATTTAATCCTGGTGCTACTACTAGATCACCAAATTTAATGTCAAGTACACAAAGATCATCAGGTGTTATGGGATTTTTAGGTAAAATGAGTCTTAGCAAAGAAAGAATGAGTAAACTAGTTACTCAAACTAAAGAAACTTATAAAACTCCAGGCAACAGTAATCCTACATCACCAACTAGCACTTTGGTACCATTTGAGGGTATTTTCGGTATTCCACTTCGTGTAATATTACGTTACCCAAATGAATCTGGAAACCAAATCCCATCAATTCTTAATAATATTTTTTCAATTCTTGAATCAAGTTCTGCCCTTTCAACCAATAAATTGTTTTATGGCGCCAATGGTGACTTTAGTCCCTCATCAACATCAGTTCCAACACAAACAAATGTTACAAGTTTACCAACATCACCAAATCTTTCCTCATCATCAGGTTCTTCAGGATCAGCTTCACCAAATTTGTCAACAATCTCAAGTTTAAGTAACTCTAGTTTAAATGATCCAAATGGTAAAAATAGTATTACATCACAAAGTACTATATCTTACTCACCAACCAATAGTAGTCATCATCATCAAAACATATCACACAAATCAATTAAACAAGAAGTTGAACATATTTGTAACCTTTATGATCAAGGTAATGATGTATCACTTAAAAACTATAGTATTCATGTTATAACCGAAGTTTTCCTCGAGTTTTTTAATCGTTTACCAGAGCCAATTATTAGCGTTGAGTTTTATGAAACTTTATTAAATTATTATCAAACAGGTAAGTAAAATACTAATTGTAATAATTTAAATATTTAGAACTTAATATTAACTTTTTTTTTTTTTTTTAAATTTAAAGAAACATTGTTACATTTAATGATAAGAAAAATGAACAATCCAAATAAATCAATATTATGTAGATTAATGAAATATTTAAAAGATGTTATGGTATATACCAATTTTAATGATGCCACATTAGAGTTGTTAGTAGAAAGATTTCATAAATATATATTAAGACCAAGTATTGGTGCAGCTCAATCATGTACAATTAGCGAATCACATACCAAGACCATTAAAGATATCGTTTCAATGTTTATTTTACAAGCAGATGTTTTATTCCAACCACCAGAAGAGCGTATGAATTCAGATGATTCACAAATTCTTTATATCGAGGAGGTTTTATCAAGCCAAAAGAGTAGCAACAATACTTCATTAAATGGAAACTTATGGTTATTCCATAAACAAATTGTTTGGAGACCAAAGGTTAATACTGAGGGTGAGCCAGATTTACAAATTCTATTTAGCAGTATTTTAAAAATTGTATTAGCTCCAGCCCCAACAAGAAAAGAACAACAAAAAACTTTACCAAATTTTACAATTTATTGTTCAAGCGAAACCAAAACTGTAATAACATTCTATTTCCAAAATCCTTCAACTTGTAAATTAGTTTTTGCTTTTATTCATTCTGTAATTAAATCAATTTCGCAATTAAATAGAATTATTCCTCAAAAACTAGATATGTTTTCATTAGAGTTAGAAAATTTACCAAACGAAATTAAACAATTAAAAGAATTACAAGTAAGTAATACAAAAATATTTATAAATAATAAATAATCCATGTACTAATAGTTAAAATTAACCTTTAGGAATTAAATTTAAATAGAAATAAGTTTAAATTAATGCCGGGTGATTTAGCAAGATTAACATCATTGAGAACCATTTGTATCGAAGAAAATAATTTAACAGAGATTTCATCAGAAATGGCAGATTTCCTTGGTACTAGATTAGGAAACTTAGAAAATGTTAGTTTAAGTAGTAATCGTTTAGTAGTATTACCACCACTTTATACATGGTTAAAGTTAAAGACATTGAATATTTCAAATAATTATTTGACTAAATTGCCAGTAGATATTTTCCAAATTCCAACATTAGAGGTATTACGTGTCAGTAATAATCAAATCGATGATAATGGTATTCCAAAGATATGTACATCAACTCGTTTAAGATCATTGGACTTAAGAAAGAATCATCTCACCACCATTCCAGAAGGTATTTTCAATTTAATTGAATTACAAGTTCTCACTTTACAAGATAATCAAATTCAACAATTAACCTCTGATATCCAAAAATTAACTTCACTTACCGAATTAAATTTAAATGGTAATCAAATTTCATCATTACCACCACAACTACTTTTATTAACAAACTTGAAGAAACTTTACTTGGATAATAATCAGCTTCAATCCATCAGTTCTGCTATTCATAGAATGCAATCTCTAATCGAATTAAGATTAACAAATAATAATATATCACGTTTACCACCAGGAATTGTTGCTCTCAAGAAGCTAAACTCTTTAGAGTTAACTGGTAATAAACCATTAAAAGATAATATCCCAGAAAAGTATATCCTCAAGGGCAAAGAAGGTATATTTTCATATTTTTCAGAGACTATGAGAACTAATGTACCTTGCTATAGAACAAGAATTATAATGCTCGGTGATAAGGGATCAGGTAAATCAAATCTTGTAAAATGTTTAAAGAAAGTCCCAACCAAACCAAATACATCATTATCTCATAATGCATCAGGTACAAATGTTTTAGATATTCAAGATTGGTCTTGTCAAATTAGTGTTGATGGTCCAGATGGGAAGAAAAAGAAAACCATTACCATTCATCTTTGGGAATTTGAAGGTATTCAAAATGATATTAGCCATGTCTTCTTTGTTTCAAATATAGTTTACAGTATTTGTTTTGATTTGTCTAAATTTGGCACCAAGCAAAATGACCATAAAATTACAAGTTATCTCTATGGTATCTATCAACACGATCGTAAAGCTACCATTTTAATGATCGGTACCCATTTAGATGAAGTTGGTTCAAAAAAACACGTAGATAAAACATTCGAACTATTAATGGCAAAATATAAAACCTTATTCCCATCTTTAAATTTAATCTTCCATGCTGTAAATACAATGAAGCATGATAGTGATGGTATTAGAAAACTTAGAAGAGAAATTAAAGCAATGATTTCAAAGAACCCAATTCTCAAACAAACCTATCCAGCCTCTTTTATGTATTTAGAAGATTATCTTAAAGAAGAATCAAACTTAATGTCACCACCATTAGTTACCAAGAAAACCCTTCAACAAATGGCACGTACAATGGAGCTTCATAACGAACCACATTTCACCCAATTGAAATCATTATTTAATTCATTGGGCTCAATAGCATCTTTTGAACAATTTATTCGTATGGAACCAGGTTCAACACCAACCAAAACTGAAATGATTGCTCTTAATCCAATATGGATTGCCAAAGCCATCGCATCATTAGTCTGCTTTAATCCCCAAAACTTACCATTTAATGTTAGTGTAGGTTCAGAAGAAGCTATCGATGCCCAATCATCAACTACAATAGCAGGTATTTTACCTCATAGGGTATTAAGATATGTTTGGGGTACCAACTCGCAATATTATGTACCAGAAAGATTCTTTTCACTATTCCTTTCATTATTAGAGTCAAATGATTTAGCAATCAACATTTATTCAATCGAGCAAAACAATCACCATGGAAGTTTTGGTGACCGTAGAAACTCAAGATTAGAAAGTTTTTCAGCAATCGGAAATGATTCACTTTCACCACAAATGCTTGGTGTTAATACAAATCTAAATAATCGTCGTTACTCGATAAGTTTAAACAACTTAACTAGTTTTTCAACAAACCAGAAAGTTAGATATGGCCGTTCAAGCTCATTTAATGCTAGATCAGGTTGGGCATTAGTATCATCACTATTATCACCCTACAATAATGGTAACCCTATTGTTACATCTGGTCAAAGCTCAATCAAATCAAACTCCTCAGTTCAATCGGTCCAATTATCGTTGTCACCTATCATTGATTTACCAGGTGTTTGGGAAGCTTTTCCAGAGGCTCCAGAGATTCAACAATTTACTAGAAAATTTGTATTGGATGTCATACCAGTAGGCTTATTTGGAAGATTATTAAGTAGATTAATGCAACATGCACATTTACAAAAATGTTGGAAAGATTTGGCCATTCTAGTACCAGAGATTGATGGTAATGCTGCATCTGCTTCAAATATTATCCAATCATTAACACCAGTTCAGAAACAATTTAAGCAAGAACGTATTTTAGTAAATGTTGACCATGACTGTAACTCTATTGAAATCTCATTAAGATTTATCAAATGCTCTTCACTTTTATCAGAAATATACAATATTTTCGATTCATTGGTTACTAAGTGGTATAAAGTTGGCTATAAGACCTTTATCACCTGCAGTCATTGCATTGAAAAGAAAAATGTTTCACCATATCTATTTAAATTAGAAGAGTGCGAAGCAATGCTATTTAAAGGTGAAACTGAACTTTATTGTCAACATAAATCTGGTGTTAATGAAGCCACCTCATCCCCAATTTCTTCATCAAGATCAAACTCTAAACTTTCAAGAAAAGATTCAAAATCAAACTTTGTTATTAATGAAAATGGTAGCAGCTCACCAACACTATCCAAAAAAGATCATCACAAAGAAAAAGATCACCATCATAAGGATTCCAAGGAAAAAGATACAAAACACCATCACAGCCATCACCATAAAAAAGATAAAGAATTACAAAAAGATTTATCAACTCCAGTATTAATTCGTAATTTACTATTAGATCATCACACCGTTTGTAATTTTATTAAAGAAATTGACTTTAAGGAAATCGAAGTATTACCAGATCACTCAAGTCAAAGCGAAAATGGATCTACATCACAATCTATGGGTATGTACGGTAGTCAATTTGTAAATGTTAAAGTTTTTAATCAACCATTACCTGGATGTGATTTCTATAGCAACTGTGCTAAAGTTTTATCAAATTTCAGACATGAAGCACTTTCATTATACAATTTCCGTCATACAAACGTTTTATCAATTATTGGTGTATCATTCAATCCTGTCGCAATTATCACTGAAAACCCCACATTTGGTAACAAAGGTAGCACAACATTAACTGAATATATTCAAGATCGTCAAAAACACCCAGAGATCCCATGGAATATAAAATTAAAGATTGCTTTAGATATTGCCCGTGCTCTTGAAAAACTTAACTCCCATTCACCACCATTCCTATTAACAAACTTTACAAGCAATAGTATAATTTTAGAGAAATCAAACAATAGTTCCTCTTCGTCATCAAGTGATGATTGTGGTGTTATAGCAAAAATAACCGACTTTTCAAGCTCATCATTTTTACCATCTCTTTTCCCAACTAGCAATACAGCCAAACCTCACCATGCTCCAGAAGTTCTCCAAAAACTAAACTATCATGAATATACCGATGTTTATTCATTTGGTATTATATTGTTTGAACTTTTAACCCGTTCTATTGCCTTCCAAGACCATGAACGTTTTGGTAATATGGTAGTTAATGGCCAACGTCCCTCAATCCCACCAGATTGCTTACCATCATTTGCCGATCTCATCAAAGACTGTTGGTCTGGTGAACCATTAAACAGACCCTCACCAAGCAAAATTATTCAACAACTTTTACAAATTAAAAAAGAAATCGAATCAAAAGAACACAACTATAAGAGCTTGGCATCAGATAACAATATTTACTCTGATCAACCATTACCAAGTGGTGGTTCAATCATTTACCAAGATAAAATTATTCATTTTGGTGGCTGGAATGGATCTTCAAAACCACACTCAAACGTCTATTCTTTAAATCTCTCAAGCATGCTTTTTGAAGATAAACTAATGGTTGTTATTAATGATAAAGGCTCACCTACCTATAAGGCATTCTATCAACACATGCAATCAGAATTTTGCGAAGAAAACTTAATTTTTTATGAAGCCATTAAGACCTTCAAGAACCTACCAAACCAAACACCAGATGACCGTGAAATCATTAAGATTCAATCCAAGAAGATCTTTCAAGTATTCATTGGTGAAACTGCACAAAAAGAAATTAACCTACCATTCCTTTTAAAGAAAGAGTTGAAAAAGAAAATTGAAGCTCCAGAAGGTCCATCTGTTACAGTATTTAACGATACTTTGTCATTTGTTATTTCCTCAATCGAAGATAGCTTCCATAGATTTAAATTCTCTACTCCCTCAAATAGTAAAAATGGTTGGGTATTAATTGATTGTAAAGGTCAAGCACCTCCACCAATGGTTGGTCACTCCTCAATTCTTTGGAACAATAATTTAGTTATTATAGGCGGATGGTTTAATAGAGCAAGAGTACTAAACCAATGCTTCATGTTAAATTTAGATAGCTTTGAATGGCAAAACTTCTCAACGTCCGGTGATGTTCCTCCATCATCTACTGCTGCTTTAAATATTACTTTACATGGCGATTATCTTTTAGCATATTACGAAAGCAGAGGAGAGTCCAAAACCTCAATTTATAGACTTAATCTTGAAAGTATGGTTTGGTTTTCCTTAAACTTAAAACCAAACTAAACTAATAAATAATAAATAATAATAATAACAAATAATAAAAATAATAATAAACCTGTATTAAAATGTAAATATTTAGTAAATAAAAATAAAATTTAGATATAATCCTAACGAATAAAATAAAAAGAGATAACTTAATTTTTTATAATTTTTTTTTTATTTTTATTTTTAATTTTTTTTTTTTGGTTAATATTAAATAATTATTTTAATAATCATTTAATTTAAGGGTGAGGGTTGTATTATATAAATTATTTTTTTTTTTTTTTTGGATTTTTTTATTTTTAATTATTTTTTTTTTTTTTTGTAACAAAAAATAACGATTAATTATTTCAAATAATATAGGAAATAAATAATGATTAAATTCATATTACTTTTACATCCAATTGTAGCTTGGAGTTAATGAACCTTCAAATTTGAGAATTGAATTGATGAAAGAGTCGGTTTCTTTGGCATAGAGACGGTTATCAATGTGGATCATATCTTGGTCAATGTAGAAATCGATATCTAATTGGTTATTCCATTTGTTTTCACCTTTACCTAAAACGTTGAAAAGTTTATGTTTGTAACATGTGAGTTTAACACGAAGATCTTCTGGATCCATTTGAAGAAGAGTGGCGAGTTTTTGGATTGAGATGGTTGAGTAGAGGGTGATGTATGAACGGATGGTAGTTAAGAGTGATTGTTGTTTAACTTCTTCAAGGAATAATGATAATTGAAGACGATGTGAGTCTAATGCAGTAACATTGTAACCTGAAATATATGGTGGAACTGGACCAATGCAACGTGGTGCAGCAAAAGTATATAATTCTTCATAAACTGAAAGATCACCTTTTTGTAATCTTAATAATTTGTCACCGAATTTCTCTTTAAGATTATTGTTAACATTTTCATCAATCTTATTTGGATAGAGAGCTTGGCAAATAGTTAATAAAGCGTACATTTTATCTATTTTTTTTTCATTCTGTAAAATATTATTAATTTTAAATTAGTATTTTTTTAAAAATAAAAAATTGTAAATAATAATTTTAATTTAAAACCTACATGATCAGATTGGAAACTTGATGATTTTGATTTTGATGCAACTGAAACTAAAATGGTATTTAAAGCTTTGGTGGCTTCATTATATTTTCTTGACATGATATAAGCAAAACCTAAATAATAGTAGAGAGTGATGTGGCAAGCAGTAACGTAGGTATACATAGCTTTTTTACCCATATCAATGAGTTCTAAAGTTTTAAGGGCAAGAGTGTAATCACCTAATAAACATTGAACACGAACTAAACTGATAACACTGTAATAACCTAACATTTTATAAACTGGATGTGAACAAAAATCTTCTGAACTATTTTCGAATCTGTTGGTGGTAGCACTGAAAATTTGTGATTTCTTAATAATGTAATAAAGGTAACGGATAACGTTGGTGGTATCCCAAATTTCTGGGTTTTCTGATAAAAAGTCAACATCTTGTTTCTTTAATTTGAATTTAGCAAAAGTGTGATATTGATAAACAAATTCATCAACAAGATCCCATAACCAAGCATTTGGAAGATCGATTTCAACATCATTTGGTGAGTTGGCACCTAAAATTTAAAAATAATAAATATAAAAAAAATTAGTATAACTGTTATAATCCATTATTATTATTATTATATTATTAATATTATTATTAGATACATACTTAATAAAGTATGGAAAATTTGATAATAATTTTGCCATGATTCAACACAAGTTGTAATATTTGGTTGGAAAACAAGAGCATAATAGTAACGATAATAAATTTCTTTGTATAAAAGAACAAAGAAACGATCGGTGAAACTATCTTCGAATTTATCACCTAAAACTGGAAGTAAATTTTCAATAGTTGGTAATGAACAATGTGGGTAATAAGTTTCACAAGCCTTGAAGAAACTATCGTATGAAACTAAAATATCTTGATGTGATTGTGATTTAAAGTTACTGTAGAGATTGATGAAATAGTTAATAACTGGAGTGAATAAAGCGGTGGCTGGTGGTAAATAGTTGCTTTGGAATTGAGGTGATGGGTTGCTTTGAATTTGTTGTTGATAGGTTTGGAATTGTTGGATTTGTTGTGGGGTTAAATTAATTGGGAAACTTTCAACATTAGTTGGAGCTTTACCACGACCTTTACCTTGTTGTTGACCGCCTTGTTGTTGGTTATTTTGTTGGTTGTGTTTATTGTGATGTTTTTGATGACCACCTTGTTGTTGTTGTTGTTGGCCACCTTGTTGATTGTTGTTATTATTTTGGTTGTTTTTTTGGAAATTTTTATTTCCTCCTTTACGATTATTTTGACTCATCTTGTTCTAATTTCTAGCTGTTTTATTTTTATTTAAAATAATAGTATTATTAAATCGAATAAAATAAATATTCAAATAGAAATTGTATGAATTTGATAATAATAAGAAAAAAATCAAAAAAAAAAAAAAAAATTTTAAAAAATTATTTTTAAAAAATTTTTAAAAAAATTTAAAAAAAAATTTTTATTTTTTTTTTTTTCATTTTTAAAATAAAGGTATTCACACAAAAAAAAAAAAAAAACGAAAAGAACTTCATATGAAAAAACCATATCAGAAAAAAAAAAAAAAAAAAATAAAAAAAAATAATTATACTTGAATTGGATATAAACAATAAATAAATATTGTTTAATCATATTTGTCAATTTTTTTTATTTATTTATTTTTTTTATTTTATTTTTAAATTGTTATTTTGTTTATTTTTTTTATTTTTTTTTCTGATAATTTTTATTTAAAATAGAATGAAACTACTCTATTTATTTTCTGATTAATATAAAATATAATTTTATCCAACAAATAAAACAATACATTCCTCAATTATAAATAAATAAATAAATAAATAATTGTTTTTTCCCAAAATATTTTTTTTTTTTTTTTTTTTAATTTTTTTTAAATTTTTTATAAAAATAATTTTTTCAAAATTTTTTTTTTTTTTTTTTTCGTATTGATTTTAAATTATTAAAATAGTAATATTTTAATTATTATCAATAAAAATGACACAATTATTAGCCACTGCTAATGAGCATGCATTAACCCAAGCTAATGGTAAGAATTATAATTATCAATATACAAAATAAAAAAAATAAAAAAAAAGGGTTAAAGAATGGTTTATTTTAAATTTATTTTTAAAATAACAAAGTTTTATAATTATTTTTTATTTTTTTTTTGTTATTTATTTATTAAGTTATTAGTAAAGAGTATAGCATACTAATTATTTATTTATTTTACAGACTTTATTAAAGCCAATAATAAAGGAAGAGCTTTAAATATCTTAAGAGATTTATTAATTGAACGTAGTCAATGGCATTCAAGTTTAGAACAAGTTATGTCATTATATGTTTCATTATGTGCTGAAAATTTAGATTATCAATCATTAAGAGATGGTATTCATCATTACAAAGCCTCAATTACCTCACAAAAAGAATTTTCACTTGCCCCATTTGAAAACATCTTAAAAGAAATTACTTCACCAATTGAAGCTAAAATTGACGAAATGAAAGAAAGTCTCGATAAAACCAGTGCTGCTGAAGAACAAACCGATCTTATCACTTTAATTGATCCACAACAAACTGTATTGTTCTCATACATGAAATATTTATTCGAAGCCTACAAATCAATGATTGAAGTTTTAACTAGACCAAATATTAAATTTGAACATGCCAAATTTGATCATTCAAAATTCGACCCAATTTTATTAGTAAGCATACATATTTACATAATACATCAACACACTTTTAAAACCATATTTTATACTAATGGTATATACTTTAAATTTAGAAAATCTCAATTCAAGCATTAAACTATTGTTTGAAATACCAAAGAAAACCAGATTTCATGGTTTTAACAGAAACTTTTAGATCAAGCATTGAAGCTTTATTCAAAGCCCCATCATTAGATACAGTCAACACCCATATCGAAATTCGTTTCCATCAATTAAGTGTTGCAATTTCATTAGGTTTATATAACATTGCCTACAAATCAATTGAAGATATCAACATTATGATCTTCTCATTATTGGCTAAACCAAAACCAGTCGTTTTAGCTACCTATTTCCAAAAATTAGCTCAAGTTTATTGGATTACCAATGCTCACTTACTTCATGCTTATGCTCTCTACAAACACTTTTTCTACAACAAGAATTACAATATGAACTTTAGCCCAGAAGACACCCAATTATATTCAAGTGTTTTATTAGTTGCTGCTCTTTCATCACCAATTCAAGAAAACAATACCAACAACTCACTCTTACAATTCGACTCACAATCACAAAGAGCTATGGGTTTAGCTTCACTCCTTTCACTCCAATCAATTCCAAGACGTGAAACTTTCCTCCAAGATGTTCGTAAAGTCACCGGTGATGTTTATCCAGAACTTGCTGATTTATTCTCAATCTTTGAAAAGAAGAGTTCACCATTAATGTTTGCCAAGCTCCTTGAACCAAAGATTAAATTCATTGAATCACATGCTCAACTTTCACAATACTTAAAACCATTCCTCCGTGTTGTCTTCACCAAGATCACCCTTCAAGTTAGCAAAGTTTATGAAGTTATCAAGATCGAAGAATTTATTAAATTAATTCCATTCTACAACAAGGGTCAAATTGAACTTTATCTCTTAGAGGCCATCAAACGTAAACTCATTGGTGCCAGAATTGACCACAAGGCTGGTGTTGTTCGTTTCGGACATTACGATTTTGACAGTGCTAAAATCAGCGACCAACTTTCAAACATTGCCTCAGGTGTTGGTAAAGCTCTTAAAATGGTTGAACCAGAAAAGAAAGAACAACAACACAACAGAGTCAAAAAAGAAGTTTACGTTAAGATCATCAACTCACTCAATGATGAACATCGTCGTATTCTTGCCCGTAAAGAAATTATTGAAAAGAAAAAGATCTATATGGAACAACAAGAACGTATCAAAAAACAAAAAGAACAAGAGGAAACCTTAAAGAGAGCCCAAGAAAAAGCTTTAAGAGACCAACAACGTATTCAAGAAGATTTAGAACGTCGTGAAATTGAACAACAACAACAACAACAACAAGTTAGCCAACTTGATCAAACCATCAATGCTGTCGACAAGGCTAAGGTTGAAATGAGAGCTAAGGTCGCCAAAATCTCTAAACAATTATACATTCTCGAACGTGCCTATCGTGAAGAAGAATTACCAGTCGTCGAAAAACTTCAAGAAGTTAAAAAAGTTGAAGACAAGGAATACTTTGAAAAAACTCAAAATGATTACCTCCAAACCCACAAATCTATTCACGATCGTAATATTGCTGAAAAGAATCGTTTAAACAGAATCGTTTCAGATTATCAAACCTTCACCCAACACATCCTCGAAGAAAGAAAGAAACAACTCCCAGCTCTTCAACAAGAACAAGAAAAGAGATTCCAAGAGTTCCTCAGACAACAAGAACAAGAAGTCGCTGAAAGAAAAGCCCAAAAAGAAGCTACTCGTAAAGCTGCTGCCGAAGCTAAAGCTCGTGAAGAAGAAGAAAAGAGAAGACGTGAAGAAGAAGAAAGAGCTGCTCGTGAAAAAGAAGAACAAGAAAGAAAGAATGCTCCATACGTTCCACCATCAAGAAAGACCTTCGACGATGACAGCGGTTCCGGAAGACCATTTGGCGATCGTGGTAACAGAGACAATTGGGGTGATGACCGTAGAGGTGGTTTTGGTCGTGATGATCGTAGAAGTGGTGACAGAGACAACTGGGGTTCACGTCGTGGTGGTGATGATGACCGTAGAAGCGGCGAAAGAGACAACTGGGGTTCACGTCGTGATGATGCTCCACCACAAAGAGGTGATGGTGAAGACAGTTGGAAACGTGATGATGCTCCACCACAAAGAAGAGAAGGTGGTGTCTTTGGTCGTGAAGAACGTAGAGGTGATGACCGTAGAGGTGGTTATGGCCGTGAAGAACGTAGAGGTACCGACAACTGGGGTCGTCGTGATGAAGCTCCACCAAGAAGAGATGACAATGAAGGATGGGGTCGTCGTGATGACGCTCCACCAAGACCAAGAGAAGGTGGTGCCTTTGGTAACATTCGTCGTGGTGATGAAGATCGTAGAGGTGGTAACGATAGTTGGGGTCGTCGTGATGATGCTCCACCAAGACCAACTAACGATTCAGATAACTGGAGACGTGACGATACTCCACCACAAAGAAGAGAAGGTGGTGGCGGTGGTGCCTTTGGTAACACTCGTCGTGGTGATGATGACCGTAGAGGTGGTGATAGCTGGAGACGTGGTGATGATAGACCACCAAGATCAAACAACAACGAATCAGATAACTGGAGAGGTGAAAAGAAAGACGATAAAAAGAAAGACGATGATGGTTGGCAAACTGTTGGCCCAAAGAGAGGCAATAAATTCTAAATAGGTTTTCAAAAGATAAAAAAATAAATAAACAAATTTAGATTTCATTTTAATATATTATGTTTAGTTTTCATTTATTTTATTATTAGAGTTTTATTTTATATTTGAAGATATGGGATTTAAATTGTTGTATTTATCTATATATTTTCGATCATATTATTCATACTATTATTCATATTATTATTTTTATTTTCACCAGTCTTATTATTATTATTATCGATATTATTATTTTTACTATTATTACTATTACTACTATTATTACTATTATTACATATAACTTGATTCTCATTTGATAGTAATTTATATTCTTCATAGACATGAATTATATACTCTATAAATACAGAAATTACACATAAAATTTCAAAACAAAAACTTAAAACGTGAGTTAAAATCCAATAATCCTTTCCTTCTAAAGGTGTAGAACCTGGTACTCTTAAAATATCGTTTGTATCTTGGAACCATATTATTGCTTGGCAAATAATAAAACCAATAAATGATACCAAGCTTAATAATAAACATAGATTTATTTCTTTTAAATGCTCAAAAGAAGCCCTTTTAGATTTACTGTTTGATTTTATAATTTTATATAATGGTATTATAAAAAAAAGTATAATGGCAAAAGTTGAATGAATTGATATCATTATATTTTTATTAATATTTCCAATATCTGAACTTTGGGCAGTAGGAAATAATGCAATCCCCAAAATACATATAGTTCCTTTGAAAAAAAAATTAATTTTTAATTTTTAATGTAAATAATTATAATTATATTTACCCAAGGTGTTGATTGCTTTAAAAGGTAGTTTCTTTTCACTATTTTTTGATTTTAGTAATAAGATACCTGCCATTAATAGTGCCCCAAAAAAAATTCTTCCTGAAGGATCAGAAAACTCTGAATTTAAAGTGCTTATAGTGGAAGGAAACACATGCCAATCATTATTAAAAACACCACACACAATACTAAGAGTAATCCCTACAATTAAGGATATTAGGGCATATGTTTCATATTCACATTCTGATCTAAAAATATTAATTATTTTCATTTTTTTTTTTTTATAAAAAAAGTTTATAATTACTTGAAATAGAAATATATAATAAAATAAATAAATTAGTTTTGATAAAAAGAATTTTACACATAAATTATTTATGTTGAAAAATATTATTTCTTTTAATAATAGTTAATTTGTAATGATAAAGACATTATCACATATAATTTTTAATCTCAATAAAATACATAATATAGATAAATAAAAAAATTATACATATTAATAATTAAAAACTTTTGTTAGAGATTTGGCCATATAATAATTAATTTTTTTGGAAAATATTTTGATATATTTTTTGGATTTAAATAAAAGAGTATGGATTTTTTATCATGTTAAAGTTTTTTAAAGTTTTATAATTAAAATAAAGCTATGAAAAGTATTTTTAAAATTACATTTAAATCGATTTTTTATTTATTAAATATATATATAAATATTAGTTCCCACTTGAACTTGAACTGGATGATGAGCTAGAGGAAGAGGATGAAGAGCTACTAGAGCTACTACTTGAGGAGCTACTTGAGCTACTCGAGCTACTTGAGCTACTGCTTGAAGAGCTGCTCGAACTACTAGAACTAGAGCTACTGCTTGAGGAGCTGCTCGAGCTACTTGAACTGCTTGAGGAGCTGCTGCTTGAGGAGCTACTTGAACTACTTGAGGAGCTACTACTTGAAGAGCTACTTGAGGAACTGCTACTTGAAGAGCTACTTGAGGAAGAGCTACTTGAAGAACTGCTGCTTGAGGAGCTACTTGAGGAAGAGCTACTTGAAGAACTGCTTGAAGAGCTACTGCTTGAGCTACTCGAGCTACTGCTTGAGCTGCTTGAGCTACTTGAGCTACTTGAAGAGCTACTGCTTGAACTACTTGAAGAGCTACTGCTTGAGCTGCTTGAAGAGCTACTGCTTGAGCTACTTGAGCTACTTGAGCTACTACTTGAGGAAGAAGATGATGATGAGCTTGATGAGGATGATGAAGATGATGAACTGCTTGATGAGGAAGAAGATGATGAACTACTTGATGAACTTGAGCTTGAATGTGAAAGAATATTTGAATAGGATTCTGTTAAAAAAGATGCAAAATTTATTTTATCACCTGAAAATATTTTACTCCTAGAATTAATAAGGAAAGTTATATTAGTTAACCTGTATATCCAATTTATTAATTAATAATTTTCCATCTTACTTGTCTAATTGATAAATGTTTAATTTTGGTTCTTGATTAGTTATAGTTACACCTTTTCTATATGGGTTAACTATACTTGGTAAAACCAATAAAAATCCTACTAATACAATAAAAAACCACTTTGAATCCATTTTATATTATTTATTATTTCTGTTTAAATTTAAATAAAAAAAAAATTGTTAGTTTATTATTTTTTGAAAAAAATAAAAAAAAGAAAAAAAAAAAAAAAACAATTAATCATAATTTATTATAATTATAAAATAAATTTATGAATATGATAAAAATTGGTTTGAAACAAATTAAAATTGATTATTATTACATCCAATAGCTCTTATTAAATAGAGGTTATTAGCTATTTGAATAAGTTTTTTTTAATATTTACTTTATAGTTAGAGTAGTTTTACTATGTAGTGTTATAATTATTGTTTATTTTATTTGTTATGTAGAACTTTTTTATATATTTTATTTAATTTTATAATATTTTTTTTATTTATTTTTTTTTTTGATAACTAAAAAATAATTATTTATTGATGCCTTTTATATCAATCAATTTAATAATAATTAATTTATGTTTTATTCTTAATAAAGTAGTTAATTTTTGGATATATATAGTTAAATAAATTACTATATGAAAGAAAAAAAAAAAAAAAAAAGAAATTAAAAATTTGTGTGGTAATGTAAAAAAAAAATATATTTTAAAAAAAAAATAAATAAAATAAAATAAAATAAATATAAATACTTTAAAAAATTAAAGTTAAATATAATGAGGTGGGGTTGTTGTTAAAGTGATAAGAATAATTATATGTAAAAAAAAAAAAAATTATAAAATTGTACAAATTATATATATCAAACACACCACACTATATATTAACACAACACACAAAATAGAAAGAAAACATATAGTTTTATTATTATTTAAAAAAATAACAACACAGTTATGTGTTTAAGTATGCAATTATTTAAATAATTTAAATATATAGGTATTATTGTTTAGTATTTGTTTTTATCTGTTATTTACCAAAATAACAAAAAATAAATTTTTTTTTTTTTCATTATATTTTCCATATTAATATTATTGTTTTTTTATTTTTTTATTTACAAAATTCAATATTTTAATTGTTATTAAAGTGATTATATATTTATTTAGGACAAAAAATTAACCCACAATTAGTCTAATTATTAAAGACACCAAAAATATTTGTATGAATAAAACTAAATGAACTGAGTGTGTGTGATGGATTATTTTTTTTATCTGATTTAATTTTCCAATATTGAACTTACCTTTTTTATAAATGCTTTTCAATTAATATTTTGATGATTAAAAAAACAATATTGTAAATAATCCTATTGTGTGTTTATAAATTATTTTTTGTTATTATAAATTATGTTATTGTTAATATTATTGACATGTATAATTTTTTTTAAAAAATTATATAATATTAATGAATAAATAAAATCGATATCTTAATCATAAAAAGATATTGAGAATGAAAAGAATAATATAAAGGGATTTCCAGTTGGAAAGTTAATAAAAAAAAATAAAAAAATAAAAAAATAAAAACAAAAAAAAAATTAAATTAATTTATAAAAAATGACAATTTATTTATAGAATGGTATTAATTATTAATAAAAAAAAGAGTCAGTTATTATTAAAAAATATGATTGGTTTTTTTGGTATTTAATATTAATAATACAAAAACATTTATTATTATGAAAGATTTATTGTTTTTTTATAATTAGTTTTTTTTATAGTTTTGTGTGAGGTTTTTTTTTTATAAATAAAAATATTAAAAAATAATAAAAAATAATAAAAAATAATAAAAAATAATAAAAAATAATAAAAAAAATAAAATATTAAAAAAAAATATATTAAAAATGTCAATTAAATTAAAATATAATTAGGTGTTGAGGAATATACGTTTTATTATATAAAAGTGTAATTCTAAATATAGTAAGGGTTGTTTTGTGAATTTTGTGTATTATTTCGATTATATAAAATAAATCAACAATATTAGAAAATAATAAAAAAAACAAAGAATATAAATGATTTTTAGAGTTTATACTTTTTATTTTTTTTTTTTACCTTTTTTTCCTAAATTTATAAAATAAAAATTATGATTATGCTTTTTATTTAATATTATATAA